ACTTGAACATGTGCCATCCACATCTTCTCGAAATGGTCCGCGAGATCATGCCTAAGTTGGGCCTGGCGAAGCGCATAGGCAACCAGTCCCTCGTTGTCCGAGTCGGCAGTACCACCATGTGTGCAATCTTGACCTTTCTCATACCACCACCCTGCATACCACCTAAGGAATTGGAGAACCCTACGCATCTCCTCGTGAAGAAGTTCAACTTCTTCTGCCCATCGCATTGACCGGGCCCGAGCCTTACACCACTCGACTCTCAGACCTGCAAACTACATCAGTATCCTTTATTCGTTCGTGCTCATATTCAAGCTTACTATCTTGTATCGCCTCATCCTGATCGTCTCCGACTCCTTCCACCATCCATATCCACGACAATTGCCTTCTCCCTTCGCTCACACCTTTCTGAGGTGCTGACATGCCACGGACGTCATCTTTCTTGTCGAGTTCCTTGTATTTGCGGTTCCAACCGACCACTCGGAGCGAGGGAGCGAGGGCAGAAAGTGCTCCATGAGCAGCGCGATACTTGTCAGCTGCTGCTGATGCCTTCGCAACTACCCGAGTTAGAGCGTTTTGTGCCCGTGTATTTGCACTCTGGCCACGGACCCAATCTCTCTTGAATGTGTACATATGATCGCGTAGGCGGAGGCTCTGTCGTAGTTCCTCCAGCGCATCCCCGGCCTGAGCAAAACGGAGCTCCCATTCAGTGGCCTGAAGGCGAGGATCACAACGGATAGATTTAGCACTCATAGTTGATGGCAGATAAAGTTTTGCGTCTTCTGGTGTGATGGGGTCGAGGGAAGGTTGGAATGAATCCGAGTGTAGCAGTTGGACTGCGGGAGTGTAGAGTGCCTGGACACGCTTCCACGCATCAATTTTTCGCTGCAGAGAGTTCCGCTGATGCTGTATGGTGGATTTCTGTGTGTCCGTGGCGTGTATACCAAGGTTGGTGATATCCGCCTTCAAACGACGCCTTCAAATGAATAAGTGAGATACCCAGTTCCTAATGCAAAAGCTACGTACTGTTCACTTTCGAGATCGATTCCAGATGCAATAAAGACGCTGGGTGAAATGTCGGGGTGGCAAGATATATCGACGCCTTGCTGTAGATCACGAGCCTCCATTTCCGCAAGCTTCAGTCGAACGGTGGCTTGAGTAATCGCTGTTAATTTGCATCTTAGTGATTGAATCAAGAATATGAAAGACCAACACTTACAAGTGACCTTCGGCTCGAACGGGTTACTAACCAAAGAGTCATTGGGGTTGCATTCCCAATACTCGATTTCCAATTTCCAGGGATCCGATGCCTTAGGTGGCAAAGCGCCGTCTAGCTCCTCAAAAGCAATTTCGTGAGCTTCTTTCTCCTCCTTTGCTTCGTTCATCTTTCGGAGTAACATTGCACCTGTGAAAGGATGAGGAAACAAAAGTACGAAGTCATTCACAAGTCACGCACCAAGTCCAACTGTTTTTTTCCAGTTCCAATCACCGAAGTGATCGTCTAGAGTATCCCGTCGAGAGCCGGGGCCCATTTCCTTAGTGCTAGAGGCAACTGGGTTGATATTTGACCAACCCCGTTCGGGGGCTTCACCATCCGTTCGTCCGACGTTCTTCGAGAAATTGAAAGAATACGATGTTTGGCATTTGAAAACGTGCGCAGGAAGATGGAATTTTGGTACAAAAAACCTGGTGATTAACATGAGCAAAGGCGCAAGAGACTGGTATTGTGATTGTAAGAACCTTATAAATTTAGTGAGAGGGTCTAGATGGAGGTCCAGAGGGATTGTGGCCATGCGTTCCCAAATGTTCTTGTGCCACTGGCACGCAATATCATACGAAACATTCAGCATTTCAACGCTGCGTCCGTGGAGGGTCGAAAAAAATAAATAATCCATGTTGCTGTATCTATGCCATACGGTCAGTAATGATGGTTGCGTGAGCTGGTATACCTCACCGCTCGCCCTTCTGCAAGTCCCCGACACCATTGGGTAATTTCATATTATGCCGCGCACAGTCGATCATTCCCACTCCAGTCGCAGCCAGACCCTGCGAAGCTTTCGTATCCGCTAAGTTGACTGTGTTGTGTGATGCGCAGGTGCTTTTCTACTGAAATGGTCAGAACAGAATCCCATTAAGTCATTCACACAGCTTACCTCTTGCGGTTTACCACCGTGATTGAGTAAATATGCTTTGTACGTCGTCTCATCCACAAAGTAGGCCCACCCGCAACTAAGCCCAGGGTCTGTGCAATCTTTAGAGACGAGACGTCTTTTGAGACGGAAATTCGCGTCGATGGCTACGAACAGAGCATATATCCATCTAAGGGATTGTGAAGGATGAGTAAAAATCTATGTATGAGTGTGACATGCACCTTTTGTCATTTGGAACCTCTTTCCAGTTGTCTGGAAGATTTTTGAGAGGTTGAGGGCACGCGGGGCATAGGACAGCACATTCGCCGCTTTGCGTATTTTCGACACCAGCCGGATCGTGTCCACGGCCTGCTCGCTTGAGCATCTTCAGGTGGCGCCATTCACGAACAATCCGCAAGAATGCCTCATAACGATTCTGGTTCGACAGATGATAAGATGTCTATGATAAGGCACTTGTGAGTCATCAGATAACTCACCTTTTGAGGATGAAGTCCTGTGTTATCGGTCAGACGTGCAATCGAGCGATAAAATTCATACCCCGAAGCCTTTGATTCGAATGATAGAAGGTGATATTGCTCCAGGATGCGGAAGGTTGCTGCTGTGCGTGGATTGACGGTTGTAGCCGGAAACCAGGCAGCACGTAATAGTTGTTTTGTGTGCGTTTGAGCTGTCTCGCAACCGCAAAAATCCAATGCGATAGTGTGAATACCGTTAGTATCGATAAGAGTGAATTCGTCGTTGAATCCTCGCTCAGGTAACAGACATGAGTCTCCTGCAAAATGTCCAAGCTGCACACGCAGGCCCATGTCCCTCAGGGACACCACCGTAAAATAAGAGTTCGTCCACTCCTATTACAATACTGAAATGAACATGCAGTCACATTATTGTGCGAACAGACTTACCTGAATGCGATGTACTGGATTCTGAGTGTGTAAGGTGACAATACAGTCCTTACAGTACAACTCTGTACCGAAGCAATCGATACACCGAAATTGAGGGACATGAAGATGGCAGCGCCAGCAGACAGGGTCACTGGCATAATCTCCTCTGCCCTCGTGCCGAAGGAACTCAAGTAAAAACATGTCCCGATCATTCATCCACGACGAAAGTGGATGGTCCTGAAGAACGAGTGAGAAACACTTATTACTGGGTACAAAGGGAGACCTACTGAGCGCTTCCGATTCGTTTTTTCGTGGCCCTCCGCATCCTCATTGAGCTCCGTGTCGTGAATATCGTATATATTGTAGTCAAACTGCTCATCACAAATTTCACTGATTGTCGCGCTAGCTTCAGTTTGAACCTGAGGTTTGGCCTGGCTCGACCCAGAGCTGATGACATGAGAACTGCGTGCCTGGAAGCCTTTACTGCATGATACAAATGTATATGTTTGGTGAACGCTGGGAGCTTCAGTTCCAGAGTTGAGCGGGGTATATATGTTGAGCTTGACTCGCTTCCGGCGGTTGATCTTTTTGAACGATAAATGTCGGGGGAGCATATGGACGGTCTCCTAGTAATATCAAAGCTTGGAAAGGAGCTCAGAGTCTAAATCGATTGTACAAGCCTGCCTGCCAGGAGTGAGTGCAACGTCACGACAAAGTCACAGCATTGAGTCTTGGTAATCATGTGATGTAATGCATTACTTGACAAATGATAATGCATCACTGGCACCTCTCGTACATCAAGTAATGCATTACATGCTCAATGCGCTGCCTTATAAATAAGCCTGCCAGACCGGTCAGTATTCATATTTTCATCGCTGTGTCTTTCTCCCATATTCACTCTGATGGAGCCTGCCAGACCGGTCAGTATTCATATTCTCATCACTGTGTCCTTCCCTCATATTCACTCCGATGGAGTCTGAGTCTGAGTCTTCAGGCCCTGCGTCCGAGTCACACTCGGAAGAATCTCTACCACCTGCTGATCCTGGTTTTTGCCTCTGCGAGTTTTGCATGATGTCATCATACGACCCTTTCCCTCCAACCTCCCTCGTAAGGAAAGCTGCATCAATCTCCAGAGTTGAGTTTGAAGGCGGTCAGAAATGTTTAACGGTTGGCGCAGGAGTGCGGCAGCCTCATGCACAGTGTGAGTAGCTCTCCCAACATCTCTGCAGAAACTGATCCCACCCACCAGGTCATAGTGATTCCGCACCCTCCATTGTGCCCACTATACCATTCACGCTTGGTTCCCCCACTGTAGTACCAATACCCCCGCCGTCACCTAGTCCACCACTTACAAGTCTTACTGGCGCTCTTTTTCGGTTACCTGAAGCCTTGCCTCTCACCATCACACCCTACTCCACTGCAGAGGCAGAGGCAGATATCAGGTGGGTACATCGGGATCAGGCTATATACAAGGAAGTTATCGATGCAATCGCCGATGATTGCGATGTATACTTATATCATGGGATGCTCTACAACATGCCTGCAGTGCCTGGGAAAACTGGTCCCTATTACTGTGTCCCCCGTGGACGATACATCGGTGTATTCAATACTTGGTAAGTCCTTTCTGCTTGACATCGCACACACTGATCACTTGTATCTAGGGATGAGGTAACGGAAAGTATCAAAGGCTTCGCTGACGTGGCATATGTCGTTACTTCCCTTGCCGTTGGAGAAGTGCTGATTCGTACTGCAATCAGGAGGGGTGAAGTACACAAGTGTCGAGTATGAACTTAGCGCACATTAATGAGTCTGTCGCACTGCATTTACTGTTGCTCAGATTTTAGTTTGATCTCACTAGCAAATCGAACTTGAGTAGCCCAGTCGACGTAAGCCTTCTTCCGCGCTTCATCTGTCATAGCCACAGTAATTGATGAATGATCAAATTGTTCTGAGACTGCACGCTACGCCTCTGATATCTGGTTCAGTCAACGTTCAAACAGCAGAACGATCTGACATGTCTGAGAGGGAATCATAAGTTAAAGCGTCTATGGAGATTTGTGAGAACCGTGGGGTGAACCATGTAGTCGCTGGTTTCGTGCACCTCCCTCTCCGTGCAGAGTCGTTTTTCATTCAACCATCCCACTTTGGCTAAGCGTCTGCGCAGTTCTTTGGGCATGTCTTCGTTACCATCTCCTCCTGGTCTGTGATAAATAGGCTTGAACCAATGTCAGTTGGAACAAATGGCAATGGGTGGCGAGCTAACTTAAAACATCGACAACAATTTTTATCCGACAAAAAAGGCTGAGATAGAATCTGGAAGTGCTAGAATGTCCAAACATTGAATTGCAGTGATCTTCACAGCACTGTCTTCACTGTAGAGTCAATGTTAAGACCACGCAGTACTGAGTAAAGTTAGAACTCACTTCCGCAAGTCGTTCTTGATGAGTTCAAGTACACTCTGTGGGGCCTTCTCCACACACCGCATGGCCAGAAAAGAAGCCTAAAACACTCATATGAGAACCATCACTTCACGTCATAAATCAGGGTAGGGCACGCACCAAAAGCACTGCGCGCGGTTCCTTGCTTCGAGGCCAGAATAAGACAAACCGCCCCCGAGTATTGTGGACGCAGAACATCAATAAAGCGCAAAGAACATGTCCAGGGAATAAGACAAACCGCTCCTGAGTATTGTGGACGCAGAACATCGATAAAGCGCAAAGAACATGTCCAGGGAATAAGACAAACCGCTCCTGAACATTATGGACGCAGAACATCAATAAAGCGCAAAGAACATGTCCAGGGAATAAGACAAACCGCCCCCGAGTATTGTGGACGCAGAACATCGATAAAGCGCAAAGAACGTGTCCAAGGAATAAGACAAACTGCTCCTGAGCATTATGGACGCAGAACATCAATAAAGCGCAAAGAACATGTCCAGGGAATAAGACAAACCGCTCCTGAGTATTGTGGACGCAGAACATTGATAAAGCGCAAAGAACATGTCCAAGATGGTGTTCATATAAAAACTCACATCTTCCTTTACATCTCTGGCATAGCCAACGCCTCCTTTCGACTTCTTTACCACAGGCAAAGACATATAATAGCTATCGTCATCAGCATCATCCCCTGTTGAAGTAGACAAAGAAGAGTGCAGATCGGTCTTCCATCTCTTATTCATTTTTGATTTCTGAGAACTCTCTTCAGAGGTTTGTTGACGCTGCTCAGAGAATGTGGATTCCAACATAGTGAGCTGGGTTCTCCACACGTGAAACAAAAATCCACTTTGCATGAAGGACAAGTGCGCTTGTAGTACGACATGGCGAAGATGTTGAACATACAGTAAGAAATCTGGCTATATGTAGTAAGTCAGCTTCCGGCTTTGTAATAGCAATCACATACGTGCAAGTTGATTCATTAGCACTTGCAGGTAACTCTGGGATGGTTCTAATTACACTGTCGGACTCACTGCACCAGGTGTTCGTCATGAGTATCACGGTAGCACGGGTATGTGCAACAGTGTCCGCAGGTATGGGGGTTACGGGTGGCACAGGTATGGGTATAGTGTCTGGAACTGACACCCATGCCAACACCGTACCTGTAAGCACGGTATACGGGTACGCCATGGGTATGGCGTTAAATCACTGTCTGGAGTCTGGACCTTGTTAAGACTCGTACTTCGCATAATGTTTGAGATAGCACTACTGACTCTTATGCTGCTCACAGGACTCTGAAGAAATGTGTATTAATCCAATGGTGCATCATCACGCACCATCAAACTCTTTATGTTCCGACAAAGGTCGCTCAGAGCGAGGAGCTTATCTTCGATACCATTGCATCGTTGATACCTACCGAGGTTACTTTCAACAAGCTAGTCTGTGTGAGCGAGTTCAGGTGTGTCCTTGAACAAGTTTAGCGAGGGTTGGTTGTTTGTTGCGGGTGGTGTGAGGTTTCTAATTTTGAGTGATGTGTCTGTGCTGATGGTCATTGGTCGTTGATGTTGCTCAGTATGTCTATTTTCAAGTGCTTTCTTTGCAAACCGTTGTTGCCATATGTCCAGTGTCCACAGTCCAACCGCTGCTCAGGTATGTGCTTCCGTCTTCATTGTAGTACACCTGAAGGTCTGACCAGCCGGCTTCTACGTTTGACTCCAGAGTGTCGCGTGAGGTTAATAGACCAATGGAGTATTATTTTTTGTATGTGTACTCGCAGGTAGATACCATACCACGGGTACACTACCACACTGAGCGTTAGTACGGGTGATGCTGTACCCCTACCCGAATGGGTGCGGTGTTGATCTTCCGACCTGCGGGTATACCCATGCTATGCCCTAGGCGAAGGTGAGCATCATCGTCAACATATAGTAATTCATTCTCATCTCATTCATACTTGCTTCTCAAATAGATATTGTTATGGGCGGCATATTGTGCTTCTCTACACATATCCTGCCACCCACACTACGTTCGAGCTAAAACTTCCACTGGCTCCAAATTTGCAGAACACCGGAGTGATTTAATGTGCCGTCTGGCCCTTCAAGCCTTGCGGACTGTTACCTCGGATGACGCTGCATACAAGGGTGTTGACGTCAAGTGCTATGTACGTGTTGAAGAGATTCTAGGTGGGTCCATTAAGGAGTCAAGAGTCCTCGATGGTGTCCTTCTGAACAAACTGAACCTAGTCTGAATGTGAATTGGACCCCCTCGAACATGTTTGGCTGTGTTCGGTCCAATGGTCAAGCAGAACCAGAATTCGGTAGCATCACTATTTGGTCGATACTTGCACCAATATTATTTTGACGAGCCTATGTCCCCTCAAGTCCCAAGCTCTCGGGCTGGGCTGTTCAATTCCCGCTTCATTCTACGACCACTACGCTGGATACAAAGACCTTCCTCCCTTTTTTGGCTTCAATTCTAGGCTCACTTCATATATCAAAGCAAATTCAATTTCACGTGGTCCAATTCAAATTGGTGGCAAGCTCGTGCTGAGCTTTCAATGGCATAAAGATTGCTCATCACTGGAAGTATGTTCATTCCTGGCAGTATCTTGTCCCATAGCAGGATAGAGAATTTATTAGCTACACAATGGCTGATGTAAAAGTAAGTATACAGGCGCCAGGTCCAAGATTGAGATCACGGAGTTGGTAAAGAATATCAGTGACACAGCCAATAGCAACTACAGGGACCGTGTACACTAGGTGCTACCGAAACCTTGCTTTTTAAACTAGCTAGAACCTAGCGGCACATGAAATTTCAACAGTGAAGGATTATTTATTTCTGCCTGTAAACGCTGTGATTTCTCTTACCCTCTTCATACCATGGGTCATCGGCGTGGTCCAAAGCCATGGGCAAGCAACGAACAGGAAGCTTTCCTTCTAGCACGACTCCCTGACTATATCAAGTGTCAGCCATCAAAGAGGTACCGAGATTTTTTGGTCGACACTGGCCTTGCATTTTTAGCTAAGTGGCCAGAGCGTGCATATCTAAGTCGAAATGGGATTCCTGCGGAAGGACCTCTTACCCCAGATCAGTTCAAGATTGTCCAAACAGCTATTAAAGCACGCAAGACTGTGAGTAACTTGAATATAGGTGAAATACATAACTGATGGGTAAAATTCCATAGGCCATCGTGCGCTGGTACCGATGGCAGACAAATACGGCACGTCTGGCACGATCAGGCAACTCCAATGTCGAACTAAAATTGGGGGTCACACTAAATGGGGGAGATGAGCTCAAGGGCACCAGGGCACCGCAGGAAGTCGAGGTGTACTCACATTGCCATTATGAGTCGCGCGTCAAGGTTGCCGTGAACGCTGCAATCACAGCTGCTGGGGGGACCTCTTCACGAGGCGAAAAGTTGTGTAAGCGGAAGGAAGTGACCCGCATAAAATATGCCTCAGAGGACGAGGTAATAAGAGCTGAAGTCAAGGAAAAGCACCGAGAAGCGCTTGCAAAGTGGAAGCATGATCGTGAGCTAGCTAGAGCAGGGTTTGTTGAAGAAGTCAGCGATGATGCAAAGATACAGTATGTACTCGCACATTTTTGCATCTAAATTGTTCGTCTAAAAATTGACATGTCAGAGCTTTCAATGAGCTGGGACCACACCTGGATCGCATCTTCCGTCATTTGTCCTACAAGACTGGAGGGCTCAAATTCACTTGCATTGCGGGTGGACGTAATCCTGCCACAGGTGAAATTGTAGTGGTCGAGTAAGTTTACGTTCTCTCACGGTGACAATATATCATAACCGACCTTACAGCTTCCATCTGGGCGAAACAGATACCGGTGGAGAGTTCGCAACCTGCTACCCAGGATTCTCAGACGTTCAAGCAGCCTATGCAAATTTCTTGAAGGAAGCAATTTGTAAGTATTTGCGATACATCCTTGCAACAGAATAACACTCACAGTTGTTATTCGTAGCGCATGATGACAATATGCTGGCGCTTGTGAATGCAGATGTGTCAGCTGAGACACGCATCGATAATGAGCTTGGTGAGGCTGAGGAGACCGATGCAGATGTGTCAGCCGAGGCGCGCATCAATAACGAGCTCGGTGAAGCTGAGGAGACCAATGAAGAGGACAAAGACAAGGCAATGCGGGATGATGAGGATGAGAGGAATACAGGTAGTGCACAAAGTTTGGAGTCGTTGGACCTCTATCATATAGGGCCCCAGGAGGTGAGTAATGCATTAATGTAATGCATTACACCTGTTTGCTGATGCATTGTCCTCTCCCGTTCTTAATGCATTAACCTCTCCCTTTCTTAATGCATTACCCTCATACCCCTCAGGACAACCAGATAGGGCTGCAAGACATAGCTCTGGGCCTGGGTATCGGCACTCGAACGACTACCAGCGCATGTCTCCCCGACTACCCTCATTCTTCGGAGACCGAGCCACCTTCATTTGGGGACATCGACTTCTGGAACATAGTAGGCGCGGAGGAATTCAACAATATGCTCGCTGTATCACAAGACCCATTCCACCCTAGTTTCATTGATACCGGCTTTGATCCCAGCTTCCCCCAGCCTCAACACGATCCATTTCAGCACGCTTCTGCTTATTTCGCGCCCAACAACTTGGCGACTGTGCAAAACCCAGATTATCCGATTGAAGATTTCTTTTTAAACGCAGGCTATCCCTACGGTGGCAAAGCGCTCCTGGAACCAGTCTTACCTGTTACCGTGCCTCACAATGCACCTTCCACTCAGACCTCAAACATACCAGCTCCCGACATTCCATCCCCAGTAATGACCACACCGCCTGCCCTGCCTGCAAGTGCGCAATCTGAGTACACCAACATACTTGTGTCTGGTGGAAGGCCTCGTTCCCTAGCAGGTCCCAAGGCCAACGAACAAATGAACGGCGATGAAATGGTTAGACCTACTTTTGGACTAACTGCTGAGTTGCAGCCAGATGAAGGTCCGCGTCGTACAGCACGCCGACACATCCCATCAAATCGTGCGCAGGTTCTTAATGCAATTGGCTCATCGAATGCTCGTGTCTGTGCGACATTGGGGGGGGCCAAAGAGAACGATGGACCTCCAGTCTCGCTGGCTACAAAACGCAAGGCGAAGTCGACCAACCAATCCAACAAGTAAGACCTTTCTCTTGAGTTCCAGATGTACACAAAAGGCTCACAACTCGTAGAAAACAGAAACACGGTTGAGGTTTGAGTGCCAATACTATTTCATATACCAGTCGAGGTTTTTGTGAGGCTAAGTTCGCTATGCGTAGAGAGACGGAACATGTTGAATAGTTTTCGCTCTGATTATACTCTGACTATTGATGTTTTGTATCTACATTGTGGTTTCTGTATGTCTCTATAATATAAACGGCATCTCACTGCCTACATCGCACTCATTTTGCATCTTATCCCAGATGAATGATTCTCGGAGGTCATTTCTATGATGCTCTAGACACCACTTTAATAAAATGCGCGATACAACAATTCAGTGCGCGATACAACATTAAGTGCAAGATACACTAGTGTCGTGTTCCAAAACTTGTATCACAGCAGGAATTCAAGATTGGTCGGAGTAGCAAGGTAATCATTAGTGTGCTAGAAAAGATACCAAGGAGATGACAGTAACTTAAGCACGAGAGATGGATACCATGCAAATACGATATAAGATGGTTGGGGCTCTACGAAGCGCACCAAAGAGCTAGACGCAGGTGGCCTTGAGAACATATCAAGTATAGATGGAGGCAGACTTGACAACGGCCCAGTCACGGCTTCCCAAAGCGAAACGAGTCATTTCGGGCTATGGTAAGTGCCACTGAGTGGCGAGAGGGAGAAACGGAGAAGGTAAGTGGTCCTTTCCTTTCAAACGGTGATAAAATTCTGCGCTACTTGTTAGAATTCAATGTATTGCACTGTAGACAACAGTAGACAAAGCTCACAAGTTGCTCAATGGGGCAGAGACCTGCAGAAAGCTGCCAGGCTGAAGCTTCCAACGAAGCCTATCACATCGATCTTGATGAGGATGGGCCGAGTATGTCATGCATGGAAATGCTGGTGTCCCCAAATCCGTGAATTTAATGCAGTCGCCATTGAGTTACAGGTCCACGCGTACGTAAAGCCATGCCTAAAATGATGAAGATTTAGGAGAGAACAAAAGACGGGCACAAAAAGGTATCATATTGAAGGTGCATCTATACTATATATAAGCTTGTGCGACCTATTCCAGGCTGCCGGCAGTGACCATAATTTAATGCATTACAAGCAGGGCCAAAAAGCTGCTGTTAATGCATTACGCTCCATCATCATTAATGCAATACATGAGTCTTGCAACTACCCTACATTAATGCATTATTATGACAGGATAGCCTCGGATTCAATACAAACTCCGGGATATTTTGGACTTACCTTCTTGGTCTTGTGTTTGATCATGGTCTGGCCAGGCTCAGAATCTTCAGGTTCTGAGAGATCGCTTGGGACATCCGATTCGTCACGTGCATCTGGCATAAGACGCACAGGTGAAATAGGATGAGCTGACTGGTAAGCAAAGGGAACGGGAGTTGACTCACCAATAGGGACAATAGGCTTTGCACGCGCTGTAGGCTTTGGCTTTGGCTTGGGAGCGGTGGGAGGTACAGTTGGCTCGCGCACAGGAGGTACAGTTGGCTCGCGCATAGAAGGAGCAGGACTTGGCTCGCAGTCAGGTGGAGGGGGACTTGGCTCGCGGTCAGGTGGAGGGGAACTTGGCTTGCAAGTAGAGGGAGCAGGTGTGGGGTTTGCCTTGGCTGCACGCCGCGCTGCCATCTGAGCGCAGACTCTTGCCAAGGCATTATCCCTGCCTTCGCACGAGGAGGTTGTTTTCTCATGCTCTTCAGTATTGTTGCCATCACGGCCCTCCTCATTCTTAAATAATTTCCTTAGATAAATAAGATTAGCGCGAGAGTTAAGAATATATCAATGACTTACACATTCCAAGCCTTGAGAAGTTCTTCTTTCCATTCGGGATCGGGTGAATCGTCGATAAGGTCCAGAATATTGTTGTAGAATTCGCGATAATTGAAGGCACCGTCAATTTCGGCCCAAGAGTTCTTGGCGCTTATACCAAATTCAACCTGTAAACAGCCGTAAGCTATATGTGCAGCTTCAACGGTCGTCATGTTGTGTAAAGACGCGTTGCAGGTGCGTGTAGCACGTGTCTCCCCTCCGTATGCACTCGATGGACTTGTATATATGTGCCGCATAGTCTAAAAACATTGCAATGTCAATCCGGACAAGTAGTAATAAAAATAAAACTTACCCGCTCCAATAAATAACCTTCAAACATGCCTTCAAACATGTTATCGTCGTTGTAGTCTGAGCCCGGTGGATCTCCGGCCCATAGAAAAGCAGGAAGCGCGTGTGCAGTTACCTTGATCTTGCCACACTGGATGTCTTTAAGTGCCCTGTAAAGAATTAGACATAATTTGTGAGGTGAAATATAAAGGGACGCACATGTCCGCGTCATCTGAAAAAGTCTTGAGATCCCTGACTGGACAGAGGAAGCGTGCAAGAACAGGGTGATTAAAACCCATATGGGTACGCGAACCACTGCCATCGTATATGGCCGGACGTATGGGGTGATCCTTCGTGTTGAAAGCTGCGTAATGACCGATCTGACTCTTCAGACGGGCGGTGTCGTCAGAGCGAGTCGCAGAAATAACCGCGTCCATCTGATGAATTAAATAAGTATATATCATGCGCATATACTCACCTTCTTGATGATAATGTTGAGTTCCGAAGTTTTGCGAGGGTCGCCAAGGAGAGACTTCAAGCTTGGAGCGAGTTGAAGTAACTGAGCAAAATTTTTCCGGTATCGATCTTGGATTTTAGGTGACCTGCACAGCAAGAAATTATGTAGTCAATTGTTAGATTAAAAAATGACTCACATCTTTGACAATCGCTTGTCGCGACTGATCCGCACATCTTCATCTTCCGATAGATCACCATGCTCTGCAGCAGCATGCTGCTGCAGAGCAAGGCCTACACTGATAAGTTGTTTGGTCTTGCAGAAAACATCAATGCAACGCGCTATACAGCGTGCAGCTGCAAGATATTCCTCATGGGGATCGATCGAGTCGGACTCTTTATCCCTATATCAAGTCGTTATCAACGATCAGAACGTTGGAAATGAATCGACTCACTCAGATGAACGGTGCTTTTTCTTTGGCCTCGTGGCCTTCTTTGAGGATTTCTTCGGAGGAACAGGGGCCACAGATGATATTGAAAAGTTAGAACTACGCGAGGATGCAGATGAAGCAGATGAGGCAGTCGAGTCAGAGCGTTTGCGACGCGCCATGATGATGGGGAAAGACAGATAAAATCACACCATTTCACGTGTTATTAATGTTTGTTTGTTAACACATTTATTTATTGCAATTAAAATAATGAGTGAGCGCGGTACACTATTGAGCAAGATAGAAAATACAGTGGTACAATGGGCACTATAGTACAGGACAAAAAATGAAAATCAGAGGGACTCCTGGTTGTCCTCCAGCGCCTCTGTCCTTTTCTTGACATAGTAGCTCCATGGCGCAGTTGGATTCTTGGGATCTGGATGGGGGTTGCCTAAACGCCTGGTAAGCAGGGTGCAAGGGGAGGCTACTACAGGCCTTGAAAAACTTTAGTAAAATGAACACCAATCAATTGCAACGACTCACTCAAAGTCTGGGCCGATCACAGCCAGATCTTGATCATCTTCAACCTTCACCTCACTGATCCCAATCTCCGCATCTTCAACCTTGATATCCCCGCCATCTCCATTCCCACCAACCTCATTGTCAGTTTCAATCTCCGTGGCATCAGAATCGGTGTCAGACTCGGTGTCAATGACCTGTGGGCGCACACGGAAGACAATTTTCTGTAAGATCGCAATTAGATTAGCTTGCAAATGAAAAGAGAGAAAACAACCTTGGGGCCAGGAGAATCTAAGTCAATGTTGAAGCAATATGTGTTTCCGAGAGAAACAGCATTTTGGATGTCAACAAATATGACATCCCCGTAGACGTTGACTACGGAGGTCCAGGTGTCGTTGGCAGGTACGTTAGACATTATGATATTAATACGATGATACAACGATGATATAAGATAGAGTTTCAGTTCGAACTTCATAGCACCGCAAGATCCTGGCGGAGTTTTAATCTGACTTCAACCGTTCATGTTGGATGATCATGATCATTTCAAATTTTCGATCATGATCGATTCAAAAGTCTTATGCGCTGTAAGTCAGCTGCTTTGACATCTTTTCTTTTTGAACCTTGACCTCACGCTTTGACGTATCTCCCGTCCCTCTTTCGCGAGCCCGTGACCAGCCAAAATCCTCCGTCCAAATGGAGCCCAGCCGCTGTGCTAGTTCTGGTGAGTGCCTTCTCATTTTTCATTTGTTTAAAGTCCCCTCCCTACTTGGCCTGGTTTGGCCGTACGCCCCAAGGCCAAGTGTCACGCATCGTTTCCATTTGTAGTATCTTTCGTTTCTATGCTAATTGTGCCAAACGTGCAACAGTCGCAACATGTTCCTCGTGTCCCTCCTCCCCATTAACCCGGACCCCTTCCCATGTCACCTCGTCCCGTAGCTCTTCAACTACCTGGCACACACCATGGCACACGCTATCACGCACCCCACTCATACACCTCAACCGCCTCCCTCCATACCTTCGCCAGCACACACACCTTCCACAGCCAACGCACCCGCCTCAATGGTCCCAACCCCAGTTGATGAACAGTCTATCACAACCAACTCTTCCTCAAGCCGGAACTCCCAGCTCAGTGTGTACAGCTACTCAGCTTCTAACTGTCCTCGTGCCATGCGCACCTTCTGACCTCTTCAGACTCGGACTTCGATTCAGCCTCACTTACCAACCTAGTCAACCCACGTAGGTGAGTCTTTAGCTATAAGTAGAATATGCTATGCTAACACGTTTTCATTCCAGCCGCTGTGTGTGCGGTTTTCTTAATGTAATTTTCTAAATGGAAATGCATGACTCCCAATCGTTTGGTGCCTTGGAGTAGCGGGATATTAGAACACCGTCCTTGAGTGGTTGGTGCGTCACATGGATTCCCGCCATCTCATCTGGCATTGACGACACCTTGTATAGTTTTATTGTATCCTGTATATATATACGTTTGCAATCAGAATTTGTCCCCATCTCCCACTTTCTGCGCCCTCCTCTGAGTCATACTCCGTCCATGGACGAACTTAGTTGTCTCGGCTGTGCAAGAGTATTTGACACCCAAAGGCGTTTGAGTGCCCACGAGGCATTGTGCGATACTCACTATGAATTTAGCGCAGAGGTCGGCAAATCTCACCGGCGCGCTGAGAAGAGTCGAAAGCACAAGAAAAGGAAAACCAACCACCGGGACCACCACAACGCTCTGGATGAAGCTGACGAAGAAGCTAATCCCCTGGAGGGCATGGAACATATGGACGCTGGAGACTGGAACTTTCAGGTCTTTGCGTTGTTCACTTCGTGTATAGGTGAATGCTAAAATATTATTCAGGATGATAGCATGGCTAGACGTTCGGATTCCCCACCAGTACCTGAGCCTGATGCACCCCTCCCGCGCTCCAATCGTTCTGGGCGTGTTATTCACATGCCCAGACGATATGATGATTTTATTCCTGGCGACGACATAGCTCGGCCAGATGAAATCATGCCTGAGGAGAATATTCACGACGCCGGTAATGGACTAATCCCTTTTGAAAACAATTCCAGATACGATGGGATTATACCGAGTATATCCTACTCGTCCCACTCTCTTTCCGCGGTCCCCCCTCAATAGCCTATGCGACACACCAATGTTGCAACCCGAGACCGGCGAGGGTCGCAACAATACTCCTTCTCGTCTTCATACTGGCCCCCCCCTCCCTATTTCCGTCACTCCCGACAATCTCTACTCCGCGTTCAGCAGTCCAACCGCTGGCCTGCTGATGTGTTGGCAGTATTCCAGCTCCAATTTAATTTCCGATGCTGCTATGCAGCGACTCACCACTTTCCTCGACGACGATGCATACAATCGAAATGACGTCAAGATATTCAATCCTACCCGAGAGAAGAGATTCGTAGCACAGTACCTTGAGGACCATTCCAATCCATTCAGCGCTCGGAATGGATGGAAAGAATCATCAGTCTACATCCGCCTACCTAAAGAAAAAATGAAATGGCCATTAGAAGGTGATGCCCCTGAGCTCGAGATTAAGGGTGTGCGCCATCGATCACTGATTGATATCATTACGGAGGTTTTTGAAGACGGCGCTGCGACGACCTTCCATATGACGCCATTTCAGCATATGTGGAAAGTATCCGAAGAACGCACCATCAAAGTATATTCAGAGGCATATGCCTCACCTGCAATGATGGATGCTTACATCGAGGTCAACTCCCTTCCCCGCCAAGCAGACGACAATCTCGAATGCGTGGTCGCATCGCTTATGATGTATTCGGACTCAACACACCTTTCCAATTTCGGTGACGCCTCCCTCTGGCCGTTCTATGTTTTTTTTGGAAATGAATCTAAATATACACGCGGGAAGCCTACAGCTTCCGCATGTCATCATGTCGCGTACATTCCTACAGTAAGTTGTTTTCAAATTGCTTAAATTAATGAAATTCTATTGACAAAATATCAAGCTTCCAGAAAACTTTCAAGATTCATATTTTGCTTTCTTTGAGGAGGCGTCTTCGTCAGAGGTTTACACGCATTGTAAGCGTGAACTCATGCAAGCCATCTGGAGGCTTCTCCTCGACGGAGATTTTATGCATGCTTATGAGCATGGGATCGTGATCCGTTGTGGAGACGGGATCACGCGCAGAGTGTTTCCGCGTTTTTTTAATTATTCGGCTGATTACCCTGAGAAGTAAGTGTCTTTCGGTTCTCATGGTTCTTAGATTGATTTCATTTCAGAATCTTACTCGCTGGAATTAAATTCCTGGGTGAATGCCTGTGCCCACGCTGCCTGATCAAGAAGGCAGATGTATCTGAGATGGGATCAGAGGGCGACATGCACGATCACTTGGCCCTTCAGCGCGTCGACGATCTAGCCCGTCGTAAGAAGATCGAACAAGCACGGAAGCTGATCTTCCAACGTGGTGCACCAATTGATGGTAAGCGGGTCAAATCCATTCTGAATTCCCAGTCCCTCGTGCCTACACGTGTAAGTACATCATATATTATTTTCAAATTGTGGCTAATGAAATCTAGAACGTGTTTTCCGATCGGCTTTTCGCCTTCGGATTCAATTTTTTCTTGATGCTCGTGGTGGACATGCTGCACGAATTCGAGCTCGGCGTATGGAAGGCTATATTCACCCATCTGATGCGCATTGCGCATGCCGCCGGAGGTAATGTAGTAAATGAACTGAATCGGAGGTAAGTGTTTTTTTATATTAATCATTACTGACTACAGGACTATATACAATAGGTACCGCCGTGTTCCGACATTTGGGAGAGGAACAATCCGGCGCTTCCACAGGAACGCGTCTGCAATGAAACGTCTCGCAGCACGAGACTTCGAAGATCTATTGCAGGTGAGTAATCTTTGCGAACTTCTTTTAATACTTATTGATTTCAAATTTCATTTCAGTGCGCCATCCCAGTGTTCGAGGATCTATTGTTAGATCCGGACAACGATCGTATAATTCTCGACCTCCTATTCGACCTGGCCACATGGCAAGCTTACGCCAAACTCCGTTTGCACACTGAGGACACGCTAGACTTTTTTGACTCAGCAACAGTTGTTCTCGGCAAGTCCGTGCGCAAGTTTCTACGGACGACATGTGAAACTTACATCACAACGGAGTTACCTCAAGAACACGCCGCTCGGGGGCGTCGGCTGGCTGCTTTGGCTGCTAAGCAGGGCGCATCAAAGGGAAGCACACTGCGCCCAAAGGTAAAAAAATTGAATATCTTTACTTATAAATTCCACGCCCTTGGCGATTACCCTAACACGATCAGGATCAGGGGGACCACAGATAATTATACCACCCAGCTGGTGAGTTAATTAATTTCATCATTGATCATGTATTTAATTTTGTTATAGGGTGAACTAGAACATCGACGTCTTAAAAGACACTACCCACGCACATCTAAAACGAAAGCTACAATGACTGCAAGCATCGCGAATCAAGACGTGATTGAACGTCTATGTACGAAGGTCATCAATGCTCGCGCACAGTTTGCTGCCCAGCAGGGCAATAATTTACGTCGGCGGGTGCAGACATCACCATCAGAACATTACCACATCGCGAAATCTGCTCGTACGACTTACGATCTCTCAACATGGTTAGGTGATCTCCGTGATGATCCGGCAGTCAAGGTATGTATTATTATTTTTTTCGTGTGTATCTAATACAGTTGTATAGAAATTTCTTCCCCGCCTCAAAGACCACTTATACGCACGTGTTCAAGGTCTTGCGTATGAAGGCGATGAGAACGACTTCACTGATGCTGAGCGGAACTCCATTCTGATCACGGACAACAAATTATTTGAACATAGCATTGTTCAGATCAATTACACCACATATGATCTCCGACGCAAGCAAGATTCCATTAACCCCCGCACTCGTGCTGACCTCATGGTGATGTCACACGAGGAAGATCAATCTCATCCTTACTGGTATGCCCGGCTGATCAAAATATTCCACGTGAACGTGGAATATCACGAAAACCCCGATTCAGTACGGTGCTGGCCGAAATGAATGGATTTTTTGTTCGTCCGATGGTTCAAGCGTGACACGAGTCCAGCTGGCTTCACTGCCAAAAGACTCCAGCGCCTCGAGTTTTTCGAGGACGAACACCCGGACGCATATGGATTTCTTGATCCGGAGTGCGTCATACGGGGCGTGCACATCATTCCGGGTTTTGCTTTTCGCCGACCCGAAGGGCCTCGACTTCCAACGATCGGACGGCGCGAAGCAGACCCGGATTGGGTGTTGTATTATGTGAATATGTATGTATTTTTTTTTCATAGTCTACATACTAACTATACACATGGTACTTAGGTTCGTAGATAGGGATATGTTTATGAGGTTTCGAGGGGGCGCTGTTGGCCACAAGGGAATGCGAGAGTGGGACGACTTTTTGCAGCGCGAGGGACACGTTCCCGAAGACTTGGATGATGAAATCGAAGACGAGATCGAAAAGGAAGCCGATGAAGCCGCTATCTCCGATGCATCTGATGACGACAGCGAGGTGGATGAAGACATAGATGATGACCCGGAGGATGAATTGCAGTCGGACGAGGATGATATACTAAGGGACGATGAAGAGGACGAGATCATAGCCGAGTATGGGGAGGAACTCGATGACAACATCCTTATGGAGGAAGGCTATGGCACCCTGTAGTTACTTTACTTAGCTTTCATTCGTTTGTCATCATATGTGTTTAATTTTTGTGTATATAATACATTGGTTATATCTGATATATATCTGATAGCTACTCTACTACATGACTGATGTCTGACAGACGGTATGTTTGATGTCAGCATGTCGTGACGATATTTGAAATGTCGGATATCGCGGGTATATATAATTGGCGGTGTCAGAAAAGTCAACATATCATGTGATGTCTGGATTCGGTAATTTTGGTGATGAGCATGAATGACCCGTTCCGAACAAACAAAGTGTCACGTGCAACGATTTATAAATGAGTATGTGTAAGTGAGAACACGCAGAATTACATACGAACAAATGCAGATGCACGCAAACGAGCAGAAGTACTCAAATACTCATCTATGATCTGCCAGTGTTACTCCCATTGAAAGCCGTGGCTCGAGGGCCCGGCTCAGGCTTACAGATACCTCAAGCCGGGCCTTGAGCCCTTATGGGCCGTCCTCAAGGCTCGGCTTGGCCCGGCCTAAATGGGCTCGGCTTGGCTCGGCCCACGGCCTGAAGCCGGGCTTTGCACATCACTACCTATACTTCCCGTATTTCCTTTCTAGTAAAGAGGACAGATGGGGCTCATCTGTCCCCTTTAGTAAGCTTGGAATTCGTTCATACAGAGCACCGCCGGTGCGCACCAGCAAATTACCGTGAGCTCAGCAGTGAGTTATTTACATTTGTATTTACTAGGTAATAGTGCTAATGTTTGTTTAATGTTTACCCTGCGCCCAGCAATGTTCCCGCGCTTTTCTCCCACACACCATCACTGTCCTCAACAACGAGCTCGACAACGAGCTCAATACTTGCACCACCGTATTCGATTTATCTCTCCATTCTTTGGACGTCTCATACTGGCACTCAGCACATGTTTGCTCCAAGCAGGCGTCTCTCACTGGGTGTTGGACTTCAGCCGGCTGTCAATAAATGGTACGTTTTTCTTACTACCTATCCGCTGAAGTCATTGGCCCCGTGGCTACCACGTGCTTGCAGATATGTATTGACACCTTTCCTTCATTGTTTTGCTTTCCAGAAATGGCCGGCAGTCTCCCTCCCCTTTAAACCACAAACACGAACACGAATATCACTACCTGACCTGCTAACGCCCATGGTCAACAATTCACGGAATTCGATAGGTGGCATCTCCCGCAAATGTCTCGTCCAAGTAGGTGGTAGCAAGGTCAAGACTATGCGAGTTGGTGGTGTCCGGCAGCGCGAAGAAGAAGCGAAGGCAGTTTGTGCTGCGCTATTGAAAAGTATGATATTTCAATTTGTCTTAGCCAAGCTGAATGTTCTGTAGAGCTTCCTCTGCATGAACGCGAGCGGCTCCTGGCCTCTGAGTCCCTAGCCATGTCCGACATTGCTGATTCATTGCACACCGCTGCAGATACGCATGCGGAGACCAATTTCATGGACATCGATGCTGTACTCCCTCCACCTGGTGAAGAAGGCTTCACTACAAGCCATTGGGGCGAGGAGCAAGCACTCTATTCGGAGCTCGAGCAACTGGTTCATGCACACGCTAAGTAAGTTGCTCCCGCATAATTACTTATGTGGTCTTACACTGCGCTACCAGGCCTGCCGACACACACAACCGCAGCCTACGTATCGCCCACCAGGTTGCTGCATGGACCGAACAATACGAAGCGCTCACAGACGCGCTACTTGCATACCTGGATGACCCTATGGAACAGCGACAGATCAACGACTCTGACGATGTGTTCGAAATAGAAGTCGTGGATATATTTAGTGAGTTATTTACATGATGTTCGCTCCCTTACTGACAGCTACTGCGCTCTAGGTCGATCAATCCGTCAATTCAAGCACGAGTCTCCATTCACCAACGTAACTTTACTACATTATGGATGCATTGGATCGTCGCCTGTAATGCCAAGCGTGGCTATCACTGTTCGGACCCTTGCCGTCTATCGACAAACCCACCGTGTTTGTCCTCGCCTCAGCATTCACGCAGAAGCAAAAAAACTCTGTCACATGCATCATGTAAGTGCCGTCATCTACAGCATCATTTCCGCACTTATTTGTGTTTAAGATACGTTATCGGCGGTACCTCGCTGATCAACTACGTGCTGCCTACGATGTATACCTTGAACTACAACGACACGTCTCTCATCGCCTAGACAAGTGTCTGGGGAGAGATACTCCAGACTGGCGGATGCTTAATTCCTGCACTGCGTGCCAGTACACGCTCGAAGGAGAGCCCCCATTGCTATACTCCATCATCTGTGCCTGTGACGGCAACAACTCTGCCAAGCTTGTGGACCCTGCAGTTCGCAGTGGAGTTGAGCGCCCAGACCCTCGTTCCGGCACCTCACCTATTTGGCTCAGCGAGTCTTACGTTGATCAGTTTGCTGACGAGGTTGGCAATGCTCGCCGAAACTCTCGCCCTGGCATACCATTGGCCCAAGCTAGGGATCCAGATGATCCCTGGATTGAGGAGCCAGATTCATCTGACTCTTCAGAGCCAGTAAGCATATGTGTTGATCGATGGCGTAACGCAGCTCCGGAATCCCGCAAGAAAATGTTCGCTATCTTCAAGAAGTCCGGAATTTTCATTACCGTGTGCCAGTCATGGCTTCCTTCTTACCATATGTGATATGGTACGGAGTGGCGAGCTGTAAGTGTCATTAGAATTATTATGACATGACACTGACCCTCAGTACTTAGTATGAAATATCCAATTGCTAGCCTCAAGAAATTGATGGACGTGTTCGGCAAGAACATTCTTTACAGCTATGACATTAAATGCGCCCTGGAAAAGATACTCCTCCGCAGCTCGCTAGCTGATCAGATCAAACAACTGAACCTTCAAGGTGTCGTCCCTGCCTTCCACGGTCACGCACACAATCGCCTTTGCCAGGTGCAGCACCACTCAAAGTACAAGGTTGGCGCTGGTAAGGAAGACTTCGAGACGTGCGAGCGAGTATTTTCCGAGTCTAATGCTCTCACCTCTGAAATTCGGAACACTACTGAGTTTCATCGCCATCAAGCTCTGGACTGAGCACTTTCGCTTCGCTGACATGGACAAATACGCGAGTTTGTGTATGTATCCATAACTGCCTTCAATTTACTCAGCTCACAACACCTTTAGCTAATTTTCTTTATCACAATTACGTGCAAGCATTGCAGACGATCTCCGCTACCTCCACTTTCCTCGATGAGTGCTCAATCTCACGTGATGCGCCTTTCGAAAGCGATTGGAATGATGAGAAGGCGTCATTGCAAACGATGGCACGCAAGAAAGAGGAAACCGTTGTCGAAATCGATTACGTCAAGGCCTTACTTGAATATGACAGTGCATTGTAAGTTTTATTTGACGGGATCGTCCTATTTTATATTAGCTTCTTTACGACAGGCAAGCGTACAATGCCGCACGCACCGAATTCAGCAAACTGGACCTCAGGTCAAATTACTCATCAAAGGAGATTGGCAACATTAGGCGACGCCACACGCACGCCGCTGCTAAACGTGACCAAAAGCAGGAGGTCGTTGAAGATTTTGAGCGCCAGATGGGGATTGAACAAAGGTGGGGCCCAGATCACCCAGAACGCATCAAGGCGCAGTCACGTATCATGCACCGCCTCTTCTTTAAAGCTCTTGATGACGTTGAGAGGCTGGTAGTCATGCAATTGTTGGAGCTCACAAAGTTGCAAATGAACGGACTCGGTAAGTTTCGCTGTACTCTACAAAATGATACTGACACATCTTAACTTAGGTTATAAACTTCGTACTCAGATTTCCAAGGCTCTCAAAAGTTGCGCATCAGCCATTCGAAACGCCCTTCAACGGTACAACAAATATGCTGCCCAAATGATCCCTCCACGCCCTCCCCTTGAATGGGAACAAATAGTTGAATTTTCGTTTTTGGCCGAGTTCGACTTACTTCGTGATGGTGATGCACAGTTGCACTCCAAACGGTGGGCAAACCCTCTTTATCAACAAGCGTCCATGCAATACTTTGATGGTATGCGCGCCAAGGAGGAGATAGAGAGGTTAAATGTGGAAATTGGCTGCCTGCTGACGAAAATATGTGATGACGCTGTTTACTACCCCCAGACTATTGCAACCCTTGCCGCTGATGATCCCCCGCTTGCCTCTGAGCTTGGTCGACAATGGGACCAGCTCCGCTCCCTCAACTTATGGCATTTACAACGGATTCGCCAAACCCAGGCCCTTCATGGTTATTCTGGCCCACTGAAGCCAGGTACATGCATTGGGGCAGCGGCTGGTGTGATGCCTACTGATGGTTCAGCTGATGTTGAAGATGCCGAAAGTGAAGAGCCTTACAATGGAGAACGCATGCAGCAAGTTGAGGGGTACATTAGCGGACTTGAGCATCATATTGCAGATAATTTGTAGTAGGAATACAGTACACGGACCTATGATTTGCGATTTGCTATGATATACATTGAACGATGCTTAAGATCTGTTCAGCCCACCAGTGGAAGGTCTGGTTGATCATATTCCATGAACCGTTTGGTGGTTGCCGACACCAGTGGCAGGTCTGGTTGATCATATTCCATGAACCATTTTGTGGTTGCCGAAGGTCGAGAATCAGATCATTGTGCTGTGGCATCCTGGACTTAGTAGTACCATAATATTTGTATGATAGAGCCCAATATTAATCATGTTTATTGAATATCTACAGCGCAGCGGTCAATTCAGATGCCTATCACGCAAGAGTTATGATTGACTCACATTGTATCAAGTGTTTGTGCGCAGCCACTTTAGGCCATCTTCATTAATTGATGTTCCTCAATTCCTTTCCTCAATTCCTACCACCATGTCTACTTGGATTCAGACACAGTATTCTCACCAGCCAACAGTGGATGGTCTCGCCGAAACCCTTGCCATCCTTCCACGCCCACAGACGCTTGCTGGCATAGCAGGAATTCAAGATCGGTAGAAAGTAGCTGTTCTTGCTATGCTTGTTCATCAAATGCACAATGATGGCGATCACACCAACCTCAACCATGGGTTTCACTCTCTTACATCTACTCACTACTGCACTGGTGCTTCATCTTATAATTCTAGCCAACAAACCTCCCAGGATCAGCGCATGGATAATTGGCGGGCTCGTTCCGAACACACCAAGACTATACTTTCTTTGATTTTTGATCTGGTGCGTTGACGGGTCTATTTACATTTAAATCACGCTGATATATATATTACAGTGCACTGCACTTGATAGGTTGACAGGAGGTTCCACCCTGTTATTCCATCACCCTGGTGCTACTGCTCCAGGCAGTGACATTGTTCCAGAGTCGCTGAAAGCTGACATCTATGTCAGCCCAAGGGTGCTCGGCGAGGACTTTAATTTACATCAGGCAGTCGCAGAGATGTCACAGCTATTTATCGAGCGCTTTGCAACTCCTCTCGCACATTGGTTTGCAGCCTCCCGTGTGCTCAACAATTGGCCAACACATTCAGCATCTAGTACGACCCCATACGTCCATCAACACAATCCAATATCCTTCCTCTCATCCCTGCACCCGTGTCAAGAACCTCGTGTCATTTTCAAGTCCGTGGCCGTGCACCTGGCAGGCTTGCCCAAGCCATTGGTTTGAACACGTCCCTCGTGTCGTATGTTCCACAGGGGTCTCCCCTTACGTGGGTCACGCAAGCAGTTCCTGCGACACCGATTGCTACAAGGTCTCGGACGTCACTGGGAGCAAAAAGGACTGGACATGCAACGGCTTCGGTATGTCGATATATTTGTATTGATGACGGCAATAACTCATGGATTGTACTTAGCGCACCCTGAAAGCTCCAGTTATTGTTTGCGAGTTCGACTCAGATGATAACTACCCCGATCCCGGGCCTATCACCCCCATCCGTGCTAGTGCTTCATCCGGCCCTGTCAGGGCTAGTAGTTCTTTGTCTGTGACAGCCGGCAAGCAGGCAGCTGGTAGTTCTTCGTCTGTGGCAGCCGGCAAGCAGGCGGCTGTCACCATGTCTCACCCGTACCTCATGTCTGCCTCGCAAGTCCAGCCAGACATCCTGGTTTCATTCGGTCCTGAAACTGAAAAGGTAATCGAAGCCCTCGGGCTCCCAGACACGCTTCATGCTGTTTGCGCTAATATCAAGCTGAATTTCCTGACCAAGCGGTGGGCCAGGGTGCTTACAGAGGAAGGTCATATTACCGAGGAGGATGCTGAAGCGATTGTGCAGGCGATGCTCTTGGACGTTAGTTGCATTTCAAATATGTAATGATTTGATATTGACTCCGCTGACCTTGCCATGCTATATATTATCATGTATGTCCGCTCGAAATATTGGAATTGTTCTTTGCCAAACAACCAAAGCCTGTCCTCACTCTCAGCATAATGAATCCTCGCCCTCACAATGTACGGCGACTACTCTCGCATCATCGCGGGCCTTACGTCAAAGTCTCAAAAGAGTTTCGAGCTTTGCTCACTCAGCAACGACGAGACAAACGCTCTAGTGAAGATGTTGAGGTACAAGCTGTCCTCCACTATCTGGAGGACAAAGCTACCGAGCTTGCACAGATTTTTAGAAAGCCTCGACGCCATTATTTGGAGTGTTTTTCCTTGGGCTCAAAACTTCAACGGAAGAAGCGAGAGAAAACCAGCGCGTGGTCGGCATGGGTCCACTTCAAGGGTATCGAGCGCAATTCCGGTAAGTACAAGAGTATTTAGTATTTACACACTGCTGATGTTTATTCTACAGGCAATGATAAGCAGTCAAAGATGGCTGAGATCATCAATGACCGAGCTGAATACAACAGCCTTACAAAGGAAGAAAAGGAGGAGCTCGTCAAAGAGTTTGATGAGGTCAAAAAATGTGCCACTGATCGTCCACCCAACATCACCCCTCGTGTCAAGGCAATTGAGAGCGCAAAAAGCTTCCAGGTCATCAAGGAAGAGGTAGGTTTTTTTTCCTCTGGTATAACTACTCATCTAACATGATACTCGTAGCTCGATGCCATGTCACAACGTGTTGGCATCGAAGCCTTCATTTTTATGGTCCGCAACACATCGGATTTCCAAATGGCACCCAAGGCTTACTTTACCAGCACCGAGTGTGAACAATTCATACGTGTTTACTTGCGGCGCGACGCTGCACGCACAGCTACTGACTTCGAGAGTGCCATGCTGTCAAAGGGGATTTTCAATTGTTTGTTTTTCTTTTCGTATATACTCTTCAGATCTAATTCTTGTTGTAGCTGCGCCATCCAACCATAAAGAACGTGTATCGAGGGCCAAACTATCCATCCGCACTGGCTTACGAGCCTCTCGTTGTCAGTATTCAATTATTTATCATTTATTACAATTCTAAAGGAGGACTAATAGGTGAAGTGACCAATGATGCATCAGCTACTGTCGAGTTTACGAAATATGAGGCCTCGGTTGTTCGCCGCTATCACGTCAAACTCGTGGGATGGAACCACCCCCAATGGGTCAATCCATCAGACCTGAAGGGTGGTGTTGAGGCACTCGAGAGGGTTGCCGATGCCATCAAGGCCAAGACCTGCCGCTTCGTGACGATTAGTGTGGAGGAAGTCGAAGAACGAAGAAGAAAGATTATGGATCATGGAGCTGTACTGACTCCTGAAACGGAGCCCGCCATTGTACCTTCTACATTAGAGCCTTTGCCTAACTCGGTTACCTCACACTCTCAGGTTACACAGGCTTCTCCGTTGCTACCAGACTCATCTTCGCATTCCTCATCGGAACCTAATAACGCTTTAGCTGACACATCAGATGCATTGGATTCTGATCTAACCTTCAATCAAATCACTGATGATCTGATAGACCCTGCCCTTCTTACGTCCTCGGGTGCCTTGCCATTTGTCACTCCTGATTCTCATTCAAAGCGCTGAGTCTGTTGTATCACCGCCGGCTCCCATTGTCAATCCTAACACTGATGATGCAATAGAAGACACCCTTCAGACACTAGGAAGTAAGTCAAAGACCGTGGTTTTTCAATGGTAGCTAATTGACATGTCATCTAGGTGCTCAAATCCCACCTCCTCCAACAACAACAGAGCCCCCCGTCGAACCCAATGTCAATATAACAGAGCCCCCCGTCGAATCCAATGTCAATATAACAGACCCCCCCGTCGAACCCAATGTCAATATCTGCCGCCGTAAAAACCAGGTGGAGGCTGACGAGAACGATGAACTGCAGCCACGTGCAAAGCGGGCAAGAAAATTGACTGCCAAACAGGCAGCACTTGAGGAGGCGGCAAGAGGAAGGCAAGCTGTGCAGGGCAAGAAGACTGAGCAGGAAGAAGAAAAAAACTACTTAGTCTTCTCATAGTTTACATTAATGCGCTGCTTCGTACCTTGTGAAATTTATGGTGGTTTGACTCAGAAGCCAGCTGTGCATGCAGAGGAAGCTCTACAGAACATATTCAGTGTGATTAAGCACTGCCGGACACCACCTACTTGGACGAGACATGTGCGGGAGATGCCACCTATCGAATTCCGTGAATTGTTGACCATGGGCGTTAGCAGGTCAGGTAGTGATATTCGTGTTCGTGTTTGTGGTTTAAAGGGGAGGGAGACTGCCGGCCGTTTCTGGAAAGCAAAACAATGAAGGAAAGGTGTCAATACATATCTGCAAGCACGTGGTAGCCACGGGGCCAATGACTTCAGCGGATAGGTAGTAAGAAAAACGTACCATTTATTGACAGCCGGCTGAAGTCCAACACCCAGTGAGAGACGCCTGCTTGGAGCAAACATGTGCTGAGTGCCAGTATGAGACGTCCAAAGAATGGAGAGATAAATCGAATACGGTGGTGCAAGTATTGAGCTCGTTGTCGAGCTCGTTGTCGAGCTCGTTGTTGAGGACAGTGATGGTGTGTGGGAGAAAAGCGCGGGAACATTGCTGGGCGCAGGGTAAACATTAAACAAACATTAGCACTATTACCTAGTAAATACAAATGTAAATAACTCACTGCTGAGCTCACGGTAATTTGCTGGTGCGCACCGGCGGTGCTCTGTATGAACGAATTCCAAGCTTACTAAAGGGGACAGATGAGCCCCGTCTGTCCTCTTTACTAGAAAGGAAATACGGGAAGTATAGGTGCGTCTGCTCGGGCCCGGAAGGTAGATATTTTCGGTTGCGGCTGCAGGAGGAACAAGTTCCGAATCTGAACGACTAGTATTGAAAGGTTTATGCCTAACATAAGGCTCTATACAGCGAGGATTAGGACGAGCTCGAGGATACTCGCGGTGCAACAAGGTGTAGAAATTAAGGTTTAGCTGGCATGGTGCATGTGGACAAATTAGGAAAGGTTTAGGGTCCACATAGGTAATTTACGTGAGGTGACCGTAAGCTTCAAGTCGACATTCAAGTTGGAGTGATGTGTGACCTGTTACCATTCCGAAATACTTCGGCTCTCTATCTTTCGAAAGAGTATGTGGTGCCCTGGTCCAACTCGGAGCCTCATTCGCTTCCGACATTTGGTAACATTCAAGTCCGAACATCCGGAGCCCGAAACCCCCCCAACACCATCATCAACCAATTCCGCATTTGTTAGACTGTGGGAATGTACCACTACACCCAAAACATAGCCATTTCCGGTCATCTCTGGATCTTAACATTTCCCACACTCCTCCCCAGTACATTCCTGCCCACCACCATACCATATCAACCTATTTATTGTAGAGATGTATCAGTTTATGCTATGTACATACAATAGGTCACAATGGAACACTTTTTTGCCTATTTTTGTCCCAACACAAGCTCCAGAAACCTGTACATATAATACAAGAAAAACATATCAAAAACACATCTGCATTTTTGTCCCTTCAATGATAGAATGTCTTGTCACAGTAGTTATACATTTTTGAGTATATATGAGTCTATTCAACCGCTTTTTTGGCCCTCTAAAGGTCCCTGAAGTATCATATGTAGTATGTGTTACAGCGGCCCCATCATTTTCTCATCATCATGCTTCCCTGATCTATTCCTGCTATCTCAGACTGCTTATCAACATGCACAGCATGAACGTTCTAGATACTTCCGTCTATTCTTGTTATCTCTGACCGCTTATCAACATGCACTGCATGAACATTCCAGATAGTTCTTTGACATTCTTCTTGACTCCTTTCACTTCCATAGTCGGCCTGGTCCGTGCCTCCCCTATCCATTATAAATACCGCAGTAGCCACACTTGTATTCTTTAACTTGAATCTACTTGGTTCTCTCTGATACTTGATCATCTTCCGAGGAAGATATTTGATTCCGATCTAGCTCTTACAAAGAGACTAGTCTTACTCGAACTTCGTATAGAGGGAGAGCCCCTCATACGTCTGAACAGAACGTCGTAACTATTGAACTCCTTTATTGGATTAGTTACTCAAGAACTATCCAAGTCGTAACAGTATGCACACAAAAAATAACAAGTAGCTTTGCACATCTTTTTTAAAATGTACAGACTTGCAAATATGATCTACAGCAACCTTTAAATAGTTTATACAATATCTCAGGCCTTGGGAGCACAAGAGGGAACTGAAATCTAATTTTTACAGGAGAAAAACTCTACTGTAAAGCATAAACAGGGGTGGAGTACATAAGCAGGGCAATGTATAATAAGGGAATAACAATGACAGACCGTTCCGGACGTTTCTGGGGGCTCTCGGTTATAATTTACGGTATACTGCTGGTAACTGAGAGCCATTAAGTGTAAAAGCCCCGAGTTGGAACAGGTAACACATCACCGTTTCAAAAACCATGTTACCATTGGACTGACGTTATTTAGTAAAGGTTGGACCCCGCAAACTGTGTCGGAGAAAGGTACGAATCTTTTCTTGTCTTCATTATTCTAATTGAATGTCTTCATTGTCCTACTCGCAAACTTCGACTTAAGAATAACCAGGAAATGTTCTTACCGAGCAGTGGAGTCGAGGTCTTTGCCCTTCATGTAATTGATGGGTTCAGGGACTTGCATTTCTCACGCCATTGGGAGCCGATCTACTTCGGAATGGTAACAGGTCACCATATACTCTCGAGATAATGCACTTAGGTACCTTGTTCTTCGTGAGTTTGGGAACCGAACCGAAGTATGCTGCCAGTGATATAACAGGGTACCGGCTCAGGATTTCACACTCGCCTCCCTAGCCTGAAATCGCACAGCTGAGGCATAATGGGCAAGCTCACCACTTTCGGGTTTCTTCGCGAGCAATGGACGGACCTCCCCATCTCCACTACGGACGTCAGCGATCAGTCGCTGGTCGTGGTCGGTGCTAATGTTGGGCTTGGAAACGAAGCTGCTGTGCATTTGGCCCAGCTGAAACCTAAGAGTCTGTTGATCACCAGCAGAGACGAAGTCAAGTGCGAACAGTCAAAAGCAGGTATGCGTGAACACTCTGAAGCTTACCAAGGGACTTTATGACTTGTATAGACGTGGAGACCCGGTCGGGCATGACTGATATCAAATCCTGGCCCCTTGAGCTAAGCTCATTCGACTCAGTGCGTTCTTTTGTGAACAAGTTTGAGGCGAAGGGTTGCACAGCAAATGTTCTGATCGCCAACGCCGGCATGTCGACGACGAAGTACACGAAAACTCCGGATGGCTATGAAACTTCGTGAGTGCTTGCTATGATTGCCATTTATTTTGCCTCGAAATTTTTCATAGATTGCAAGTGAATTACCTGTCAACCACTCTGTTGAGCATATTGATGCTGCCTCACCTCATCAAGACCGGGACTCCTGAACATGCTTCGAGACTAGTTATTGTGTCTAGCGTGGCTCATTTTCAAGCCAACAGGCTAGAAGGGGCAGAGAAATGGCCTAGTATCATCGACATGATCAACGATGAGGCGTATTGTACCTCTAGGCAAGTTTCATTGATGTATTTTCGTGCAGCAATAATGAACCCGCTGCAGCGTGATGATGAACCGATACCAACTATCCAAACGTAAGTAATAAAGTACATGCATTACTATGCTCACCACACTGTCATACGCAGTCCTTGAAGTGATGTTCATCCGTGAGCTGTCTTCTCGGCTTTCCACACCGACGTTGGTCGCAGTTTCCGCGGTCAATCCTGGTCTTTGCCACTCCCGTCTTACACGAGATGTCGATTTGAATCCTTTCTCCAAGTTTGTTATGAATATTCTCCAAGGGTTACTGGCACGCACGACTGAGATGGGCAGTCGGACACTTGTCCATGCGGCAATCGAGCCAAGTGAGAGGGAACGGCATGGCCGCTACCTGTCGAGTTGCAAAGTTACCGAAGAGAGCGACTATGCTCTCAGTGCGGAAGGTAGGGAAGTATCGAAGCGTTTGTGGGTGCGTACCTGCTTGTTTTTGACTACCATTGTGCAGGCTGATATCCAACTGGACAGCACGAGACCCTCAAGATTCTTGGAGACATCGATCCAAGAGTCAATACAATTGTATCTGAGAACCTCATCAAGGAATGATAGCATGACTTGACTGTTATTCATTATAGACGGTCGTGTTGTATTCTTATCTCAGTTATCTGTGGCTGTCGGTGGCACAAAGTTGAGCTCGCCCTGTTTTCAACGTTGAATGGCGTTTGATTCAGTGTAGTCCGAGTATCAGCGAATAACAATGCAGATTGTAGGACAGAGCTAAATACATGTGCTCCTCGAAATTAATGCACAGTGACACTGAGAGGTATTAACAGTATCTGTGATGCGGATACAGAAAGCGTCACATCTCGAGACTCCGAGTCGAATAGATGAAAATTGTGTCAGAAATGCAAAGCCAGCAAACGGATTTGTAATCCTCACAGGATACAGGCAGAAAGATACATCCATATGGACAATAGAAGAGTATGTATCGGGCTTTTGGGGCTATAGTCCACTTAGGATACATCTATATAACATCATCGGCTGCAACATGACGACTTGAGCACTGAGCAGACGACAGTTTTGCGCACAAATGGTACCGCAGGGTTAGGTTCCATAGTCGGGAGGTTCGAGGGTTGTATCAGAGACTCCATCGTCCCTGACTTGTACGAACGGACGGGAGAGGCTAGAACCCCCAGATTGTTGATTTCTGGGATATTCAGGGAGTTGAAGAGTTCGAGTGTCCGTAGCTGACCGTGCGGTTAATGAGACCACGGGGCGATATGAAAAGAATATAATATGACGAACCCAGTGTGAAGTAGCACGCTGTCCGATGTGAGGTTTAGGGTCTTTATCGATAATGCGAATTGGGATGCCGTTCTGGAGGAGCGTCAACGCTGCTACCAGGCCCACTGGCCCGGCCCCTACCTAAGAAAGAGAAATTCAGCAAAGGTGCCGGCTTCTATTATAAGCAGATCACTTACGATTAGCACATGAGGATGAGTGAAATCCATATGAAGAGCAAATGTAGAGGTTGTTGAGTTCAGAGGTTGTTGGGTTAGCAGCCTGCTACATAATGCTAGGATACACCTACAAAAGGCGCTGCTTCGCGTGGTGACTCTGGTGAGCCTACCGATTACTTACACTTCACCTACAAAAGGTGTTGGCCAGCCTGTGACAGCGTACATAGGTATGCAAAAAAAAGATCTAGCAATACTGCCAATACATCGTGAATAGACAAACGGACTTTGAAAAATACCTGCGGCAACGCGGCAAATTGAACCGTCACCAATCATCCACCTTAGTCAGGGAGGTGTTCAATTATATGGCGAGCAATGCATGTATTCCTATGGCGAGGCACTCGTAATTTAATATCGATTACTCGTGCTCGTGCCAAAGCAGAAGGGCTCGGTACTCTACCAGTACTTCCTCGACTCATCCCCAAGCTTACTCACGTCAACGTTAGTATTGACGAGAATTTGCTCTACGACGGATGCATTCACTGACACCTATCACTGCTGTGAGGCTCTCTGGCACATCTCCCGGATGTTACGCGTGCAGAAATTACCACTGGATGTGGGAATGGTCGTCGGTATTCCGAACGGATATATTCGAGGTAGTGGGTGTAGATCTGCACAGTGTAAGATTAACTTTGGAGATACGACAAGCGCAAGGGCCACTGCACTCAGGCGAGCGCAATCGTTCAAGCTTACCAGTATGTAAGCGCGCTCGTCTGGGTCCTGTAGAATATAATGTTTCCATGGCTGACATGAAAAAGCTAAACGCTCACTTTGTCGAGGTCAAAGATTGTAGTGGGATATGACACATTTTTGCCGCGCAGTTGAAAAGTTACCTAGAAGCTCTGCCATCTGTTGAAGCTTGTGAGATACCAAAAGATCAGGATGGGGCTGCCTGTGGGTAGGAAACACAACCCACGTTCAATGGCCGTAACTTCAATTGAGTTGATAGTATAAGGCTTACCCGGAAGCGCCATGTTTTAAAATATCACGGCCATCGCAACGCCGTTTACGTACACCGCATACACGCCTGCAACACAGCCACTGGCGTGCGTACCTTGATAAGTTCAAGTCCATGATACATATTGATCATGTGTTGGGATGTACACGCTTGCGCGTTCATGTAAGTAATACGTATATCACCAGTATTTGGGTTCATGCATAACCTGGGCTAACGCTTTATAGATGGCACGTACATAATAAACATTAGTGCTAACGTTTCTCCGAGGAATCAGGATCCTTTTGAAGTTCCCGGTGATCGCTCGAGCGCCCGAGAAGACGGAAGAAGACTCTTCCAGGAGTCTGGGGCTCACGATATATTCTGTTAGACTTGGCGCTGGGCCTTGGACATATATATTAACACCACCACACCGCTTCACCAAGAATTTTTTTCTCCACCACTGGCATCGCCCCTCTAATGGCGAAATATTAAAAACAATACACACCCGCGCAGTCCACGAGCGAGTGCCCACACATAAGCCCTTTACATATGGTTTTGCTGCACACAGAACAGACGATCAAGGTATGAGCGTATGGCCGATCTTCCATTTTTTGAACCAACTCTCGCGCTATGTTTCGCAGTATCTTCGAGGTTTGTCGTTAGTTCCCCTTCTTCATTCTAGTCTGTACTCAAAATTCTGGTGAAGTTGCACCGGCCGGGGTTTGGGTAAGTCAAGCGCGTACTTTCTCGCGAGTGCATGCTGAGGCTTTTCCCCCTTCATCAGGCACTCGATTATTTTTTGACCCTTGAACATGAAGCCCGTCTGTTCAGCACCATGGGCGTCTTGAGCATTGTGTCTGTCATTTTTATCGTAACTAGATATACCCCCGTAGTATGGATTATCAGCGAAGTATACGGTGAGCAATATTATTCATTATTTGGGAAATTTTCTCAGCGTCGGTGGTCTGTCAGTTACTCTTGGGTCACAAGCAATGGGAACGGTATGCACTCTCTCAAACATACTCTAAGCACATCGATGCTAAGTAATACAGTGCATGGCAACATATCGAACGAGTGGGGGTAAGTCACCTCGTGATCGCTAGTTCCACATCAGCTGATACTGCCCAGCGTCACTGCTCCTTATCATGTCAGCCGCAGAAGGTTAGTTCTTTTTCATTGCCAAAGAAAAGCCCCGAACTTAAGTGTTTCAGGTCTGCTCCTGATGCGTACACTTGCATTATGGCATAACAATAGGAAGATAAAGCTACTTTTATTGGCAAGCTACTCGGTAAGTTATATGTTTTAGCCGTGGTGTCATAAGTGGTGATTTAATGAAACTTGAAGCTTGTTTTCATATCCATGGCCACTTGCGATATAATTGCGGGGCCTCTGTTCAAAAGTGTATGTGCGCCCACATCAACTCAGAGCGCTTTAGAGGATGCTACAAGACTAGAACGCCTGATAATGGGCAAGTTTGTAAGCGCAGCACTGTTTGAATTCAGTAGGCGATTCGACGCTGCCTTTTTAGCTCTACTGACGAATATGTGCAGTAGCGATCACTATCACAATATATCATCCAATACAACTACGTTCTAATGGCATATGTAACATCAGTAAGCTGGCGTCAACCTTGTCGAAGGGAAGTGTGCTATACGCACTGTTGCTTCTTGGTATGTCATTCGGATGTTTGTTATTACTTTCTATCTTACTTGGCTGTGCTTTAAGCAATCTCTGTTGCAAACATTGTTTCTTTTTCTTTGCCGGTACGTAGTTTCCATGCATTCCGCCAGGGTCAAGTATGAATTATTATTGCAGGTATCACAAGGGCAGTGCGGGATTATAGATGTGTAAGTGGCTGCACCTCATATCCAGGGCTAAGCGTCAAATTGTCAGAATCAGGTTTCAAGGTGTCCTACACGGTGTTATAGCTTCGCGCATTCTTTTTGATCTGAGGAATACAACGTGCACAAGTCAGAGTGAAGAACACGACTGCCAATTCACCTCATATATATCTATTCCTTGCACTCAGTGCGCATCACAAACGATACCAATGGCTGTCTTACCTGACGAAATAAATGTATGAGCATCCCTCGCGGAGTACCGCGTCTTTCAGTCAAAAATATTGCACGCATTGCACGAGGCTGTAGGATTACCAAGTATGATCAGCGGCTCAGCGCTCAGCTGTTGCAGTGTTTCTTGGCGCTATGACGTGAGAGCGCTCGAGCCTTGTTATACAAGTTCAGAGTACTTACAAGACAACTTGCTCGAGCCATTAGCAGCTTCGAGCAGCTTTGCGGGGTTGACTTCCGAGCGCGTGGAAAGCGCGTATATGTTTGACCTCAACGTGACCTTACAAAAGTTGTTACAAATCCTATCTTCTGCTTCATGACCTGATTCAATAAAGTCCAGAACTTCGCGCCATAGTCCATAGTCTTTTACGTCCTCCTGCACGCATCATGCTCACTGTTCCATACACTGGTGAAAGCAAGCGCATCAGCACTCAGATTTAGGAGACAACGAAAAGGAGAGACTCACTCAGGCGCTCTGGAGTTGAGCAAGCCTCAAGGCCCAGCGCTCATGAACATTTGAACTGGGTCCCACTGGTGATATGGCATTTAGTTCCGCCCTTGCATGCCACAAACTTGTAGATTTTGTTATTGAGACAGTAAAACCCGAAATCATTGCCGTTGTTGAAACCTTTGAGGTTTGAGCACCCCACTTCATCGGCGGACAGCCATCAGCATGTGGTCCAAGGTCTGCACGTAGGCAACGAAAGTACTCACCAGTTGTGTGGCAGGGTAGGTTCAAAGGCGATACGGTCACATCCTAGGATGCGATGGCTACGCCAGCCATCACTGCCACAGAGACGATCATAGTGGTGAGTGAAGTGAATTTCATGGCTGAAATTTAGATTGTGTTGTCTGAATAAAAACTAGCGCGCTGGCTTTTATACACAGGTAGTGCGTAGGGGGCAGCCAAGCAATCTGGATGAACTTGTATCACGAAGCAGATACCACACTCCGTGACATAATTGCCTCGAAAGCCTCAAATAATGTGCCGGACGCACTCCGCCGCGAGTCCTTCTGGTACGTGTTGGTGAACTTCGATCTATGATGATAATTTATCCACCCAACTTTCATATTCGCAGGGATGCGCAGACGCACTCACTGACCAGATGCATATAACAACTCAATAGGCCTGCCCCTATGCCCGCATGATCTCGCTACCTACAAGAGCATCCTGGTAGCAAGGCCAGTGGTCGCGGGGGTAAACTGTAACGGCGAACGTTTTCCGAGGACGTTACATGGATGTTGCCGATGGCAGTTATGGAACCGCGAATACTTTCATGATCACAACGCCTGTCGTGCTCCGCAAGTCCCACAACCACGAACGCCATCATTTGTATCAGTCACCATCTGTTACTTCCGACTTCCGGAAATCGGATGAATTGCTAAACATCATAGCAGCGATAAATCTTTTACCAGACAAGAAACTCCTAAAAACTCAGAGGGCCATAAACTAGCAGATAACACTATAAACTCACCACCATCCCAACGGCAAGTAGAGTATGCATGACTGAAATAAATGGTTGATGACATGCATTTCTTGGGAAACGGCTACAAAGAATGCCAATGGCCCGCCTGGGTGCGTGTCGCGAGACTTTATCAGTCCATCTTCGACACGCATGATGTTCACGACCATGTGCTTGGAAACGTCAGCAAATAATATCATATATAAGAAGTGAGAAGCTGACTGCGGTACTCAGTATCAACAGCAGGATGGCCACCACAATGTTTGGGCGATTGATGTCGTGCGTGTGACGTTAATAGGTTAAAGTCCAGGTTGTACTGATGAAGATGAACCGCAAAGCCTGGAGAACCCCAGCTTGGTCGATATGGTACGAAGGAATCCATGAGACTCACCGTATAGCATACCTTCCAGCGATACTGACGTTGTAACAGCAGCATCTATTGGCACGTCTCCTGAAGCCATGACGAGAATAGTAATGTCTACCGCCTGAGAGATGCGAAGGTCCGGGCATCATACCCAATTTCGTGAATATCGTTTTTATACGGAAACGACTTGGGTCGCATGAGCTTGAGGAATCTCATGCATCTCGAATCGTCGCCAGCAGTTGATGGAAGAGACACCATATAACTTCTTGCGCCGCACCACCCTTTAGCTTCTAGGTCAATCTAACAATATATTCCGTGTTGTCAACCAGTTTGCCTAGAAATGGTACTCAGTGCATAAATTTCCAACTATCTGTGTGAATGCAACAAACTTATCGAAGTCGTGGCAGAACGCTCCAACGTTGAGGAAATCATAATTGTGTTTGGTGGAAAGGAAGTGAGCTGAGCACTGGCAGCAGTTCCCGTCAGTTCGAATTCTGTGGTCAAAAGTCTACTAGCGTCGAACGCGTGAGCTCATAAGCACCGGGGTAGAACAAGAAGTTGCCATTGTTATCAGGTCTTGCGAGATTACGAAGTGTGATCGGCAGCTCGACGCCTAGCTATTGCAGTGTTCCCTGGCGCTAAGTGTGATGTGAGAGCGCTCGAGCATAGCTGACAAGAACCGTCGCCTTGTTCGTCCACCGTGACTGCACAGGTGGGGCCGGCATAGGCGAATTCGAACGACCCTGAGACCTTTCTAGAATTTCCGGCTTCAACGGTTATTTCAGCGAACCGAGCTCACCATTCCATGGGTCCTTGAGCTGCGCTGCGCCGCTGCCAAACGCTGAACGTCACATTGTTTCCGACTATGTACATTTCACAGCATAGGGTACGTAATCCCGATTGTTCCGACGAGTCTGTTGAGGCCCCATTCGGATATTGTTCTCGGTGAGGTAAGCACCCATTCTTCGGTTGACATTGACAACGGCGCACATTGTAGGTTCCGAACTGATCTGGTGATCAGAATTCTGATAGTCCACGTGCCATACGCCGGCGAACTCTATGTTCAAAGTAGCCTGCCAGTGCAGGGACATGAAATGAAACACAGGAAGAAGGACAAGAATTATGAAAGCCAAGACCACCGCGCTTCGTTACTCAACAGCTTGAATTGAAGACCTGGAACAGGCACTGGCACCTTGTTCCTCTGTTCAATCATGAACATGATTGAATGTTGAACACTGGGTTCACTGGATCATCATCGGGGACGATTTCCCATTGCTGATTCATCCACGCATGAACGCCAGGAAGACGGCAGATTGTCCAAGGACAACATAGTAACGGCAGGAAACCAGTACGTGTACCTGTTGCATTCAATATCCGAGTTCATCTCGATGACCCAGCCCTGCCATATATCCAAGCCACTCGAGAATGTAACGAAAGGTCTCCCTATAGGCTAGTAGCTATAGCCTTGGAAGACCTTAAACCGCGACTAATACTGCCTGACCAACCGGTCAAAAGATGATTTGCGCGAAATTGGATACTCTTTCGGGTACATGCCAAGGCTATGCTACAACACCTGAAAGTAGATGGCTTTTTTTTCTTGTTAAGGTTACGCGTATACGATATGGACTACAACAGACTCTTTTCCTTTTGAAGTTTCATCGGCTGCACAGGCTCGTCTTTTGCTATGCAGAAAATTCGATGCGGCTCGGTATGTACCCTTCATTTCAGAGCGATCCTCACTCAGTACAACAGCTGGGGCATCTCAATCCCTGCAGATGTTATAGTACCCGACGTACATTTTTCAACGATTCACACAACTTCCCGGGTCAAGCGCGAATGTAGATCCCTGATCATAATATGCAGTAATATTGATGCTAGGAATCGAAGAACCTTAATACCCAATCCAGTTCAACATGTCCGATGGCTAGATGCATGCTTACCAGCGTCTGGCTAATGTCTGGAATGGTGGCTGCAAACTTACAACACACGGCTAGATTGGACACCCTCCGATGTCAATGTACAGCGCGATGAAATTTTGCCGAGTCAAGAAGAAACCAGTCCGTCATCTCACCTAATAGAAAAAACCTAATCAGAACGTTGACTGCCGTTAGGAGCAGTGTAAATCTCAAGGAGTGGCATCATCACTGCATCATCCGCATTAGCATCTCGCTTTCATTCCCATTGGAATTTGCACAGACATGATTGGGACGCCGAGAAACTTTATAAAAAGCTACAAAACAACCTGTCAGTATCAGCAAAGAGAAGGGTCTCAACAGCTTTCGTTTTCCAGGAAACATGTCTGGCTCAAACAACCTTTCAACTCCGTTATCCGCTGGTAAGCATGCACGTCGTAAAAGCATTACACAGTTCACGTACTATTGAATATCAGAGGTCATTTCCTCCACGTGGCTTGGTACATTGATTTCCGACCTATCCAGCCCCACTTTCTCTCTCAAAAACTCCTTTACCGATGATAGCTACTGGCGGGATCTCTTGGCATTCACTCCTGATTTTCGCACTATACACACACTTCCCGAGATCCAGCATTGTTTCTCCATTCCCGTTGCTGACGCGCGACCAAGTCAGTTTCGGATCTTACCTGGTGTTCATCATCGGTGCACTGGTCCTGGAAAATCATTCGTCCAAGGAATTATTCAATTTCAGACGGCGATCGCAGAGTGCACTGGCGTCTTCACTCTTGTTCAAAGTGACGACTCCTGGAAGGCTTGGTCCTTTGTGACCATGATGGATCGTTTACTTGGAGTGGCAGATCGCGTTAATGCCAGTCAAACGCCCCTGTGCAGCCCACCTGAGTGGAAGACTGTAATGGAATACACAGCGGTCATCGTTGGTGCAGGTCAGTGCGGCTTATCCATTGCTGCCCGTCTGGAGAACCTCGGCGTCTCTACTCTCGTCGTGGAGAAACGTAGCGTATTGGGTGATAGTTGGCGCTCTCGATACGAGGCGCTGGAGACAAATACATCCAGAGCGTTCAGTACGTGCAGCTCTCGTCAACTCTTGTCCTAGTCTGATCGTACGAGAAGATCATCTTCCTTTCGTCCCGTTCCCGGAGAGATATGGGGAGTATATCCTCAGCACCGATGTTGCCGAATATCTTGAAAATTACCAGAGGACTCTCGGTCTTCACGTGTTGACTTCGGCGTGCGTTTCTGCTGCTTCATACGATTTTTTGACAGATACCTGGACGATCTCTGTATCTCTTTCGGACCGATCCTCTATGACTGTGACGGCCCGGCACCTGATTGCGGCCACAGGTGTCGGCACGTTGGGAGGTACAATCCCGTTTATGCCACCTATTCCAGGCAAGGTACGAAATCATGACTTGATTATCTGTGGATGATGAATACTGAATGTTATCTGGCTGCAGAACTCCTTCCTGGGAAATATTCTCCATTCAAGCGAATATACGTCCTCCCGCTGCGGCAGTGCACGGAAGGCGGCGGTTATCGGCGCAGGATGCTCTGCGCACGATATTGCTCAAGACTTGACGAAAAACGGGTCGCGAACGGTACTTGTGCAGCGTTCGCCAACCGCTGTTGTCAGTCGGCAGGTGCTGAGTCGTTCGTTCCCAGGTTACCTTAACCACTCGCTGCTAAATCTCTCCACTGATTTCGATCATAGGTTTTTTTGGGCAGGATATCCTTTCGACAGATATCGCCGACCGCTTCTACGTCGCTCTCCCTTTGCCGGCTCTACAAACTTTCCAGCATGACATTATGGAGAGCAATGCCCACATTGACCGGTTTGTTATGCAACATAGATCCCCCTGCCTCGCTCATTTTCCCTCAGAGACCTCAGGGATGATTTGTCCCGTCAAGGTTATCTCCTTCCCGGCCCTGGGGACAACTTCTTAAACCGTCTCCTCATTCGTCGGGGTGAGTTTGTCCCTTACTCATTGTTCTGTTTGTCTCACTGCTATTCCAGGCGGCTACTATATTGATCGGGGTTGCGCAAAGCTTATCACTTCTGGCCAGGTAGTTCTTTAGCTGAGTTTCAGTTATCAAGTTGCTTACCATCAGCAAGATCGCCGTCAAGTCTGGGCTTGAGATTTCCTGCTTCACACCTTCTGGCTTGGTATTCGATGATGGCTCGCAAGTGGAAGCTGACCTTGTCATTCTCGCGACTGGGTATGTCTCCCGAAGATCATTGCGCAAGATCTGACAGCAGTTTTATAGCTACACGAGCTCTACAATTAAAGAAGTCGCCGAGAGCCTTTTTGGGCCCACGGTTGCGGATACTGTCCATGACCTTGGAGCACGGGATAGTAATTTGGAGTTTGCAGGGATTTGGAGGTCATCTGGACGTAAGTTGTTGTGTCTTGATTGATCGTGCTACTCAATGCTGATGTCTTTCCCCTAGACAAAGGTCTTTGGTTTGCGGAGGGCGATCTGTTCTCTGCACGCTTCTACTCCCAGCGCCTCGCATTACAGATAAAGATGAGGGAGATGGAATTGCTTGGTCCAGACCAGAGTACCTATATATCAAGCTGATCTGTGTGTTCACAAGCTGTATGGTGCCTCGTTCACAGAGTCCGCTGTGTATATCGATTGACGTAGTGTGAGTAAATTTGGATAGTACATAGACCTGTATTGAACTCCCGCTATGCCACTAGTAGTGTGGCTTTAGCCTAGAGCTTCCATTATCTAATATAATTTATGTCTGCCTAGATAGTGTAATAGGCAGGGTCATCTGGTCGTTTCAGTTGCCAATGCGGTAGTGACCACAGTGGGAAGTTCCTCGGATGTCGTGACAATGGCAGGTTGTCTTTGCGATGATGGTGGTATGTTCTGGCTTGCTGCACTGCGTGGTATGAGGGTTGAGGGGAGCTTGTTAGCCGGCTTCTTTCTCGCATGATAGTTCCTCTGCGTGAAAATGAGTCAGTGATAGAGAAGTGATCATCAGGAAAAAAATGTGCAGATTTGGCCCCTGTGTACGGGAGCTTGATTACTGGTGGCTCCATGTCCAGTCCATTTCGTTTGTGTAGCATGCCAGAGACGAAGTGTTGAGCCTCGCTGAATGGACGGGGTGGATTGGGTGCCGCGCTCAATTGCCCCATGTGGATCGGGGCGGCGCCGGCGAGGGAGGTCGTTGTAACAGTCCCCCACAGCAGTGTCTTCCTTCACAGCTTGAGCATTGACTGTGCAGATCGAGCGCCCATTTCCATTTGTGACAATATGCCCAGTATCTTCGATTACATTGACCCTTCGGCATTGAGTCTAATCAGTCTTCATCACCAGTACTACGAGTCTGAACGCCTTTGCAATCTGGCAAGCCATAACCAGAATGGCAGAAACACTACCTGCTGGGAGGCAGATATCCAAGGAGAGCGACATGCATCGAACGCCTTGTGGTAATCCTTTCAATTGGACCAATGAGTCACATAGTGTAATCAATATTGCAGATATTCGCGTCACTTTCATATATGCGGGATGCACCCCACGACTCCATTATGCACCGCTACATCTGAAAGTGGGAAGAAGCAGGTGGTGACTGGTGCATATGGTGGCATTGCGCGGTCGTGGGACATGCGAAGCACGGCATGCATTGTGACCATGAAAGTGTTTGCGGTGCCACAACTGACATTGGTAACATCCTTGTAACGTTCGCCGTTACAGTTTACCCCCCAACCGCTTGGCCTGGCTACCAGTAGTAGTTGGCAAGCTCATGCGGGCGACGGGCATAGGAGCAGGCCTTTTAATTTTTTATGCACCTGGTCGGTGACCGCATCTGCCGCATCCCTGAAAATGTGAACATTGGGTGAATAAATCACCATCATAGATCGAAGTTCACCAACACGTACCAGAAGGACTCGTCGAGTGCATCCGGCACATTATTGACGCCTTCAAGAAGATCATGTCACGGAGCATGGCATCTGTTTCGTGATGCAAGCACATTCAGATGCCCCCTATGCACTACCTGTATAAAAGCCAGTGCACTAGTCTTTCATTCAGATAACACAATCAAGTTTCAGCCATGAAATTCACTTCACTCACCACTATAATCATCTCTGCCGCAGCGATGGCTGGAGTAGTCATCGCATCTGAGGATCTGACGTTATCACCTGCGGGTCTGCCCTGCAAAGGAGCTGGTGAGCACTTTCGCGGCCTACGTGCAGACCTTATATCACATGCTGATGCGGCCATCCACTGATAAAGTGGGGTGCTCGACGGGTCTCAAAGGTTTCAATAACGGCAACGATTTCGGGTATTGGTGTGTCAATAACAGAATCGTGGGGTATACGAAATGCAAGGGCAAAAATAGCTGTCATGTCACCAGTTCGTCTACGTTCACATGTACATGATGAGCGCTGAGCCCGGAGGCTTGATCAGCTCCACAGTATCTGCGTGAGCCATCCTTTCACTTTCAACAGAATATGAATGCTGATGTGCTTGTTTTCGCCAGTGCACGGAACAAGGAGCATGATACGTGGAGGAGCGCGTAAAGGAATAATATGACATGAAATTCTGGAGTTTATTGAATCTGAAATAAATACCTGCTTTCATCCGCCAAAAATGAAAATGGATATTGGAATATCACCAGCGGTATCGTCTGTCTGAAGTGGCAACAGCATGAATTCTTCCTTCCTCCAAAACCTTTTATTCTGGTCCAACACATAAGCACTGAGCGGTAGCGCTTCGTATGCCGATGATCCCGTGAAATGAGCAAGGAGAGGCCATGATATAGATAGTGAAAGCAAAGGAGAAATATGGTTAGCAGGCTGCAGCTCAGAATTCAACGTTCGACGTTCAACGCACATGGGAGTAATGTCACCAGAAGCGGGACCGTCCGACCGAGGGTCATTTGGCGCTTTCCCACGCCTGGTCCCGTTACGGACTAGCTTCAAGTTCAAGTTGGACCGTAGAACAACTACATACCGTTGCGTCTTCCGCGATCACTGGCAAGCGGTTTCAATAGCTGTTCAAAAGCAGAGGCGCGTGCGGCCATGCATTCCTTTGCAGCACTCGGCCGAGCTGCTCAAGCACCGGGCTGTCGAAAACTAGACTTTCTAGCGTGCTCGACACTACTAGTTGGGTTTTGACCACCGAATCCGAAGTGACGGGAACTGCTGCCAGCTGGCTCTCAGCTTACTTCCTTGCCACAAAACACGTGCACGAATTTCATGATTTCGTATCATAGGCCGTGACGTTGGAGCGGACGCACGAAAAACGTACATTTGTTGGTAGGCCAAGTCCGTTGCATTCATCCATGAAGAACATATTGGTACGTGATGAATCAAATGCTCGTTCCATGCTTAGCACCGGTCCCAACGCGATCAGTGATGTAGATATAGCAAACAACGGGAATACGGATCAATTGACATTGCGTATGTAGCACGCAGTCGTACACAGTACGTGAACGCCACCGTCAATCCAGGACGGGCACGAACACCCGGTCTGGGACTTAAGAATACGTCTACTAATGGGTAAACAACTCGTGAGTTAGAACCATCATGCATCAAGGCCAGTTATTCCACAACGCCGTTACAGTTTAGCCCCGCGACACTGGCCTAGTTACCGGTATGCTCTAGTAGGCGACGGGGGTCATGCAGGCGTAGGCCTAACGAGTTTCCATATGCATATGGTCTGTGAGTGTGTCTACGCATCCCTGAAAATATGAGAACTGGGCTCGTGGCGGAGTGCGTCCGGCACATTATTTGATGCCTTCAAGAAAATTATGTCACGGGGTGTGGCATCTGTTTCGTGATGCAAGCACATCCAGATGCCCCCCATGCACTACCTGTGTATAAAAGCCAGCATACTAGTTTTTCATTCAGACAACATCATCAACTTTCAGTCATGAAATTCACTTCACTCACCACTATGATCATCTGTGTCGCAGCGATGGCTGGCGTAGTCATTGCGTCCGAGGATCTGACGCTGACACCCCTGGGCCTATCCTGTACCGGAGTTGGTAAGCACTTTCGCGGCCTACGTGCAGACAATGGTCAACATGCTTATGGCTTTCCACCGATAAAGAGGGATGCATGACGGGCCTCAATGGTTTCAACAACGGCAACGATTTCGGGTATTTCTGTGTCGATAACAAAATCGTGGGGTACAGGCCATGCAAGGGAAAAAATAGCTGTCATGTCACCAGTCCGACTACGATCGCATGTAAAACATGATGAGCGCCGAGCCTTGAGGCTTGCTCAACTCCAGTGTCCGAGTTAGCCTGTCCTTTTTGTTGTCAACCGAATCTGAGTGCTGATGTGCTTGTTTTCGCCAGTGCATGGAACGAGGGGCATGATACGTGAAGGAGAGCGTAAAGGAGTGCTGTCGATCATGTGATATTGCGTGACAGGGATACCTTTGTGTTATACCAGACTTAGTTGGCAATGTTATGAATGAGGTTCTCAAAGTGTACATTCCCTTCCCATATCACAGTCTTAACGCTATTGTTCACCGATCGGCGGGTAGCGTCAAAGTTTATTCTCATGTGTTCGCTATCAACACAGCGCAAGACAAGTAGCAGAACCTTCTGAAGACTGAATTCTATATTACAGAAACGAATCATGTCAGTCTACCCTCAAGAAATCGCCGATAGCCTTGAAATAATAATCCCTATCCTCGAAGAACGCAATATGACTCTTCGCAAACCTGACCCACTTAACTTTGGGTAGTTTCTCGATGAAAGGAGCAATCACATAGTCCTGAGCTCCCTCTTCTGGCCCGTTCGTGACGAGTGTTGGGCATGAAATACGATGGATACGGTCAATCACAGACCAAGTTCTCAATGAACCAGTCGAGTGGAACTGTGCGGGCCCCAACCTAAGTTTCAGGATTCAGTTCAGGGTCCTCTTCAAGAGGTTGGTGTACTTACATGGCATTCGACACAGTGGGGTCTTCTTCCACGGAAGCGAACGCAGCATTTAGCTCGTCAGGCCAGGGTATCGTCTGGCATGTGTGCTTGTTCATAAAAGTTTGTATGGCTGCTTGGTACTCCGGTGATGAGAATGTGCCTTCTCTCTCATGTTTCAACACCATCTCCTTGAACTCGCCCGGGAAAGCTTCTAGATGTCCCCGCATACTCTCTTCCCATAGTTGATTGGAGGGTGGGGAGCCGGATAGGACTAGCCGATGAAGTCCAGGAGGTTGACGCTGGGCGACATAATCAGCGGCCAGCATCCCTCCCCATGAATGCCCTAGAAGGTCATAGTCGCTTGCGATACCGAGCTGCACGAGAAGGCTGTCGAGTTGATCCATGAATAATTCTGGGGTCCAGAATTCAGCAGGTTTGTTACGAAGATGAGTAGATTTTCCGATGCCGAGCTGATCATAGAAGATGACTGGGATGCCATAGAGAGAATGAATCTCGGTGTGCGATATCATATAGATATGAGACATCCCGGGACCTCCATGAAGCGTAACGAGTGGCCGTTTGCTCGACTTGAGGTCACCAACGATGTTGTACCAGGTTTGGTACGTCTCGTCACCGACTTTGAAGTCAACAGTGCCCGTGCTGCTATTCATCAGTGTGGTATGCGGTGTTATCTGCAATGACAGTAGGTGAGTACATTGTTCTTTAAATGCAGCTGGCTACAGGCGTGTGTGTGTGACGCGGGACCCTTCAATTGGGCACGTGGCCCATCGGGAATATGGGAGAAGGATGATCGCATTCAATAACATTTACTTAGAAAAAGCCTAGACCTGCTGTTACTTACGAACACATCAGAATTCTTGGAACCCGCACCAGACCTTCGAAACATGCTCCGAGTCGTCGATGTCCACAACAGGGAGTACTTCGATGCACGTTTAGATGGTCACTGATTCAGGTTGCAGATAATCGATAAGGTCTCCCTCACTGTACCGCAGTTCATTGATCAACTCTCCACCAAAATCATTTCCCACTGCCTTGCAAAAATATGACTGACACGGATGACTCTTCTGCAGCTCCAAAGGCCATGATACATGTGATCGATCCAGAGCGGGACAAGACTTTTCAAGCTTTGGCAGCTACCAGTGGATACCTCAAAGAGCAGAGTCGGAACAAAATTCTCATACAATGCACGCAGTGTGAAACGAAAATGGAGAAACCTCGGAAATGCTCCAAGGTCAGTAGTGGTAGTCATCTGAATACTGTCGCGGGCATTCATCGAGGATCGGATATCACTCTTAGTGTAGGAGCGTTTTGTATTGCTCACAAGAGGTAGGCTTTGGAATTGGGAAGGCATTGAAGTCTGAAGCACTGACATCGTGCGTGTGTAGTGCCAAAAGAAAAACTGGTGAGAGCGCTGCCTACGATCGACACAAATCGAGACCTTACTCCAGATCATGCATGTCATGTCAGGCCGATCCACAAACGGATATGCCACCAAGTCGAGCAATCCTCGGGGGTACTCAAACTCGTCCGAATGTTCAGCGTAAATCCATTGATCATGATGTACCTTAAAACCGCTATCGTTCTCGACTGTAACCTGCTCCGAGTCGGCAATCCCCGGATCGGATTCGACGTGCCTTTCGTGGCACAGGTCGACATTGGCCTTGAGCCGAGTGACATTTTTGACTTCGTTGGATTGTATTTCGATGACAAGGCTATTCGGGATAAACTTCAGGGGATGGTGCAAGTCAACTCCATAACTCCGTGGTACCCGGGTATGAAGGGTGCGCAGCCCCTCACACCACAGCGACTAAAGCAATGGCGTGAGGCTCGCGCAAAGCATGATGCAGAGGGTTACGCCAAAGATCCTGTTGGACTCTTGGATTTCTCCTCTGCGGTGCTCTCGAGGAACACAACAAGCCTTACCTACGCCATAAGCCTTGGGTGTCACATTTCTCCTGTTATCCTCGAGATGGCGATGGAACGTGAGCCTTTTGTACGTGTCTGTCCTCTCGCGGGCACTCGGTTCAAGCAACCCATGAGCCCTATGACGTGTCTAGAGTAGGTCCTTCGTCCATGTTTTTATCAACGGAGTCCCTTACTATGGTTGCCTTGCATAGGTATATCAACATCCATATTCGGGCGGATACACAAAACCAGTTGCGTTTACGGTCTGAGATGACAGAGCAAGACAAAGAAGTTATTCGTGCTGCAGGTCGTGGCGAGGACCAACTTCCTGCTCGCGTTCTCAAAGAGAAAATGGAAAGAGAAATCATGTATCTTAATATCGTTGGACAGGGCCAAGGGGCACGCAGCTCAGAGACACAGCGAGGGAAGCAAAGGAGACCCCGACGCAGTCCCTGCTCTTTCTGCGGGACATGGGGCTGCAAGGGCCTTGCAGCCCCCATTGCTCAGCCCAATGTTCGCTTGTGCATAATCGATCACGAAAAGGAGTGAGTCTAGTGGCGTAATGGACAGTCACATGTGAGCATGTACATTTCCAGTGATATCTCACGTCTTTCTGAATCCCGCACAAGGAGAAGGAAGGAACCTACTTTTATGAGAGCCTTCTCCTCTGATCACCCTTCAAGTTAACCATATACTATACTGTATCATATCTGAGGGCCTTACTCCGGCTGGATCTGCCATCGTGTTGAAGATGCTTGTACCAGGTGCTCAAAGTTTTACGTATAGGGCGTTTCTTGGACGGGCTGCTAGATACAGTAATTGTAGATAAATCAGGTTGTGACGCACAGGCGATGCGAATTCGATGTCCATCGTCTATGTCCACAGTCTGATATATCAGAAGAATGGGTCTGATGAGCAAAAGCTGCCATAATTTATGGGGGCATGATTTGGTGGAGCTCGAGGCACGTCGATGTCTTTAGTGATCACAAAACTTGGTTGATTTTGAGAGAACCGAGGCATCTACATAGTATAGCTAAGTATAGTACTTAGTCGACTGAAAGCTAGAGAAATGGGAGGACAAGGGCGGCATCTATGAGCGAACAAGTGAGAAGCATCGTAACGTATTACAAGCGGGGTACAAGAAAAACTGGTTCCGGATTCTATGGAAGGAGCTGTATATCTGAATATGTGTTCACGCCGCGGCTTTGCGGTTGGCCTTTGGCAATAATGGGACAAGCCTAGTTTGCCGTATTTCCGGACCCCTAGTGCCAAAGTACCTGCAATTCCAATTGGGTTAAGTGCCTGTTGATACTGACGGGAAATGCGTATGACCTTTGACCCTCGAAACTCCAACAATTGTCTGCTCGAGGCCAATTTGCTATCCCGTCAAGAAACTCCTTTACTAGGATGTCAACAGAAGGCCCCCATGAAGGGACCTTTGCAAGACCATCGATAAATCGTTTCTGAAGTTCAGCGTGATAGCGTGCTGCCCAAGCTATCGCACCGCCTCTGTCGAGGCCAAGTTCCAACATGACAACGCTGATAAAATTATGGTCATCGCTCCCGGCCGCTTGCTCTTTGTTGTACGAAACCATGTCCTATGAAGCTTGTTAACAGACCGCAAGTCACGACATCATCAATGCTACTTTACATTGCTGATTAGAATCAAGTCCGTGCTGCATTCAGCGAGTTCCACAACGACGGGATGGTAGAACACTTCATCAGGAAGGTCCATCCCCATCTCACATATTACGAAAGATGGCACTGCGCCAACGGTAAGACGCCGGAGCTTGAGGTAGTCATTGATACTGCGCCTATGGCTTCGTTCGCGATCAAGAGCCTCGACAACTACTGCACGAAGGTATGCAGTAAATGTTTCAAGGAAGTGACGTTGAGAAGGCAGGCTTGCGGTCTGGATGGCACGAGCCCAAAATCTATGTAAAAATCCTCTGGGATCTAGGCGATGATGATACATCTAGAAGCACTTACTGTCGTGCGATTTCACCAAGAATGGATTCGCCTTCTGGTCGTATCTTATGAGGATTGTGTAGGGCATCGATCACGATGTCCACCATTTCCTTGGTGACCGTCCCATTTTCGGTGTCGGTGTACTCCTCCAATAGGAAGAAAACATTCATTAAGTCACAGCCGATTCGAATGTGTTCTATTGTTTCGAGAATGCAGTCAGGGCTCTGTGGTACGTGAATCACTGGGGTCAAAAACGAACCTCGTGGTGCATTAGGATAAGCCAGTGCCACTAGGCGGGCTATAAGCACAGTGCATGTCAGCCATTGTCAGAATTGAGGACTAGTGATATATGTCGAACCAAAGTCACATTTTTCGAATGCTTCTTGTGACTCAGGGCTCAGAGCCTTGAAATCACGGAACGAAGCATCGGCTTCAATTTTCACATCTTCAAAATGCGGATTGATGGCACGAGGCCAGGGCCAGTTTATCATGATGTCTGGGAGGTATATCATCTTTTGGTAAGCATCCATGGCCTCCAAAATATAGTTTCCGTGGAGGAATACAAATGTTTGAAAGAGGGAGAAATTGTCGCTGACAAGTCCAGGGATTGCAGTGAAAACTTATATACCTGTCCCCCTAGTCAGGATCGGCCTACTTGTACATATCCGCAATCAAGAAATAGGGTGATACGCACTGACCACGCTGTCAACGGCAGATGCGATCAGGTGGTGCACGACTATGCCATTAGCGTTAAAGTTGCAGAAGTGTAGTCGACCTTTTGAACGATCTGAAACCCAGGTTAACAAGATGGTAGCCATATTGGATTTTCCTCCCTTGTCGCGGGCTGCTATTGAATCGAACTGGATCACGCCGGTAACTCTGGACCCGGTGGTAGAGTGCACTCCCGCACCTAAAGTTTCAGCTACTGCCACTTCGAGCCGCAGATACCAGAGAGTGGGTATCAGCGCCCACGCAGCTAAGATGACATTAGGAATGAAGTCCTAACCGATGATGGTAAACCCGAGGGGCTAATCAACTGAACAAATGATATGTCATCCCCCTCAAACATCACTTCCATCGAATAGGGAAAATTGACTCACCACATTGCCTAATATGCCCCAACATCGACGAAACGATACACCACTTTCTCTCCGGCTGCCCTCAATACGTGTGTGAATACTACTTCCTCGAGAACGCATTGATACGCGATCCGCATCTATAACACACAGTGAAGTGAGTTTTGGCTTTTTTCCGACGTGAGGATGAGACTCGTTTCATCAATGAATCCCAGTGAGACCCACGCTCGGTCAAGACTCCGAGATGAAAGGATAGACGCGCTCAGGCTGTTGTTGCCGCCAACGTTGCTGTCGGGTAATTACGTCATCCGCGATCATCACGCTAAACTTTAACACGTACGGCCAACGTAGTACGTACGGCAGGTACAACATGCAACATACGTCATGACACCAATAATAACCAAGCAATCCATGGACCCTAATAACCCATCCACTCTCCCCGCAGCTTTCCTTTTGTATGAAACCACCCATGGGGTACGATTTAAATTTATACCTTCGTATTGCACCTGCCTGCATTGTTGCTATAGACGAAGCATATCTGATTATACATATCCGATATAGAGTCTCCGGCCCCCAAGGATCGCTCTGATACAAAATGAGGATGTAATCACGGACGGTCACAAACCATAAACAAGGTTGAAAACTGTGTCGATCAATCGGGATGCCTCAATAATCATATGAGCAGATAAGTGATTCGAGTCCCCGATTAGAGTTCTCCAGGATCCGATGTCGAGCTGTTGGCGTAGGGAAATGATTCGCTCGTGCGCGGAACGTATCGCTAGCTTGAGCACTCACTGAGTCGCGGGAATAGAGGAGATTGAGGGTAACTATAGTCCGTCTTCCTTGTAGTATTTCTGTTGCGGGGGAGCTTTTCGAATCGAAGTAGGTCATGGAAACTGAAGTTATTTTTGATTTCAAAGTTTTCGCTACTACCCAAGTTATGCTAGAGAGCGGGGGACCGGCGCGCACAGCCAAGATGTCACTACACTCCTGATAAGTCATGGGCCTCATGGCAAATAAATGGACACCCAAAAAAGGCATGGTAAACTAGAGAACCCAATCAGCTGAAAAATCAGAACGTATGGATGGATGATCACGAACCATGCTTTGGTTTCCAACAATCAAGGTCAAAAGACATGTATATGGACTCGGTAATCACACGAGTCCACCAATAAGCGAATAAGGTTCTCCGCCGGGAGAAGGAGTAGTAAAATGAATCACTGTAGGCCAACAGGCCAGTGGAAAGCTGGGGTTTGCGGTCTGGTAGTCATATGGGTACCACACCTGAGCAGTCCCAGGAATGACATGGGTCCACGAGTATCCCCTGCTGCTGCAACAGCAATGCCAAGTAGAAACTGACACGCACAAGCTGAACAACTTGTTCCGTTGTCTGCCGATCCGACGAATGATGTAAGGCTTCGCACGCTCAAAAAAACCCCAGCGACACAGAATTTTGATCCAAAACTCCGCACATGATAGGCCTCTTCTAATACCAAGGACGGCCTCAGAATATTAATGTGAGCCAACTGCTAGGCGCACTATTGTTGCCTTACAAAAGACCTGGTTCGCATCAACCTGGTGAAAGGCATCCTTCGCGAATATTGCGCAGGTATTCCTGCCCTGAATGGATCCTTAACATTTACTAGTAAGTAGGTCCGTGCGGTCAGTCATCGAGAACGAGTCTGATTTATTGGCGATAGGACAAGTGCGAGTCAGAAAAGTCTTTACAAGGGCGGCTAAGGATGCTACCGTTGACAATCTGCGAGGATGCTTTAGCGCAGCTTAACGTGTGGGCAAAACTGTCTTCACCTCTATTTTGCGATCAGTACGTGTTCTGACAAAGGGTTTCGTCGCTGACGTTGCACGGTGTCGTCGTAATGTTCCACGACCCGAGCATGTTGAATATTTCCCTTTTTTCGTCAGTGTCTCCCGGAAAATTCTAAATGCAGCAATGTTCGAGAACAAAACTTTCCCACCAGGTGAAGAAGGCTTTACCTACCCGGACCCATCATTTGTGTTACAATGATTTCCCTGTAGTAGGACTGCAACAGAACTGAGCCGCCGAGGCACCGTTCAACCTGCAACTCCTGGAGGTTACTATTCTAACCGCGTCCTTGCACGGGATCCTACACGACTCCTAAATGCATTTGACGTCAATATTAATGGTCTCGGATGGCAAGGCTTGTGCGCTAAGACAGCGGTGAATGCCAGGAGAATGATCGTCCAGAGATTCATCTAGACCAGTGTCATAAGTCGGATGCCCAGGTTGGTGATGTGAACCTTGACGTCAAAAGTACGAGATTTTCAAGTGAAGTGCGGGTTTACTTTTCGTTTGTTGTTCGCCAGTTCTATGCTCACGCGCTTTTCAGTTGCTAATCAAGAGCCAGCCGAGTGTGAAGCGAGCCGTACGACAATGGCAGCTGAGGCACAAAAACATCTCAACAATCGCGGCCAACAGTAGATGCTACCGCCTTTTCGAGTCGTCCGCTATACTCTCGTCCAATCGACACCACCTACTGCCTCCCGTCGCCCATGATTTCCGGTCGCAACCTCCTGTACGCTATCGCTGCCTATCGCACACGACAATGACCTGGGGATAATGTCGAGGGAACTGCTGCAATGCATGTTCTGGGGCCAATGGCGGGTAATTTTCTATCTTATTCGTGCCTCAAATGGTCTCAGTGTCATGTATGTTTTTATATTATGTTCCAAATCTCCGCGAGAAGTGCTGCAAAAGGAGGTTTAGATGATAGCTCATAGCGAGTACCAGATCTTGAGTAGTATGGTGCTAGCACCTAATACAACAGAACACTAGCTTCCTTGGATAAGATCTAACTAGGGGCGACTAGTAGTGACTAGGATTATTCAAATCAACGGGCCGAAATTTTCACACAGCAGATAACTCTGCTGCACACCGTGACTGGGCCTGGATGTCTTACATAGTGGCTCAGAGTCTTAGTCTTGCCAGCTCACGGAGCACATGCCATCCCTTCAAGTGTTTCGGCGTGCATACATGCCTGGCTATGGCTCTGATTACGGTCCTTGGCGCTATCGTCTCTTTCCCGAGCACGAGCTACGTGCTCAGATCCTGAAACGCTGCACAACTAATATCTCAAGTGACAGAGGGAGCCTTAGTGCTTCTTTTCAGCCTCACGTTAGTTCGGCTAACGAGGACAGATCTCTGATCATGGATTTAAGCCTTCCAAATGGTATCTGGAGCTTGACCTGTGTCTTCGATGGTGCGTAGAGGTACCACAAAGACTTCACCTTCCCCACGCGTGTGACTGATTAAATAGCATCTCCTATATAGGCCATGGAGGGCATGAAACAGCTGACTACCTTGTCGCCGAATTACCCTCCCTTTTAACGGCTGGATTGTCATCTACAATGGCCAACTTGGAGGGAGTTTCCGATGCTCTCACCCGAGCGATTTATGACATCGATGAAGCCATAAAACGGGATTTCCTCGAAATATTCCCGGAAGAAATCGACGAGATAGCTACGATGTCAGATACCACAGTCAAGGCGCGGGTTAATGACCAGTGTTCTGGAGGACTAAATCATCGGAAAGCCTTGCGTTGCATGAGGGGATCCACAATCCTATTAGCGCTCGTTGATCCTACAAAGACACATCTTTGGGTAGTAAATCTCGGTGATGGCGTTGCGGGTAAGCTGAGGTTAAGGTTCATAGGTACAGGCGGAAATAACTGACTTTCACTTGACCAGTGCTCGGAAGTAGACGAGACGCGAATTCACAGTGGAATGCATCTATCTTGAGCGATAATCACAATGGAAACAACCCTGCTGAAGCCGATCGCATCAGACAGCAGCATCCTGATGAACCAGAATGCATTTTCGATGATAGAGTGTTCGGTAATCTTGCCGTTACAAGAGGTAAGTCTACCAAATGTACCGGGTCAGTTGGTCTCACTGATGCGGCGTGAAGCTGTCGGCGACCATGCCTTCAAACTATCTCGCATCTACACCGATAAAATATTTTTGAACGTAGAACCGGGATTTCGTGTCCCTGCTGCGATCAAGTCATTCATTCCACGAAATATGAGCCCACCATATGTCTCGAATCTTGCGAGCGTTCGTTACGTCGACCTTCATGCGCAGTCAAGCTGCGACTACTTCATTCTGATGTGTTCCGACGGGCTGGTTGACCTTTACACGGATGACCCAGATCGCGCCGAACCCCTTACATCTCTCGTCCAGAAGTGGGTGGAAATAGTAGGTGATGTCGTGAGAGATGACATCCAGGAGGCAATGCTGGGCTTGTTAAGACACGCTCTGGGCGCAGAAGACGTCGACAGCGTCTCCCGTATGCTTACCGTTGACATGCCTGTCGCTTACATGGATGACACTACTATCGTCTTACAAGTGCTGTAGTGTCCGATACGAAGGCGTATGCATGTAGGGGGTAACGAATGCAGGATGTACAGATGCCAAGTGCCAAGTGCCAAAAATGCTACGTCTGCAAATAGTTAAAAATTAGGAAGGAGTCGGGTCCTGGATCATCGCAGATCCACGATCTCCAGCGGGATGTCTTTCATTTGCACGTGTCCCTTGTCTGCGTCCTAAACAACTAATAAATAGATGTAGACGGACTACTCCCGAAGCTACGCACTGTGTAGATCGGCACCTCTGGGTGCGGGTGGAAGGCTTCCTTAACATTGCAGTCCAAGACTGTTTGCAAGCCTGGGGGGTCGGTGAGGCGGAAGATTCCAAAGCTAACCGTGAAAAAAATTAATGGCACGAGTGATATGAACAATTTGGAACGCACTTAGGAGTGAACTTTGGGGCGCAAACAACGGCAAAGGATTCTGGGAGCATGCGCTGAAATCCAGAATGTGTATGTAGATCAACTGAGGACATGAAGCCTTTATAGAGGGTCAGGTGAGCGGGTAGTTTTGAGCTAAATTAAAGGACCCACAGGATTGCGAAGGATGCGTGTGAATCTAACGGAGACAATTAGACGCCGAATCACAGGACAGCTGGGGGAAACATACCCAACCCAAAGTGATCAAAGATCGTTCTTCCGTGAATTGCATGACGAGCTCTTCCTCGTCCATAGTGCAGGTATCGCTTGTTGAATGCTGCCTTGGGATCAGGAGCGTTGTGACAGTAAATTTATTTCCTTTATCTTTTCCAAGCAATAGCCCGCAAGTTTCGCGATTTCGCGCCGTATTCAGTGACGCGATAGACAGGAAGCGCGGAAGGCATTCTCGCGGCAAGCTCACAGTCTTCAGGTCGGGTACTCGGACAGGATCGCTGGCTTTACGAGTGATCCGTGCAGACTCTTGGGAAGCAGTCCGATAGCGGTCACCATCAACGTGGTGTACGGGAGGTGGTGGAGGTGGAGGCGCAGCCTGAGGAGCTCGTGAAAGGGAAGAATATGATGTTGCAGAATCATAGTAGCCACCAGAAGGCGGACGCGCCGGAATCTGAGAGTATGGGTATGACGCGGGCTGACTCGGCAAGACAACTATAGATGGATTAGGGAGTTGATTAGTAGACGATTGAGAAGATTCTGGCACGAAAAGTAGCGAAGACCTTCCAAGATTGGTAGGCTTCAGAGTGGGGTAATTGAACATTGATTGCAGAGAAGGTGCATAGCCTTGCTTGAGTTGGTGTTGTGACATTAGTTCTGGGTATTGAATATGTCCGTCCGGTGGAGCAGGTGATGTCGTGGTTACTGGCGCAGGATAAGATGGGCTGAAAGGACAATGAGAATACGTCCAAAATTGACGAGGGAATACTTACGGCTTCAAAGTTGTTGGGGTTGTGGCGTGATTCCTTTACCAGAAAGTCAACAAGTATAAGTATTCAAGATTCGAGGACTCTGACCTTGTTGGGCTCTCAATAGGCATAAGAAGAGGAGCAGCATCTTCATAAAACTGCGGATCGACGAAAGATGGACGCTGGGAGCCGGCTGCGGACGCCGCAGGCATGGGAGAAGGAACATGACTCCGGCGAGCCTCCCGCGCAGCGAGCTCTGCTTCCTCCTGGCGTTTCAGAATACCCTCCTGTTCCCGCCTGCGTCTTCGTCTAATTTCATCTTCGTCTCTTCTTCGGTCTTCATGCTTCCTGAACTCATCATGGTCTCTCCGTTGTTCCTCAGGGCTCACCGGGGTCATAGACCCAGAAGGGGTGCCTTCGCGATTGTACGTCGAATCGCGCAGCTGTGGATTGGCGGCACGCCTAGCAGCTGTCAGGGCATCTTCCTTTTTCTTGCTCCCGGTGTCAATCTGTAGACGCGGTGGCTGTGTCTCGACTGATCGCATAGAATAACGTGCCTCATCTCTCCTTCGCTGCTCCTCACGTTTTCGTTCAACATCTTTGCGAGCTGCTTCTTGTGCTAGCCATCCAGAGTCGTCAAAGGGAGAGCGTCGGCCATCATCTTGTCGCCTGTACTCCGTGTGCCTGCTTCCTTCTGGGTAACCGCTTGATGACGATGGCCTGCTAGATTCGATATCTTGCATCCTCCATCGTTCATGGCGGTCGACGATGATTGGTTTGATTTCACCGAGATCGAGAAGAATTTGATGACCGTTCTGAAAGGGGGGTCAGACAGAGTCAAACTCAGATGAATTTTACGAGTGATAAACGAAGAGCGCATCGTACTTTAACACAATACGCGTTTCATGATCGGAAGAGGAATGATAAAAGCAGCAGGCACAAGTTACTCACAAGACCAAGATTGTGGCGCTGGGTTGGCGACAGTAGAGTGTAGTACTCCTTGTGCATCGGAAGTTTCTCAAGAATTATCGTCGCAGACTTCGCGTATTCCATGAAGGCTTCCTCAAGTTCACCAGCCTCGGCGTACGCTCTGCCAGCCTTCCGGAAGCTATCTGCTTTCTTCAGCCATTGCTTGAGGCCTTTCGAAGGATCCCAAAGGTTGGAAAGAGCACGTTCTGAGAGTTCTGCTATTGTTGAAGGTCTCCGGCTAGATGGGCTCGGTCGCGGGGAGGGTCGGGTCACGTTTGCATAAGGTGAACTCATGATGAATCGAAAGCAAGAGCATCTAAGCACCACCCGCAGCGTAGCGTCCCGACCAGAACGTATTTACCGCATTTAGACCGGAATGCTTCCGTGTTAATGTGGCGGTTCTGGCCACCATCTGGAACTGGATAGACAATTGGCCAAGTACTACAAATACGCTTATTAAATTCATGAAGAATCATCATACAGCTTCTTGCGCAGCACGCCTCTTAGCCCCGAGGTCCATCTAACAATAGCTAACAATACAGTCCATTGTTGTCAACTGCCCGTGGCGAACAAACGAGCATCATAATAAGTTTCGAAATGTTCATGTGAACGCAACAAAATACGGCGAAGTCATAGCAGAACGCTGAGTGTGAGTGTGAATAAGAGGTCTAAACAAAAATCTGGGGAAATGCGCGAAATCTAGGTGAAATTCGGGCTGATCACATACTGCAAGGTTCCTCTTTCAGAGTCTGTTGTGCATATCGATGCTCGGTCTTTGTTCCTTGTTCCGTAGACTGAAGCACCGTCGCTGTGGGCGAAATGGGATACATGGATTTGTAAAGGGCTCATAGGATATTGCCGCGAGCTTCCTTGTTCCGTCTCACTTGTTGTCCTTTTTGGAATGGTCGAGAACCGATTAAATGCGATGCGAATAAGCACCATGTAGAATGCAATCGACATGATCGGCATGCCCTAGCAGATTGAAGATCAGCTCTTTTTGGTAACTGGTGATAACGGGGGAAATCACCATGTCCATCACCACCACCACACCGTTGTTTGAGAAGACGAAACACATTAGAGCGGTGAAGAGTACCACAGAGTATAAAACAGTGGAATCCACCAGCACACGCAATATTGGCATCAAAGAGCTTTTCGTAGTATGCGCTGTAGAGACACTGCGTTCAGTCATCCAGATCCGATATGCCAGTAATCCTGGACATATTCAGGGCATTGGCATTGCACTCACGGAAACATGCTTACCTGAACTCAACAAATTGGTTGCGAGTGTTGAGGCAAGAAACGCCTTGCCCCACTGCACGAGTTCCGTGGCGAATATGCTAGTACCGGCTTGCGAACAATCATAGATCGCGTTAGCACCAGTCGCTGCGAGGCAACATCAGATTATGCTGCTTCCTTAGCATCATTACCACCTAACCTGCGGCGCTGCACCACAACATGCATGGTAGAATGATGACCAGGACGGATTGCCAGACAACATAGCAGCGGTAAATCTTTTATCAGACAAGGCACTTCTATAAGCTCAGAGGGTTCTAAACTAACGGATATAAATATGAACCTACCACCACACCATCAGCAAGTAGTGTTTGCGCAACATACAATGCATTCTTGATCAAATATGCGGCTTGGGAAACATCTTCGAAGAACGCCACTGGCCCGCCTGGGAACGTGTCACGATACTTCACCAGTCCATCTTCGATATGAATGATGTTCACGACCATGTGCTTTGAAGATGTCAGCAGATAACATCAGATGTAAGAAGCAAGAAGCACTGACCGCAGTACTCAGCATCAACAGCAGCGTAGCCACCACAAGGGTAGGGCGATTGATTTCCTCCACGCGCCGTTTGTAGGCCAAAGTTCCGACTGTACACATAAACATGAAGATCGAAAAGCCTGAAGAATACTTTGGTTGGCATGGGACAGAGGAACCCGTTGCGATACTCACCGTACAGAACACCTTCTAGCGATAATGACATTGTGACAGCAGCATCCATTGGTATGCCCCTTGAAGCCATGTCAAGAATAATGCCTACGGTCTGGGAGATGTGGAGGTGCGTGGATCTTCAATTTCACGTATATTGTTATTATACAGAGGATAGGCGCCTGGCGCCGGCTGATTGGAAGAGCCATCACACAACTTCTTCCGCAGCGCCACGCCTTAGCTTCCAGGGCAATCTAACATCATATTCCTCGTCGTCAACTACCCTCGGCGAAAATTTGTAAATCTGGTGCTCAGAGTATCAATTTCCAACTATCCATGTGAATGTAAGTGACGTAACATACTTATCGACGTCGTGGCAGAACACTCCGATGGGCCGTGTGACATCATGAAGTCATGTTATTTTGCGGGAAGGAAGTGAGTTGAGCAGCAGCTCCCGTCAATTCGAATTCGGTGGTCAAAACTCCACTAGTGTCGAGGGAAAGCTTATAACGGCCGGGGTAGAGCCAGAAGTTGCCATTGAGATCAGCTCTTGCGAGATTACCAAGTGTGATTGGTAGCTCAGCTATTGCGGTGTCGCATGGCGCAATGCTGTGAGAGCGAGTGTAACTGACAAGAACCTTGTTAGGGTAGGGAGCATCTCCGTACGCGCCATTGGCGAAAAGAAGAGAAACATAGTCGGATGTCACTGAATGCAGGGAAATGAGGTGGTTGATCACGATAAATTGCAGGTTACATACTATTTCCGGTGTTCGTCACACTGACGACGAGCGTGGCAAACGGTGCGATATCGGAGTATGCAGCATACTTCCCTCCATCAACGAGAGTCTGTATGTTGTATGAATTTGCGGGGGCTTGCACCCACTTGTAAGAGAAGGTGGTGTAGTGCTCGCCATATCCGAATTCATAAACAGGCATGCCGGTGTACCAGATATAGGTACGGCCCGGACTCGTGGAGTTGGGACGGAGGTTCATATCCGTCATGGGGATCTCGTTGACATAGCTTTCTGGATACTGCGTGATAGGAAGGCGCCCAGCAGGTGCAACCTTGCCACTAAGGATGTCGAAAACTGCCTTTCCACCACTCTGACCTGGATACCCTGCCCAAACAAGCGCATTAACCTAATATAATTGTTGAACAATTTAACTGGAAAAAAGTAATTGGTCACTGACAGAAGCATTACCCTTGAGAACAGAGTCATCGAGTTGTCCGCCGCTAAACTGTACCACGACCAAAGGCTTGCCTATCGCCTGAAGCTCAGCAATAAGGTCAAGCTGGGTGCTGGGCCAAGTGATCGTGTAGCGATCCAGGCCCTCAGTCTCAACAGTGAGATCAATACCCCCAGCATATATGACGGCGTCCGCCTCCTTCGCAGCCGCAACGGCGGCAGCAAATCCACTCGTGTTGTTGGATGTAATATTGGTGCCCAACACGTAGGTGACATTATAGCCATCATCCATCGCGCCCATGACCGGGCTGATGAGATAGGGAGCAACACCGGCGTAGTTTCCCTGCATCTGGGTGGTTGCGTTTGCCCACGGGCCAATCAAAGCAATATTGTTGATGCTACTTGAGAGCGGCAGAGTACCGTCATTCTTCAGGAGCACAATACCCTCCACAGCAGCTTGGTATGCAAGCTGTTGGGCAGGAGAAGTATTGACGTTACTCCAGTTGTATGCTCTGTAAGGTTGCCAATTTTCTGGATCAAAGTAACCGAGGCTGAAGTGAGTGTTAGTAAAGGAGCATCACCGTGCACGAAAGCGCCATACCGGACGAGCGAGGCATATTGGTGAACCAGAGATGTGCGTAGGTCGGTCTCTGTGACAAGTGACTCGTTGTATGCGACTGGCAACCACTCTGCGTAGAAATCACCACAATCGAGGTCAGTACCTGCCTTTAGTGCATCTGCGACAGTCTGTTGAGGGTTTGCGTAGTTGTGTATAGAGTAGATGAATTCGACAGCATCTGAAGAGTGTAGCTTGAATATTGGGCAAAGTATTTACTCAAGGACTCCTCACAACAATCACCCGTGATCTGTTCACAGGCCATCAATTAACTGTGTGGGCAAAATAACTTTGAATATATACCCATCGATCTTGTCCGAAGCCGTAGAAACCGCGGAGAATATCTTGAAGCAAGTACGAATCTGCGCAAGAAGGAACACCGTTGACAGCATTGTACGAACACCTAAATTATCAACAGATGGAACTGCATCGGCATATTATAATCGCGCAAGGTGATCACATACATAGCAGCGCCGGCTTTGGCATCTCTATAACAACTCTGGAACGAGGGCAAATAGTACTCCACGAGATCTTGAGAAGTGATCACTGCATTAAAGCCGAATCGAAAATTTCCATCCCAGTCATCGAGATCGTAGCCTGCAAAGTGTTTACAGGTGGAAACGACCTGGTAGTAAGGCTCCGGGTCAACACCACCTTGCAAGCCAACCACGAGGTTGTACACGTATTGGGCAAGGTGGTACGGGTCTTCTCCAGGCGTTTCCTGTCCTCTGCCCCATCGAGGGTCCTTGAATGGATTGATATTTGGTGCAAAGAAGTCTAGACCCGCGAGTCCATAGTTATTGAAGGCCCGTCCTTCCATACCCACAACGCTGCCAACAGACTTGATCAACTCGTCATCAAACGCAGCGCCCATAAGGATTGGTTGGGGAAACGACGTCGCATAGCTGAATTCGCCCGACGTTGAGAAATTGACGCCTGGACTGCCTGCAACTCCGTGCTGGACGTAAGCAAGTAAGTATCGGAAAACTCCGGGCCGGTCTACTCAATTTATTCACCAAGGCTTCTGACCACCACTGGTACGCTGGCAAACCCAGGCGAGGAACCCCAGGAGACGTGTTAACAGTGTTATTGATCAACTCTGGAACAGTGAACAGCTTGGCCAGGGCAGTTGCACGCGCAATGGGGTCCAGAGCAGTGTCGCAGACTGCATTGCCTGCTAGAGGGCCATTTTGGCAATCAGGAAAGCCATAACCTGATACACTATCTGCTACGAGCGCAGACATGAGAACGACGTGCTTTGAACGCCTCATGATGATGATGATATCCTTCGGAGCAATAGGTCACGAAGCTCAATGGATATCGCCGGTATTCGCGTCACTTTTATTTCCTTGGTCTTCGGACAAACTATTCTCCGTGCTGACCATGGCCATGCGTTAAACATCACTCATGAGTGGCCCGCACAGGAACATAAATACAGAAAATGCTAGGGAGACGGGATCTGCTATCAGCGCCTCTCTTCCACGAAATATTGAATTGTATGGGTGTGCTGCCCGTCGTGGAAATAATTTCCTATCACAGCTCGGTAAGAGCAATTCCTTATCAAATTGACCTGGTGACCTTCCCATTTATCATGTCAAGTTGGCTCAAACAGAAGTCCACCATAGCCCAAGCTTTTCTTCCATGCCAATGAACATACTCGGAACATCGCAGAAATTTGAAAATATTGTGTCCGCACATCATCGTCCCTGGTTTTACGAGCCTACTGGTCCGCAATTTAACACCACTTACAACTCAAAAAGTCTCTGGTTCTGGTTGCTTTTGACCACAGTGTCGCGTCTCAAATGTGGAGTGGAGGTGCCGATGCTCATGATGCCGCTTGTTGATACGCTTATGTCCTTACGATGATGCAGGAATCTGCAAGCAACACTCTAAGACCGAATCGCCCATGGTTATTCGTCAGGGAAGCTAAAGGCCATGGATCAACTGTACCGACAATCGCAGGGAGATAATGTCCTCGGCCGTCGGGAGGTGGCTTTGGTGGATAACACAACGGTTCCCGGGGAAAATATCCGGTCACCACCACTACCAGCACGGCAGCACCTCTATATTTCAAGGCAGACGCACGTGTCTATCCGCTAGCGCTTGAATAGTGGGCTGTGACAACGACCAACACACGACGATGGGGAACAGTGGGGAACGTTGTGACGCGGAGAAATTTCGATGAAATCCCTAAATTCTCCGTATCACATCTACACGTTCATGCACTTCACGGCCATACAGAAATGTCTAACGGACATTCTGTTGTATGGAACATTTGTAAACCTTGGCCAGAGAGGAGTATCTCATCTGCGAATGTTGGATACCAAATGTCAGGTGAAATGCTGCAATGACATAACCGAGCCATTGGATAATATCACTTAACGCTTCCTTGGCAACGATCCTGGAACTTCGCTCTAGGGTCGGCTTCTCCTCAGGTACAGAGGGGTGCACGATGGGGAGCCAGGGATCTCCATGATGACGTGACACGCTGATAGATCAACCGCGGAACCGATACGGCTATGAAAGGAATAACCGACCCAGGTCGATGCAGAAGAATCAAGGGGTATCGAAGCGCAGCAGGGTATGATGATGCAGTTAGCTGTACATATCTGGCGTGCAGTTTTACTCCCTCTCATAAGGGAACCTGCCGCATGGTTGGTCTTATCGAAGCGTGTGTGGATTCAAGTGGCGGACGCTTCAGGTAAGAAGTCTTTTATCGATAAAATGTCGTTGACACAATAAATTTTAGATGTGCTCCTGACAAACGCCTGCAAGAAGTATTTCGCAGGCATCACCAATTATACATGACCATCCGAATCAGTCTTCTCCATTGTGGAGACGCCTGCTGGTGATAAACGACAACATCAAACATCAAGCCAAATGCCAAATCGCAGTGGCACACCCAAAGTTTCGCAATGCGAAAATACCGAGGAACAATTTGTCTAGTACGGGTCACGCAGATAAAGGGAGTATCTATCTGGTGACTTCAGGACATATAAATCCACATACAGAGGCTTCACTCACGAGGACAACTATTTTGGCAAGAGGGGATGCTGGTAGGGTCTTGCTGGTTGGAATTTGACTCAGTTAATAATGCTGTCAATCGCAGGTTTTATTGGCAGATATGCTGCGTCTGCATGCTATCCCACACTAGATCTGATACATCTCATATAACTGCTCTCATTCGTTCCCTTAAGAAGGTCGCGTTGCTCAGTAGCGTTGGTGTCACAGCTGCCGTAGGCACCAATGGCGATTTTGATATGCTGGCATCACTTGCCAGCACAGCGAACGTAATCTTAGCATGTGTCCGTTTGAACGTCGCAATTCTGAATCAAGAAATAACTGATCGCTCATGTATAGGCTAACGCTGACTACCTTCATGCAGCCAGAACAATCTTCTTAGGACTGAAAAAGAGACACGAACAGATCATATTATACGATCCTCATTCTTTTCTACTCTGCGTATGTGGTAGCCTATGCCATTTTCCCGCCACTTCAAGAAGTGCCACTAACATTCTTCCAAGTAGTCTGGAACTGGTGCCGATAGTATTTATTCAAACCTATATTTCCCAATGATGGAGTCGCTTCCCAAGACACAACCGCATCGTGAAGCTGACCTTGAAGTCATCGTTGCTGATCAAGGAGGTTGTGGATGTTTTCTTTGTCCACCTTTGTTGCCCATATTTCATAACGAACGCTCGGGAAACATGAACAGGTTACGTACGGACATTTCGCCTTCGACGATATATGACATTGCGAACACACCAGTGGTCTCACTTGGTGTTCAGAATCCGTACTCGAAGCAAATTCCTCGTCTCATCATGCCAGCCTCGACAGAAAATAGGGCCACAGATTCAGCTCGTCTCCGGAAACTCAACCTAACATCCACATCGATGAGAACCTCGCGTGGGCGAAATCTCTGAGGCCTTAGCGGAACCATTGTATGATATGAAGCGGGGGAAAGGTCTTGATCCTACAGTCTTCACGGATGAAGAGGTGCAGAAGTAATTTTTCAGGCCCAGGGCAGGTCTTCAATCACGTTCGAAATTCGCCCATTGTTTACTTACGAAACAATCATTGATAGGGTCACTCGATGGGATCAAACTCTCGCGTGAACGTGAAACGAGCTAGATTAATTGGATGAAATTCAGCGAGAAAGAATCAGGCTTACCCCGGAGTGTCTGTGATTGTGTAGCTGGCTGTCCGGTCCATATAATAGAGACAGGAACTATTTTCCATTGCCATAACCTGCGAGCACTGCGCACTCTAAATGGTCTCCTCGCAGACCGTTCGTACACGGTCTGACATCATGAAGTCTGTTTTGTGGAAAGGAATGAATAATCAACTTCAGATGGCATTCCTGTCGAGAGACATGCAAGAAACAGTTTGGGGGCGTAGAAGACTGTGAAGTAGCAGAGATCAGTGGACATATTAACAACCTATAATCGTACATGGACACTCTGACTACTCCCCAAAATACTCTTCCACCAGTGCTTGTTTCCTTAGGGCCAATAATACGCCCTCCATTTCTTCTCTTGTCGGAAGCGTCGGCGGCATCAGATCTTCCGCCGACAAAAATCCCAGATAAGCAGCGGCTGCGCTCGCATGTGTGCGCATTGAATCTGCGACTCCACTCGAGGGGATGACATCTGCCTTCGTTGAGCCATCCGCATCAGCTTTTCGGGGCCGTTTTGCCTGGTCAGGTACAGCTGCATCCGCATTCACCGTGTCCATCTCGACATCTTCCTCCTGGGCTTTACGTTTAGCATTTGGTGGAGGTTGAGGTAGTGACGACCCGTTTGTTAGGAGTGGTGACGAGCTTGCCGATGATCCACGAGGTATTTTTGGTATCGGGTCGTCAAGAGGAAGGTCGAGGATCTCCCGGACGTTCGTATATTCATCTCGCCATTCTGCGGGATACAAATAAGACATGAAACTGTCCACACTTGTAGGTATAACGTACCTGCTTCCTCTGCTTGACGTTCATACTCCAACAACTTCCCATCTGCTTCGTCCAGGTCGCCAAAGTATGCAGGGCCCTGGTTCATAAACTTTTTATAGAATGCAAGCGCTTGGTTTTCTTCTTCCTCCTCTTGCTTTTTGCTCTGGAAAAGTTCTTTCACGCCTGGTAAATCCTTTGCCCGGCCAAAGTATCTAAGATTTTGTCAGCGACAACATCAAATATCGCTCTAAAACTGGAAAAGACGCACTTGTATCCTTTCGTCCCAGGTACCTCCTTCCCATCATCGTCAAGCATGGCTACATTCCGGCGATAGTTGGCACCTCCCAACGCAATAATCTGGTTCTCCCAATGCCGCTTCTCCCGCATCAATTTGTTGATCTCATCGTTTACATCTCGAACTTCGTAGTCAGTCAAACCAGCTAGTGACAAAGGTTCATATCAGCTTGTTCAAATTCCGAGTCTCCTGCAGAAGGACGCACCATCCTGAATCTTGGACACTTTCCGACTTAGCTCCCTTAGAATTTCTCCTCTCCACCGTTCGCACTCTCTTAGACTTTTGCAGCCGCTCGCCATCTTCGGACGACGATCTGCGCGCGTTCCGAGGCCGAGTTCAGCTGCTTGAGCCTCTCGGAAACGGTACAACATCGACTGTGCTTTCTCTTCATTACGGGCCTAGTTTTGACAACGATGTTTAGTGGTAAATCTGTAGATTATTTATCCTGGTGCGTACCATTGTTGGATAATGTAAGGTGCGAAGTAAGATGTGCAATATGTAAGCCTTTGGCCAATTGTCCTTCGACGCTAAAGGTCAAAGTAAGAACGCAGAGTGGCAACAATCAAGCAACAATTCAATGTTGCAACCCTAACCTTAGTCAGATCTGTTCTGGGAAACCCGCTATCCGGATTCCCACCACCTCCGAGTCCATCTCTGGCTTCAAGCCTCAAGCTAAGCATGACGCTGGCCCAAGCTTGAGCCAGCTCGGGCCCGGCAAGCTGCAAGAAGTAAAATGAATTTCAGCGCTACGCTACCGTAGAAGTTGGGGCTTAGTCGGGGCTGCCCCTCTGTCTCACTCCCTGTGAAGCGGCCTACACTATTGAGAGGGTGGTAAAATCGACTTTTCCTTTATTTACCTCAGTTCACTGGGCGATACACCCCAGTGGCTCTTGCATTTAAGCAGACACAGCATATCCCGGACCCAGTTTGCCGTCAGCCGCAGGCCACTTTCCTTTATCAAAGGGTGACTCGTGGCATCTCAACAGAGGACGCGCACTTTTTCCTACGCGCCCCCTCAATCTCTTAATTCCATACTTCTTCATCCATACGGGCTCCTCTAGCAAAATTGTGACTATCCAGGCCATATTAGCATGTATGTGTCCATTTCGGCGTCCCAGTGGGGTTCTCCCACTGCTCCTAGGAAAGCTCTGCTCATTCATGGGTTGATTTCGTCCTCAAATTCATGGGAGGGCGTTGCTCAGCTATTAGCAGCAGAAGGTCAGGTTTTGTGATACTATGGTGATGATGCTATGTTTTTAACGGGCTACACAGGGTTCTTTGTCGTGGCACCGAATCTCATTGGGCATGCATGGAGACGGGGCACTAACTACCGCGTGTCCACCCTTGTAGAGGACCTCCGACCGTACTTTGTCAAGGACACGTCCTACGATGTGATTATAGGTCATTCTCTTGGAGGCACAGTGGCCTTGTCGCTCATGCCATTCTTGCCCAAAACGAAAGAAACCGCTGTCATACTACTCGATCCCCCCCTCGAGATTGTAAAGGGGACATCCAAATTGCATAAAGGTTCGTTTCTGAATGAGGTTGCGAATGTCAGAACCAACAAGGAGCTGGCTGATAACCATGGTTTGTCACGACGTGACTGCGTGTTACGCGCACTGGGAGTTTCAATGTGCCACCGTACCGTTGTCGAGGGTGTATTTTTGGTAATATTGGAACTGTAGGCATGGCAAATGTTGCTGACACTTCTGCCGTTGTTGTAAACAGCACAACAAGTCATGGTCTTTCAGTGGCCTACTCAAAAACATCCCCCCTAATGTGAAGATCACCATGCTGTTGGCAGATCCGGAGGTCGGCGCCGTTTGTCATTTGGAGCATATCCCCCGTGGTGTTGAGAGATTGGATGTCAAAGTTCTTCCTGGCATCGGTCACTGCATTCACTACGAGTGTGCAAATGCTATAGTGGACGCAATCCCGCTACCGAGAGCAAAACTGTGAGGAGAAACAGTTTTTCATGGCCTAGTTTGTGTCTACGACCTTCTTTTGTAACCTAGCCTGCCTCCGTTCGTACATGGGTGTCACAAAGCATACAGTAGTCCAATTATGCCAAGCTATCAGTCTCAAGCTCGAAAGAAAGGATATCATGGTCCTTTGTTGGCTCAACTCCCTTGAGTTTACGTGTCTGCGACAAGAGGTACCGTCACATTGCAGCACTTTCTGTGTCCTGAAAGAGGCCGCACGGTGCCGTGGAGCGCTTTCGACTCGATAGCAAGAAACCGCCATCAAGTCTTACCCTATCTTCGATTACAACTATGAAATTGATCAGACTCACCACTATAAATGTCACCCGCAGTGACGATGACCAGTACAACTACCGCAGACCTTATCGGCCACACCACCCGGGCCTTCGCCCAGGCTAGTGAGTGCTCTCGCAGCCTAGAGAGTTCTGGACCCTCCTGACGTAAACTCTTATTTACAATCACCGACTCTCAAGATTGCTCCTGTTTCCCATGCTGTTACGTTGTGGGACATGCTTATGAAGGGAATGGATGAGCCTAGGGTGAGCCGGATTCTTTCTCTTGCCTACCGAGTCCGAGTGCTGAATCTTGTGTGTGTTTGCTTTTGCCGGCAAGTTCATGCATGGAAAGTTGTAGCATGATACGTACACGTCGGGGAGAACACTTTAGCACAGCTAGTGTCAATAACACTATCGGTTACTACGAGTTGAGGTAGCCCTTGCGACAGGGCGTTTCATCGCTAGGAGCCACCATCGGGAGGCATGAAAATGTGGAGGTGCGACCCGGGATTCGTTATTCGTGCCAGACACGTCTCAAGTCCTTACCCGTAAAGCCCAGCTAGGTCGTGTTGCCAAGTTGGACGAGATTGATGGGCCTGAGTGACTCAACAATCCGTTGTTGTCGGCTACTAAGCTAGGTATTGTGCCATTGTGCCTTGGTAAGACTCATATTGGGCCAACTTAGGCCAACTTGCGGTGGAGATATTCGACTGAACCGGCCTTCGACGTCGCAAAGTATGTATGATTTCATTTATGCGGAGCTATCGGTGTCAAGCTCTACAGCGAGATGCCATGGTGCAAAATCGTCGCATCTTGATTAATAGAGTACACAGCGCCCTGTGCACTCCACAACGATGAGTAAGTAACCCCCGACTTAGGTGTTTCGCCTTTCCAATATCGCTTCAATCTCTGGCTTGAGGCTCGCCCAAAGGCTGTCGACAGTATGGACTGGATTCCATCCAATCAGCCTAGCCCGTTCCGCCATTGCACGAGAGTTTGACCCCATCCAGCGACCCTGTCAATGTTTGTTTCGTAAGTAAACATTTAACGAACGTGATTCAAGACTTGCCCCGAAGTACTTCTGCATCTCTTCGATCGTGAAGACCGTGGGCTCGGGACTTTTGCCCCGCTTCATATCATACAACAATTTCGCTAAGATCTCAGAGATCTCACCCACGCGATGTTCTCCATTTTCGCCAAAATAATAACCCTCGCGACCATGAGCTGTACCACCCGGGCCCTTCATTGCAGCATCGAAAACAGAGATGTACAGCGTCGCTGTGTCGTCGATGTGAACGTTAGGCCACAGATTCAGCCCTTCTCCGACAACTCCACCCTGCTTTCTGTCCAGGCTGGCTTCGATGAGACGAGGAATTTGCCTTGAGTACGGATTCTGAACGCCAAGTGAGACCAATGGTGTGTTCGCAATGCCATATATCGTCGAAGGCAGAATGATATATGTCCGCACGTAACCTGTTCATGTTTCCCGGGCGTTCGTTATTAGACATGGGAAAATATGGACAGGAAAAGCATCAGCAGCTACCTTCTTTATCAGCAGCGATGACTTCGAGCTCAACTTCACGATGCGGTTGAGTCTTGGGAAGCGACTCGATTGTTGCGATGTCTAGATCGGAATAAATGCTATCTGTAGCGTAGTTCCCGGCAGCATCGTCTATCAGGACACCAGTTCCAGACTAGGTGGAAGAATATCAGCGTCTCTTCTTGAAGGTAACGGGGAAATGTCATAGACTACTATACACACAGTGTGGATAAAAATGGGGACCGTATTGGTCTCTTCGTGTCTCTTTTTCAGTCCTAAGAAGATTGCTCTGGCTGCATAAAGGTCGTCGGCATTAGCCTGTATATGAGCGATCAGTTATTTCTTGACTCGGAATTGTGAGGTTCAAACGGACACATGCTAAGACTACGTCCGCTGTGCTGGCAAGTGATGTCAGCGTATCAAGATCGCTATTGTTGCCAACGACAGCTGTAACACCGACGCTATTGAACAGCGCAACCTTTTCAGGAGAGCGGATGAGCGCAGTTATGTGGAATGTATCAGATTTGGGGTGTGATAGCAATGCAGACACAACAGATCCGCCAATATAGCCTGCGATTGACCGTAAACTGAGTTAAATTCCAACCGGCGAGAACCCACCAGTAGCCCCCGTTACGAAAATGTGTGTCCTCGTTGGTGTTGACATGAGAAAGCTCTCAGTATGTGGATTGGATGTCCACTATGTACATGCAAGCATTCCATTTATCTGCAGGCGCCTCCAAAGTGAAGAAGACGCATTGCTGCCGATAGATGATACCGTGACTGTGTCGCGGTCCGACAATGTCCGACTCGCGGGGGAGATTTTTCGGCTGCCTAGACTCAGACAGTGGTCTCGCGGAGATCACATATGTGGCATCTTCCTCAACTTCCTACTTTGACCGTGACTAGAGTCATATCCTATCGTATCTTGACACATAAGTTATGAGCATCCCGCACAACAGTCTCGGACTCACCAATAGTAATCCAGTACGTACCGGATGCTGCATCATGATATTGATGTGAGGCTGTCCTTCACCGTTATTAATATTTTTAAGTACACGTTATCGACCCCATGATCCCTGCTACAAGACCGTATCCCGGCCACGTGATCATGATATAATACGAGAAAATTGTCTGAATAGAAACCAGTAGAAACCCCATGATGTTCCAAATCATATCCAACTCCACCGGGCGTCTGAGCAGGTATAATAACGCGTTTCAGAACCAAAGTTGTGGCCAGCATACTTGTTGACGCCCACATTTTCCATTATGATCCAGCCTTCCGAGTCTTTCGACGAGAAGCGCCAAACGAAAGACAGCACGCAAGATGAGTTGTATGAAATTACTCGAAGAAACGCAGTTGGGGATGTTTCGCAATACGCAGCTGTAGCTGAGGTCGAGGAACACACAACTTGGTTTGTCTGGTTACTTGTGGCTTGTTGTACTATTTCTGGGTTGTTGTTTGGTATGGGCCGTTTGCTTCACTTTTGAGACGGCGAATGACTGACCAGACGATGTGTCAACAGGTTATGATACTGGCGTAATCTCTGGCACTCTAGTTACCATCAAGGGAGACCTTGGGCCGGCTCAATTATCAGATGGACAAAAGGTGAGCTGGATGGCCAAGACCCAATTCCGTACATTCATGATTAATGACCACGTCATTCTAGGAATTCATCACGTCCGCCACCACATTGGGTGCATTACTGGGGGGCCTTGCTGCGGGTGCTATGTCAGACTGGACGGGTCGTCGACCCGTCCTTGGCATCGCAGATATCATCTTCGTCGGCGGAGCTCTCGGACAGGCTGTCTGTCATACTGTTTGGAGTATGGTATGCTTCCTTCTCCATGCGTGCTCATTGTCTCATTTTCGCAAACTGACCACCAACTTGAACTTCGCTAGATTGGTTGCCGGTTCCTCATCGGTATCGGCGTGGGTCTTGCATCATGCATCGCACCTCTGTATATACAGGAGCTGTCACCTACACGCATGCGCGGGCGCATGGTCGTTCTGAATGTTGTAATGATCACCTTTGGGCAGGTAGTTGCTTATGGAATCGATGCAGGCTTTGCAAATGTGAGTGGTGGTTGGAGGTGGATGGTTGGACTTGGTACAGTCCCAGCCGGCATTCAATTGATATGTTTGGCGTTCTTACCGGAGAGTCGTGAGTTTCTTTGCTTTGTCATTATTCCGCGCCATTTGCTGAGGGATGACTCACAATGACTACCGTTTTGCAGCAAGGATACTTATCCGAAAAGGCAATATAGAGGCCGCGCACAAAGTTTTAAAACGTGTCTACTCGCAAGCTACGGCCGAACAGATTGATTTACAGGTATCTTTTATGTTGGTCGGTGGAGCATTGGCAAATAGTCTAAACTACGTCATAGCTTCAGGTTCTCCGCGCATCGGTACAGCAAAGTGTCGACATCGCAAATTCCACAACCTTCTTCGAGCGCTTCAACTCCATGATCACGGTTCCCGTAAATCGTAGAGCACTGAGTGAGACAAACCCATTGCTTGCGCAGTCTTGCTGTACTCACGTTGCAAAGTCATCGGATGCGGCATGCAAGCGTTCCAACAACTTTGTGGATTCAATACACTTATGTACTACTCTGCATCACTCTTCCAGGAGATAGGGTTCAACCAGCCGACAGCGGTTGGACTCATTGTCAGTGGGACAAATTTCATCTTCACACTTTTTGCGTTGAAGTATATTGATATTGTGGGACGACGGAGGATCATGGTGTTCTCTGCGCCGGGCATGGTTTTTGGCCTCGCCCTTGCAAGCATCGCGTTCCATTGTATGTGTTCTATTCCTTGCAGGGGATGGACCAGATGACGGACTTGGACTTGGTAGATATGACGCTGCATACAGGTGGTGATCTAGTCACCGGCGCGTCTTACTCCAGATCATGGTCAGCGATCGTCCTTCTCTCGATGATCATATTCGTCGCATCGTATGCAACGGGCTTGGGAAACGTCCCGTGGCAGCAAGGCGAGCTCTTCGGTCTCGAAGGTCACATCCATGTTTCTCGAACATTTGAATTTAGCACTGACGTTTCTTGTAGTCCGCGGAATCGGCACATCGCTCTCAACTGCGACGAACTGGGCTGGCAACCTTCTCATCGGCTCTACATACCTCTCTCTCATGGCGAAAATTACTCCCGCCGGTGCGTTTGGGTTCTACGCAGGGCTGTGTCTACTAGGATGGCTATTTTGCTTGTTCTGCTTCCCTGAGACTGCTGGGCTGAGCCTCGAGGAGGTCCAGTGCATCTTTCGGGATGGTTTTGGGATCCGAGAGAGCCAGAGAATGAGGAATCAAAAGCGAGAGATGATGATACAGCAAAACATCAAAGCGGGGCAGGTGGATGCATGATGGGCATGCAGGGATACCGATCACAGCGTAGTAATAACTATAAGATAAGCTAAAGAAGGAACACGTTTTCGACGTTATCCTTTAGCCAACTTGGGCTGTATATATTATGGCAGCTTGCAGCGGTCGTGTGGATCGCTTAACCATCTCCTTGATGTGAGGTTTGCACACTCGTATGGTGACCAATAAAATAATAAATTTGGCCAATACAAACCATTAGTCTCGACTGTGTAAGGTTCAGTTTTTAAAACACATATGATATCATATGTTCATACAATCAACTCAACAGATAATGTACATATCATCCGGCCGGTATATATAGTAGGTACAGCACAGCGTATATACACAATTTATAGAAACGCGCCCCTCTGAGTCCGGGGATGATTCCCTTACCTGCATCCACAAATTCACAAATCCTATGCCCCGGTCGATTATTAGGACCAATCTCACAGTCGACATTGGACTTCACTATGGAGTCTATCAAGCGTCTCGATCAATGATCGATAGCGCAATGGCAATCATGTTATCCACGAAATTGTCCAAGTACGATTTATCATACAAATCGCAGGCCTGGGAATGTATGGTCAATTGTATTGTCAATCCCACAAATAAACTCACAGCCAGATGAATGTGTAATTCAGAACGTAAGGACCAGATATGCGTCATTCTGCCGGGCATGGTGAACAAAATTCGGGTTTTCCCCCAAAAAAAGGTCTACGCACGGACGATCCAAGTCTGTCAATCTGAGCCCAATCCTCATGTCTGAAATTTGCACTGTTGGGTTGTGAGAGCCCAAGGGCCAATTGAGAGGCAGCCTATCCTCGACCTTTTGGAGGTTGGTGATCATGAGAGCATTTGGATTCTCCTGGAAGTTTTGGCTGGATCCGATATGAGGAAGATGCTTGTTAGACAACCGGATCGCGTATTGCTCCCTCAGCCTCGCCATGACCGCAAGTAATTGTGCTTTTGAACTTTCGTTCCAAGGCACATCGGTCGCATAGACGACCATGGGGACCGTGCACATAAATGAGACATGATGTGAACGACCGTTGTAAGGCGGAACCAGAAATCGTAGGTATGATATACTGACCGCCTTTCGTGAATTTCGTATGATCAGTGGCAGTTCCAGACTGCTCACATTGTGAAGTCCAAGATAACGTTTGCCTTGTCCTCGCGAAGGAGTTCTGATTGATGTGCCTGTAGAACAGCAAGTACTTGTGCTGCTTCAAGAAGCTGGGTGACAGTGAAGTCTGTCAACGCCAGTGCGTTGAGAATTTCCTTGAATATTTTCGAATCTAATACTCGGTGGATGCGGACGGATTTCCCTCGCACAAGAACATGATCTCGTTGCGCTACCAGACCTTTTGAGTACTTTAGGGCCGTGAGTACGTTTAAGTCGTGTTGGCAATAGAAAACCGCAATAGTCGTTCACCTGCTGATATTCCATTGCCTGCCGTGCTGCAGCATCCAAGGCCTCTACTTCACTTTCCCACCCGTCCTTTGGACCCCCAGTAGCAGTGATAGGACCGACGGGAAGGTTTCGCCACTCTTGCCCCCAATCAAGGGTGTCGATTGATGTATGAGCATCGGTGGAAATAAGGTCAAAAATGCGATAGAGCGCATTGTATGAAGTGAAACCATCCGCAAGACAATGGGCCGTGTGGAAAAAAATCGAGTGCACCCCACTGGCGCGTAGAACAAGGTGGCAACCAAAATGCTGCTTGTCGATGAGCTCGCCACGATCTGTGTAAGGCAATCGGATTTGGTTCATCGAAAGGACAAAATCGTCGTCGGATATTGATGCTCTGTGCACCGTGAGGCTTGCTTCCGCCCATGTCTTTGCATCTTCAAGAGTGCAAACAGGTTTATAAGACCAAGACCTTGCCATAGGAATGGCCGGATTCGGATCGTGTTTCTCAATGCTCGCTGCTAGAAGCGGAGAGTAAAATCTAAAATCTAATACATCAGCACTAGGTCATCAAATCGCTGTATTAAAACTACCTTAGGAAGCACAGTGCGTTACGGATAGACGGCACTAGGACGTGCAGAGGTATAGTGCATGTAAAGGACACTCCCATGCAATATTCATTTCCGCTTTACGCTGTCAGACAAAATGTTCCTAGGCAGTGTGTTTACGCTCACTTACCCGTCTAACAATTCAGAAAGAATATTGTGCGACAATTCTGATCCATACAGAGGTCTGTACAACTGGCGTTAATTGGTGGAAACTATGAAAAAATTGTACAAGACCTCGTATAGAGCCCAGCATGGAGGGTCCATGGCTGCTCTCCTTCTGTGAGAGACATATTGGCAAACAAGGGACGACAAGGCTTCCAGCTGTAGTTCTTGATGTCCACAATAAAAGCGCTGTCGGTATTTGTCAATGTGTGAATTCACTGGTGATGATTGGACCTGGTTACCAACCGTTGTTCACTGTGGATAGCTGTTCCTATCAGAATCATCGGGAAAAGCGCTGATCCTGAATGTTTAAGAAGACATCTATATTTCTGGTAACTGAATTTGATCTGAGGACTCAATTCGGGGCTGATCAGCAAAGTCGTTCCAAGTGACCTGTGAACATCCACTTTTGTTACTGTGTAATCATCCTGAAATTCATGGTCAATACGGTGGCGGTCCACCAGGATGGTCTGGTCCAGTGGTGAGTTTCCCGTTCAACTGCAACTCCAAGAAAAAATTAGTGCGACTACTACATGCCACGAAATTAATATTAGAAACACCCGCGGATGTGCAGCGTAATCTTGTCTCGCCGATGGCTCGTGAAGAAGTACCTGTCCTTAGCATCGCAGACATCGTTTTTGCCAGCGAAGCTCCCAGTATGCTTCCTGAACCATCTTGGATCGCTTAGTCTCATTTGCCGCCAGATGTTACCAAGTTGAACTTCACTAGATCTATTGCTGAACATTACTCCGTCCGAGTTCTACGCAGGGCCGAGTCTGCCAGGATGATCATTTGGCTTGTTGTGCTTGCCTCAGACTGCTGGAGTGGGCTTCGAGGAGGTCCAGAGCATCTTTCGGGATGGATTTGGAGGACCAGGGATGAGTGAGAGATGATGATGCAGCAAGACATCAAAGCGGGGCACCGTGTCATCGCAGGAAATACCTATCTCAGAGCATATGAAGAACTGCAAGATGACTGCTAATTCTGGAGCTAAGATGACAACAAATAGACGCACGTATCTTGCACGCTTCATCTGAGTCGTCACCATTTTACGTACATAAGGCTGCGCCACAGCAACACGTATCATTCAACAAACGAGAGAAGCACTAATGTCGCATCTATCATTAGGCCTTCGTCGCCGTCCAGAAAGCAGTTTTGTAAACGTATCCCAACATAGACTTGGAATTACTTGTATATGTCGTGTCTATCGTTCGCTCGTTCTGATCGTAGATCGTTCTCGTCAGGGTCACACAGCGGAGTACGATATACAGACTTACAGATATCACGAAGCCGATCTTTTGAGCCAACATTTTAACTTCTTCGAGATCGAGTTCAACCGATGGGTCGTTGGTCGCATTGTTTTCGAAGTGCCAGAGCAACGGGCCTGATTTGTATTGAGTAGGTAAAAGCCAGATAAGGCGTCAGTCCTCACCTGTGTTGATCCACACTCCACCAGGTGCTAAAATCCTGTGAATTATACGAAGGTAGTTGATAACATTCTTTGCCTGAACCAGCTTTGTTAGGTCAGAAAACACCCGAACACAAACAAGCCCGCACAGTGTCAATAAAGAAACATGTCAGAACGGCGTCCCATTGCCCCGCCTGTGGTTCGAAATCGCCTTCCTCGTATTCTGCTCCATAAATCTCCTCGAAATCGCCTGAAACGTTGAGAAGCCACGATACTCAAAGGACCTGTCAATAATCATACCCGCAACCAAGGAGAAATTCGAGCCGCCTGGTAGGGCCGAGGGAAGGACATCGGGTATTTTCACTGGGCGTAACATCGCTTCACGGTTAGGAAGGTTGGAGAAAGAATGGACATAAGGGTATATGGTGTATTGCCCCATTGCGTCAGTCCTGCGACCAAAAATCATATGTTTAGCGCAATAAGACCTCTTCTTTTCTCACCTGTTTAAGATAAGATAAGATGCCAAAAGCATGTAGTGAGAGAATTCATTTCCCTGACAAGCGAACCCTAGGGGTTTGGCTTAGTCTAATTCAAAAGAGCGATACGTGAACTTCGCAAACCTAAATTTGCAACATCATAAGCCAACCGGCCAAGGCCTGCACCAGGAACGAGTACCCGGATGTTTTTTCTGGTGAAATAGTACATCTATGTCGTCAGGATGAAGATTTAGAGTCTAAGCCAACCTTGACTCCGGGGATGGTTTGTCCGAGAAATGCGCAACAAGCGCGTCTTTCATTGGCGTATAACACGTGTCCCGTTCTTCTTTACCCTGTTATGCAATGCAAAGTCACATACGCTACAAAGGGATAGGATCGCTTGTTTACCTCCTCGCTCCAGTCTCGTACGAACTGCTTCAGAGTGCTCCGCAATTTGTCCATGTCGAAGTCCGTAGGTCTATACTTTCCCTGATGAGGCTTACTAACAACTCTGGAATCTGGGGAGACATTTGCATGGTCATGCGAGTGACTGTGTCGGTGATGTGGGTGGCTATGAGAATGTGAATGCACGTCACCTGCATGATATTGATATTGTTAGGCACAGATCAGATTCTTTTCTCGTGCAGTACAAACCATGCGGGTGGTCGTGAAAAGCCCCCGAACCAGCCTTATCCTCATCTGCATCTTCATGAGAGTCGAGATCGTGACCGAAGATCTCGGGGTTTGCAACAATCAGCTTCAAGAATTCTGCATTGACGAGGATAGCTCTATCCACTTCTTGAAGTTTCCGTCGGTACCCAAGGTCATCGAGAAGTTCTTTGTCACCCTGAGGAAGTGTATATATGTCTTTTCGTCGCCTGTTATTGGCCGCTAGCTAAATATGACAAACAAGCTGTTCATAAGCCAGTGCGGTGCGCGATGATCAAAACACCTACCGTGTATTGGGCATATTGTTGAAATGTCGCGATGACATTAGAGAAATGTTTTTGCTCCTCTTCGATGTCAGCGTCCGAGAATACTTGGGACATTTTATTCGAGAGACAGTGCACTTGATCGACGTGATTCGAAGTTACCAAGTCAGAACAGGATAATTATAAATATGCATGGCTGAGTCAGCGGCTTCCGAATTCAACAACATCAAACAAATCTTCGGAGTTGCCAACGCAAGTCACAGAACTATTGGAGTCGCGAAGCTATGGCCGGGTGCTGTACAGTAACGTCAAAGGGCCTACCACTGGTTCACTTATTACCTAGGCTTGTTGGAGTAACCCCGAGAAACAGCCACGACAAATTGACAAGCACAGCTAGGCGCTGATCGCTGTGTATAGTTAACTCACCCGCCGAGTCCCAAGTTGGTACATGATATGCAGGGCGAGCCCTTCGTTCCTGGCACTATTTTTTGATGGATACTATATAAGTATAGGCTGGTGCAGTGCGGAGCTCCGGAACTAACGATGTGTCCAATTTCCTTGCGGCTGATATCGTAAATAGTGCTCCCTCGGTGACAGATTAACGCTTTGCCACCCTTAGACTGGTTGTGCACTGAGAACTCGAGCACAGCATGCGATGTACACACTAATATATAATTTAGGTCGACATAAAGCATCAAGCTTACACTCAGAATGTCAGGAGCAGCAATAACTATTGGACCAGCGGTGGTTGGATCGATGATCGCCAGCTACTTATTTGGCTGCTCGACGATGCAAACCTACACTTACTATAAGCGTTTCCCAGGTGATAGGAGAATATTTCAAATTCTGGTGCGTCATGTCTGCCTTTCATTGTAGTCAAAGCTGATGTTCAAATAGGTGGCAGTCGTGATGTATGTATAGATAAATCTTGATGTCGATCTTGACTTTGATTCATCCAAGGGTGCTGACTTTTGCCCATATCATCTGCGTCATGTATTGGACATGGACCATGACCGTTACGGGCTGCCAGAATCCTGATGGTGTAACCATATTCTCCAGCTCTCGAGACGCAAATCTCATCCTGACACCGCTAATCAGCACTCTTGTTCAGGTGGGCAACGATTCATTCAAGCACGGCTCCGTTCAACTTGGTTGTACAGATGTTTTTCATTTACAGATTGTTCAAATTCTCAGGAAGCAAGACACTCGCCGCGTTTTGTGGCATTCTCAGCACGTTGAATCTTGCCGGCACTTTGGTGGATGCAGCCAAGGCACTGAGCATTTCCGCGGACAGAACTGCACAAAACGCACGAAATTGGTTGACCATCCTGACTCTTGTTTCAGCCGCTGTTTGCGATCTTGTGATCACGATTGGGCTAGTGTATTTCCTGCAGCGTGAACGCAGGCGCAGCAAGGCTCAGCAGTAAGCTGCATTATGATATCGTGGTCTCCTCACAACCAATTCCCTCCCAGAACGCACAATATCGCTGACCGTTTGACTCTTTGGGCAATTGAGACTGGTCTCGCAACTAGGTGAGCAAACTTCACATACGAAGATTGGACCATTGGATTGATGTTCTCAGCATGTCTGCTGTCTTGGTTATTGTCTTCGTGAGTTCTTTCAGCGACGATTGTTACGAGCACTGCTAATGTCAACAGTTTTGTGCCATGAGAAATTCTTGTGAGGCAGTCCATTGTAGCTATGGAATCACCTGAGCTTTTCCACTCTAGTCTTATGGACGGCCATTTATGACGTTTTGGCTGATGGTGAGCACTGCTTTTCAAGTCTTAATTTACGTACGTTGGTTAATCTCAAAATAGTCTATACAAATTCGCTCCTGGCTGCGTGAGTCATGGTATATCAACGAGGATCAGAGCTAACGCAGACATAGACTCAACAGCCGCAGGACTACTCGCATTCGGGACACTCGCGTCGTCGAGTTTCCCACCTCTCACGACACATTACCTGACAGTGACAAACCGGAGGTTAATAATTAGATTGTCGGTTTTATTATACACTGCTCCTAAAGCTATCGTGCTGTATAGATTCCCACCAATAATGTCCGACGATGAGTTGACAGACAGTCACAGCAGTCATCGCCCCCGAGCCAATGACTCACGCATCTCACCCAGGTTCGGCTCCTTGACGTGAATGCAAATCACATTTCAAATTTCAAACATGTTCCGCATCGGGTGCGAGTCACAGTCAGTCAAGCTATTGACTCATTTTCTCGAATATAAAAGTCTTCAAAGCCCCCCTAGCCATACCAACACACCAATAACCCCTACTAAACACCGCACAAATATGCCACCTCTCAGCGCCAAGGCATGGGAGAAAAAGGTACGCCGCAGTGGTTTCGCACTAATGGCGGGCGCTCACGAGATAACACCCTACGTTACAGCATTCCCGCAAACGCAGCAATGGAACCGTCCTACGTCGAAACCCCGGACGTGGGGATGGCCGCGTTTGGAAAAGCAGGGGCTACATTTGCACGGCCGCAGTCGACGGCCATTCTTTCAATGATGTTCACGATAATGAGGAATACGACGCAACAGAGGATTTTGCCCCTTTGTCATTTGGCACAATATTTTCCCTCTTTGATGACGCGCGAATTTCACCCTCCAAGCGCCAGCGCAAAGGTAAGGCGTATCCATCATAGCTGGAGAATAAAGCGCTGGCTGACCCCGAACATAGCCAAGAGCCGACTGGGGGACTTTGAGATTCTTGAGTCGAACCCCAAAGTCATACCCATCAATGATGACTGCAGCGATACAGACGAGGATGAGTGGGAGAAATTGGACGTACCAGATATTCATGGCAGACGGCACTTGACGTACTCGCAAGTGCTTCAGAACTTGGACGAGGGCTGAGTCGGTAGAAAGTTAGCATCGCCAGCGGTAGCTTGTTCACTAAAACACATACTATACTAAAACGAGGATCATCCAGGACCTCACTGAATAATGTCAAGCCACAAGAGTTACAATGCGCCCAAGACAGAGACAGGCACAATCACTCTATATGCGTAGGAACTGAAGCATATCAGTGATACGTCTAGATGGGTAACTCGTGAGTCGTGATATTGGAACCATCGTCCAAGTATTCCAAAATTGACATCGGAAACATACATGTAACATCCTCGGAAAACGCTCGCCGTTAGAATTTACCCCACGACCACTGGCATGACTACTAGTATACTCTAGTAGGCGACGAGGTCATGCAGACGGTGGGCATAGGGACCTATCGAGTTTCTATACGCATATGGTCGGCAAGTTCATCTGCCGCATCCCTGGAAAATGGAAAGAAATGGCTGAATAAATCATCATCATAAATAAAAACTCACCAACTCGTACTAGAAGAACAGAGTTCGTCCGGCACATTATTTGAGGCCTTCGAGAAAATTATGTTACGAAGCGTGGCATCTGTTTCGTGATGCTAAGCACATACGGATTGTTTGGCTGTCCCCTATACACAATCTGTGTATAAAAGCAAGTGCATTAGTGTTTGATTCAGAAAACACAATCAAGTATCAGCCATGAAATTCACTTCACTCACCACTATGATCATCTCTGCCGCAGCGATGGCTGGCGTAGCCATCGCATCCGAGGATCTGACCGTATCACCCTTGAACCTACCCTGCCACACAACTGGTGAGCGCCTTCGTTGCCTACGTGCAGACCTTGGACCACATGCTGATGGCTGTCCGCCGATGAAGTGGGGTGCTCAAACATCAAAGGTTTCAACAATGGCAACGATTTCGGGTTTTACTGTCTCAATAACAAAATCTATAAGTTCACGGCATGCACAGGAGGAACTAAATGCCATATCACCAGTGGGACCCAGTTCAAATGTTCATGAGCGCTGGGCCTTGAGGCTCGCTCAACTCCAGAGCGCCTGCGTGAGCCTGTCCTTTTCGTTGTCAACCGAATCTGAGTGCTGATGTGCTTGCTTTCACCAGTGCATGGAATAACGAATATGATACGTGCAGGAGGGCGTAAAGGAGTGCTGCCAGATGGCATGAAGGCCAGGTGTTTGTTAAATCTGGTCATGATGATGAAGATAGGATTTGTAACAACTTTTGTATGGTCAAATTGAGGTCAAACATAGTTTCCTGAGTTTCCACGCACTCTGAAGTTAGACCCACTGCGATTGATGGGCTGCATGTCCTGGAAGAAATGGAGCGTAAGCACTAGAAGAGTGAGATGGAGTTCAAGTGGAGCTAAAGTGTAGAGCGCACGTGCCAGTAGGAGTCACATGAATTGCTTCCGCAGGACCAACCCGTTCCGTCCTGGTACTTAGATATACAACACACCCGGACACTTGACATACATAGGGTGATTACAATCGTCTCATGGAAATTCAATAACAGAAAATCAAACCAAAAAAATAATCCAATCAACACAGACTCATGCTCGTGACCTCGTTGCCCGTGTCGTACGCTTCACCTCCACCTCCTTCTTCCGCTCACCCTCGTCCTCCTTTGAACTTGACGGGGTATTTTCCTTGTCCACCGCTGTCACCGCACGCCTGCGGGTTGTTGTTGCACCCTTCGCCTTCCCAGGAACCGGAACGTCAACGTCCTCTTCTTTTACGGGTGCAGTCGCTGCCCGCGTGCGTCTCGCTCTCTGTACGGGAGCCGGGGCTTCAGGCTGCGCGATCGAATCGAGCGGGTCATCCCCATCAACGTCATCGTCATCTTCTGCGCTACGCATCTTGCTCCGTGAAGGAGCGCGAGTTGTCGTAGTTGCGGCCTTTGGCTTCACAAGAACTCGCGGACGTGCCTTCGCAGGCTCAGATCGAGCAACTTGGACGGGGGTGGCACGACTGCGGGTCGCCCTAGGTTTTGGGACCTATAGGAGTGAGATGAAATTGAAATCGAGATAGAAGGAAGGAAGAAAAGTACCGTTTCTACAACATCCGTTTTCGCTTTTCTTGTAGTAGTAGTTACACGAGCCCTAGGCTCGGTACTAGCAGCACGCATCCTGGGCTCAGTACTGGCATCTCGCATCTTCGGTGCAGCAGCGGGCTCTTCATCCTAAATAAAATATCATTAATAGCTATCCATAAGACTTAGAGTCGTGAGGATGCATACCGAGTTCTCAGCAGCGACCTCCTTGCGTGCGCGAAGCAGACGCGCTCTCGCAGGTTTCTTTTGTGCAGCAGGCTGAGGGAGGATATCCATAATTTCGTCGTCTGCTTCTGCTTCGTCTTCTGCATCTGGTTCGGGCGCATGCTCTGGTTCTGGTGCTGGTTCTGGCATTTTTGCCTTTTCTTTCTCTTTCTCTGTGCGTTTGAGAGATGCCACCGGCACCCTTTTTGAAGGAACTATCTCCGCACGCGAAACAGTCCTGGAAGTAGATGGCTCCCTATCCTTGGAGGCAGTAGCTCCCGTGACTGTAGTAGTCCTCGTGCGGCGACGAGCTGCTGTAGCAGTAGGTCCAGAGGCAGGAACGGGAACAGGGGTCTTGCGGGAGGTAGTTCTCGTTGGTTTGCGTTGCTCCTCCGTCTCTATCCTGTTTGCTTGCTCCTTCCCTTCCTTCGCACCCTCCCGTTCATCCACATCCTCTACACGCGCACGATACCCTTCAGGTGTAACCATCATTTCCCCGACACCCTCCAACACATCCTCTCCCATCCCCATCCCGACACCCTTGCCAGTCTCACGGAACAGTGTACGCATGCTCTTCACCGCTGGCGTACTTGGCACCGGCGCCGGTGGGGGGAAGAGATGCTTGAGTGACGCGAGAGCGGGTGTCTGCGGCCCAGAAAACGACGTTGCGGTCTTGTGCTGTGCGCGGGAGGTGGGTCGCGTGAGCTGGGGCAGCGGTGTCCTCTCCAGCTCGAGGTCAAGGTCAAGCGCAATACGCGTCGGCGAGAGAGGCGCAGGCATGTGCTCGGATGGGTCGCTCATCTCGACTTCAGGTTCAGGGCGAGAAGAGGATTCGGGTTCTCGAAGCACAGATGCAAGGCCGTTCTCTTTATCACTGTTTTCTTCTTCTTCCCCTGTTTGTTGTTCCCCATCGATGTCTTCTTCTGCGTTGTCATCAACATCCATACGCTGCTCAGCACCCACTGTGTCTTCTGCATCCTCGCCATCCTCATCCTCCCGCTCATCCTCCCCAAATGGACCCACGCTCCTACGCCGTTTCATCTCCTCCACAGTCCGCTTCATCCGATCCAACAAACTCCGCGTGTCCTCCTCATCTTCTTCGCTATGCGGCGTCAGTGGTGCCTTCAAAGGCGATGGAGGACGCCCGAATGGCGTGTACGCCTTCGCAGGCGATTCAAACGGTTTGGTAGGGGAAGAGAAGAGCTTCATAGGGGATGCCGGACGCGAGAGGGTGGGTGCTTTCGTTGGAGATGCGCTTCCCTCTCCGAACTTCGTCGGTGATGTGCTTCTCCCCCCGAATTTGGTTGGCGATACACTCCTCTCACCCAACTTAGTGGGAGATGCACTGCGTCCACTGACCGTGCGGACGGCAGAGTCCAGCAGGGAGGGCAGTTTCCGTAGTGTGTTCCCATCGCTCGCGTTGATATGAGCAGAGGGCGTGGTGGGTGCGACAGACAACCGTCGCAGTCCTGGTACCTGTGCAAAGAAAGGGTCGGGTGTAGTAAGCGCTGATTTGCGTCGCTCTTGGATAGCCTGTTGGGTAGCAGGTAATTAGGAGACGTCATGGGGAGAAAAACGGGAAGGAAAGAAAAGAAAGTCAAGACAGACAGGGGACACGCCAGGAAGCAGCAAATGCGACGCATATATGCACCCTTGGTCCAGGTAGCCCGAGGTCATAGAAAAGCAATACAAACCGCCACACCCATGTCGTTTCCTGACTCCCCAAGCTCCATAACCACAAAAAAGTGCATGTACTCACCCTCCTCTCCTCCTCGCTCACCCGCGTCCTCCCGAATCCTGTCCCTGCCTTTTCCTCCTCCTTCACAACCTCCACATCCCGCACCTCAATATCACCAATGCGCCATTTCGGCTCGACACGTATTCTCTTCGCACCTCCCCACGTCTCCACAGGACCCGTCGGTGCAAGTGCAGATGGCCCAGGTGACGCAACTACAGACACTCCAGGGGGTAAGGGTACGCGCAGCGCTCCACCAAAGGAGTTGCGTCCTGCACCGCGGCCGATGCCAATGCCTGAGTGTGGATGAGATACTTGGGGCGTCATGAATGACCCTAGCGGTCGGGACGCTCTTGCGGGTGTAAGATGTGGTTGAGTGTCGGGTGCGATGTAAGTTGGAGGTGGAGAGGAGGATGGGGGTGGGGGCTGTGCGTCCTGGTCGGTGTCCATTTGCGTGTGCTGGTGTTGTTCATAGTCAGTATGACAAAAATAAACAAAGGGGAGACGTACCTCGTCCTCTTCGTCCTCACCTTCGTCTTGCTCGTTGTCTTCATCATTTTCTTCGGGCGCGGTGGAACTTGAGCGGAAAGGCCATACAACGCGCGCACGCACGGCATCAAGAGATTTGCGCCATGTGCTTGGTTGAGGAGTGGGCTCGTCAGCGGTGTCCGAGTCTTCCCCACTTCCATCTTCGTCGGATTCTTCATGCTCGTTCCCTGCACTTCCTTCATTCTCGTCATGGAATTCTTCCTCATTATCACTTTCATGCTCCTCACCCACCTCCACAGACGCATCACCTACAATCACCTCCTCAACCTCTTTCTCTTCCTCCTCTTCCTCGCGCGCCATGACGGCACGATGTATACTGCGAATCAGAACTGCACGGTGTAACGAGGGGCGAGTTCGTCTGTTCGGCGTCTTGTACATATTAGCGCTTGGTCTCGGCCTTTGCACAAACGGAGTGGGAGGAGGAGGTGCAGGGATATCGACACGCTCCAATATCACAAGGTCCTTCTCCTCCTGCACCACATGTGGAGTATTAGACTCCACGAGTACAATCTCTTCCTCTATTTCGTCTGGTTCTGGGACGTGGGAGTTCTTGAGCGCCGAGGGCTTGCGTGGGGATGGCACGAGCTGTTTGAGTGGGCTCTGGAGAATACGGAGGTTTGCGAGGGGATCTGAAGAGGGTTTTCCGCGAGGCGTGAATACTTGGGCGCTGTGGATCATGCTCATTCGTAATTTTCTTCGTCCGCCACCTCCATTTTCAGGTTTGACTGGTGAATCGATATTGTACAATGGAGAACGAAGCTGCTTGGGCGGGTAGGAGAATATGAAACGTTTCTTGTGGATTTCGATTTCGCAATTGTTAGAGACGGGGATTGTGGTGGGAAGGGAGGCGTTGGTGGATGGGAGCACGGGGCAGCCGTCGATGGTGAGGCCTGCATCGCCAAGAACGACGAGGAAAGCCTGCTAACGATTTATAGCAGTGTCATAAAATTTAAACGAACATCGCACGCACCTTTCTTTCCTGGAATACAATTTTTGCGTGCAGAGCGCTGACCTCTGCGTAATAGAGACGGACGCTACACGTCGGGTCGCGTCCAAAGGTGACCGTCTCCTCGTCGATTGGGAATGCTGCGACCTGTTCATTCGTCGTCCGCTTCATCAGCCGCAGCGTCCCAAACACTCCAATTTCGCTGCCGTCCATGTTGATGAGCAAGTTGAAGCAAGACTTTGGTTTGTTCGGTTCGCGTCATGCCACACGTGCAGGTCACGTGATCGCGTCATTCTCGTTCAAACTTCGAAGTTCGAACACAATGACAAGTTTGATAACAGAACCCATTTATGATTACAAGCAAACTACAAGTGCGGTACCTAACTAATCCACGAGACCGCCATGTATGCATCAGGAGGAAGATTGCGTAACGTGGTGACCGTAAGTACCAAGAGGATAGCACGACCTGCAATGTACAACATGGCAAGTAGAAATATAACAAGGAAACCTATAAGATCCATGACGCCCCCATCAAAATCATCAATTGCAATCATTTCTCCAACGGAGATCAAAAGACATTCAAGGCAGGGTATGCAAGTTATAGCGACGGCACTCGTGCGCCACAGGACCTGTTCTTGATATGTAGGGAATGCAGAAAACCAAGCCATACAATGGATACCGCCAAAGGTAGTCACCAACGGAATTCCGGCAAACCTATGAATCCAGTTGTCCGATTTGATGCTGCCATCAAATGTAGAAACTCGGAGCTTATGCGTAGGAATCTCATCACCCGTCATCAGTTCGGAAATTGAGTCCATGACTGCAAACCAGATCGCGGTAAGCACGTTGTGTTCATCCCCTCCAGAGATACTGAGGTAGACAAAATCAATAACGATATAATCGATTGAGGCGCAGACATACAGAACAGCAACGCGACCCCATGGCTTTGACTCAGTCGACTTCCAGTACACTGGATGTGGACACTGTACATCGAGAGGCTTATTCCACCACACAGCATAGGTCAGGAAATTGAGAACCGCAAAAGCGAGCGTCACCGTTTCCAGCTGGGTGGTTTCGAGGTGATAAATGGCGCGGGAGATGAGCTGCAGGATGAACCAGGCCACCTGAAGGATGATCAATCCTTTCAATATTATATTCCCTTTGCTCCGGTCGCGTATCTGCTTTGCCGTTAGGGTAGGGGCATCGATGCACCCTTCACGTATCAGTTTGAGAACCTCGTCAGGGTCTAGTGTGTGGTGGGGTTCCCCATCCAAGTACAGCATGAAACCACCCATCAGCACAAAGAAGCTGTGCGTCTGAGTCCACGCGTAATCTAATGATCCACATGAGTCAAACATGTGGGAGAGCGCGAATTGGGCTTACCCTCAGATTGATCTGAAATGTAAGCCTTAAACAACCTTTTGAATGGCTTCGTAAGCGCACGATATCTTGAAGTGGACACTGGAGTACTATGAACTGCCGAAGAAACGCCAGTACAGATGGTTCACCTTCAGCAGGCGCTACGGAAAGCCGGGCTCTATCATGCTCTTGAGAAGCAAGCGAACGATGAGGAAGCGTATTCAGGACGCAAGGTAGAATGTCGAGCTCATGTTCAAGTTGCTCTGCAGGCGCTTCAGCCAACTTGAACTCATAATCTAAGGATGTGCATGGTGAGTTGTCCGAGGACCATATCCAATTCCAAAAAGCACGACTCACTTTCAGACTTGCCCTGCAGCTGAGGAACATTGAAATACCCGGATTCCTTGAACTGTTTTGTAACACGACAAGCGCTGATCCACTGGCGCATAGCCCATGTGGCGATCAGATCAGGAAAGATTAGTGCCATTATGATGATGCCAAGTCGCCGCCATAGGATACGAAATGGGCTGTCCTTGGGACTTGGAATATTTGGATGAATGGCACCGTATATGCATGAGAAAAGAGTGAGAACGGAGGTGAAAATGATGTTCCACAGGGTTCTATTAGTGAATGACGGAGCTTCAGGACTGTCGCTAGTAGCAGTTGCATTTGTAGTAGGTACTACGGCTTGGACAACTGCAACGAGGTAGATGATGGTGCAGAGAAGTAAGCGCATGACTGGATGTTGCGATTTGTATATCCTGAAGCTTACTATTTGTATTGTACTTACAGCTGGCGGCCGTCATGACTGACAGTGAGAATAGATTTGTCTGCCGAGCAACCTGTGACTGGAACCAAACTGTCTTCAATGCTCATCAATGTTCTCACGTTATGCTCATGACGAATGACGAGGTTAGAAGAAGAGGGTTGGTTGAAGTCCCACGTACCGTGCCCATCTAGTCATGTGAAATCAAAGCAATCCAACCTTCGAATTCGTGCGTCCATATAGTAGACACGCCTGCGGGAAATAATCGCTGTCATATTCAGCGAATCTTGCTCATTCGGGCCTACAATGCTTTGTATTCTCGGTTCTGCGCATTGTAAAAAGTCCCAGAACTGGGCTTCGTTGAAAGGGATGGCAAAAATCTTGAGAGATCTCAGGGTCATGGATCATAGTTGGCTCGTTGCGTTGCATTCAGTGACTATGTAGAAGGGTAGAAAGAATGTATGAGGATTGACGGTGTTTGAGGTATGCCCACACTTTCACTTCCTTTCTAATTCATGTGCATCACCCACCCAGTCCCACCAATCCAATGCGAAACCACGGGCAGTCACCGCACCATTTGGGCACGACGCTTCACCTTCCTCATTCTTCTCCAGCAACGCATACCGTTCAAGTTGCACCGTGCGCACCCACGTTCTACTTCCAATGGTATGAGCAATGGGAGTGTGAATACGCACACCTGATATCCCAAATCCTGCCATACCCGCCCCACCGATCTCACAAGGTAGGCTACTCCACATCATCTCAGTATTATTCATTCACCCTTACGCGCTATCTAACAAATCCGAAAGTGACTTCTGAGCGCATACCCGCAAGCGTTTACGTGCTCGCCGCTGTTGACTGAAGACATAAATCCGAGTCAGCCGGCCGAATCCCATCATCCACCGAATTTATAGCCTCGTGGGCCGATACCGTGATACTGTAAAGTATTCCATAGAGACTCTCGGACACACGTTGAATAATAATGCTCGGTGTGTAGGTCACCAGATGTATTAAGTTGATTACTACTGCAGCTCAGGACATCCTTCAAGCGCAGTCCAATACTGGGTTATGGAGAAGTCATTACCGATCTTTAAATGGCAAAGGATGAGCTGCCCGATTATGCATGTGAGCCTTTCAGTGAGCGACCTGCTTCCCATCCATGCGCATTTAACTTGTCGTACATCTGACCTTCTCAAACGTTCGTGGTGTTGACCCTTCCCTCTCACTGAAGGCTGCTGTTGTGTATGATTGCGAAGATCAGGGCGGTGCACTGTTTCATGTAAGTTCTGAGTGCTACAAGGACCACTCGTCTTGATCTTCAATCGCATCACCCTCAGATTCTTCCATGAACCCCCTCTTCATGTGAAACTATAACGGCCATGGGTTTCCCTCGTTATTTATTATGCTAACGAAGGTCAATTGCATCTTCATGTCAATGAAGGAGGTGCGTCCCGCCGTGTACCGTGTTTCCCAAGTTTATATTCACCTTCCTGACGGTCCAAGTCGAGAATAATGTCAGCGACCATGTTCCACGCAATACCACGCACTGATCTTGCAACACAAGCAGTATCATTAGTGCGTTGCGGGACATGAGTCGATTTCAAGCAAGGTGAACGACTGTTTTTGATGCAGCCACCATATTTGACTTTGAATGTCAGCAGCGGCCATTGCAGAGGGAGTCACGATCTCTCAGAGGTGATAGATGTACGTCATACTTTTCTTTTAGGGGTTATACTTTGCGGACGAAAAATTAAATCGTAAACATTTACATATCAATCGACGTCGACTCGAGAAGACACTGGAAATCAGCCATCAGAGGCTTATCATCTGACAAATCTGTAGCATGGGGCGATGCATCCCTTCTGCCTCGTGATGACAAAAGTGGCCATTGCAAGTGAAGCTAGTATCATTCTTTGTGTTCGCTCGCGAGGAATGTTTGTTAATGTGCAGCACGAGATTGATTTCTTGGCCGGCAGTGAATATACCCTGGCACTTCCATACTCGTTTGCCAGGAACATTCATCAACGTGTTTTATAGGATCAGGATCGTTTGATCAATTTACTAAATACTATTCTCGTCAGCCCTACTAAGTAAGTTAGGCCTTCTTAGCAGAAAGACCCTTCCTCAGAAAACCATAGCCGTATGTCCTCCGAGCACTTGTACATCACTGCAACAAGGAAGGTTGTTGCGACAAAACCACCCAGTCTGGTCGGAGAAACGGTTCGCAACTCCTTTTGCAATCCGCTTACAACCTGATGCCGAAAAAAAAAATTGTATAGGGCCGTTTACGAACATTCCTGCGAAGCGAACACGAGGAATGACGATAGCAATGGAAGCCCTCCAACTTTCGTCACGATGCCTGATCACGAGGCGGTGAGTTGCAATTGCAGTTTAGTTTGCTAGCATTGAATTGTCATTCGATTCAGGGGCGTGTGTGAAGCTCAGGACAGCAGAATGCTGAGCCTGCGCCGGATGTACATATAAACGATGTGGGGATTACAAGTTTAAAGACAACTCACTCTCGTCCCCTACTCACTGCCTCCCCAATACCTCGAACGAACCCACCAGTACTCAGCATCATGTCGGACCAATTTATCATCCAAAACGTCCAATATGGTTATGTCAGTTTGGCGGATGGGGACTGTCGGAAGGCAAGCATGTAGCTAGGGATGGGATCCCAGCCTGGTGCTGACGAGTAATATTGATAGTGGAAGGTGACGTTCAGGGGCAAAGATGTGGATGAGGTGTCCTTCCAAAATGTTGAGACCGGTAACTTCTTTGCATGGAACGTGAGTTTGTCTGCGAGAACAAGTTTTAATGCAAATCTCATCGAGTCCTTTGCACAAATTTGCAGACCGCCGATTCAGCGATATTATATGGAAGCGAACCCTACTGGTGGCACCTGTCGAAGAGTGGAATCTCGCCAGAGGACATATACACGTGCGTATCGGGTCGTTGATCAAACTCGGTCTCTACTGACGTAGACATTATGTTTATGACGGGTGCAGATTGCAAGTCGCCGTTGCTGGGGCGCTCTGCAACTTGACGTATGAACAAGATCCACAGGTGACCTAACCCATACAGACTGTAGTCCCGTACTTCCTGACACTCGTTATGCAGCCGCAGCTCGTCCTCGTGTTCGCAGTGGGAGAACCCACTGATGCGCAGAAGTGGAAGGTGGTGTCAGCCTGAAGTTGAAGGATGTTAGTTATCGTCTTGCGAGCATGCCATGCCTGTCGATTAAGTGACATTCAACTGTCACGGAGATCAGGCACCTAGGCTGCTGTTCACCAGTCCCTGTAGCTATGATGCATCAAGTCTGCTAACTACCAGTCAGAGGTGATGCATCAACTATGCTAATTAGCCTTCTTGTGATGCATTAAAACATGCTAGTTAGCAGTCCTATAGTATATATAGCTCGGTCAATTACTTTGCAGCTCGGTCATTTGTATTTCGGTCAATTTTCCAGTCGAGTCTTCGGCAACTTAATTCACTTCGAATGTCAAATAACAGCCGGTGATGGATTGAATATCAGGTACACTACTAGCTAGGAACATCGATCAGGTACAGCGCAGAAGTAGGTTAGAGAATGTCGGGAATCATGAGGTCCGGTAACGAATGTTCGGCCAACTGAGGTGGCGGGTCAATGGGACCTTCCAGTGAAAGAAAGGGTGCCCACAGCACCCGAAAATGGTCTGCAAGCCTGCGACGGATGTTAGCCTGTCGGGCAGCATAAGCTCGCAAACCTTCAATGTCAGCGGCACACTCCCCAACGCATGCCTTTCCCTGTTCTTCCCACCGCGCTTGCTGCCAGGTAAAAAATTCCAGCACCCTGCGCATCTCTTCCGTGAGTAATTCGACCTCTTCCGACCACCGCAGTGCCCTCGCACGGGTTTTGCACCACTCGATTCGTAAACCTTATAGTATGTTAGTTCGCAAAATATAGACCACGACGAGTGCTTACCATCGTTGTCACCTTCATTGCCATGGTCAACGCCATCCATCATCCAGATCCACGATACATGACGTCTCCCTTCGCCAGTAGCATATGGGTCCACGAGGGGCTTGACATGAGTGTCGGCCAATTCCTGCAACCTTCCCTGCCAACCAGTCTTCTTCATGATTGTAGCTAGGCTCTTGAGCGCCATCCATGCTGACCGATAACGTTTCACGCAGGCCGTACGCCTTCGGTGGATGCGGGCAAGGGCATTCTGAGCACAGGTATTCGCGCCTTGACCACGCACCCATTCCCTTTTGAATGTCAGTAAGGAGCAGTGAATGCGTAGACACTGCCGCAATTCTTCTAGCGCATCGTGAGCCTGCGCGTAGCGCAATTCCCATTCGTCCTCTTGTAGGCGTGGATCGCACGGCTTGGTTTTCAGTTCTGAAGGTAACCAGAGGTGTATACATTTGGCGTTCTCGTGGCCTTCACGCGTGGCTGCCTGATCAATAAGGCCTTGAACGGCCGGGAGGTAAAGGACCTGTGTGCGTCGCCACATATCGATCCTACGATGAAGCGAGTTCCGCATCTGCGTGAGACTGCCTTTCTGCGTGTCGGTAGCATGTTGACCCATCGACTCGGCGATATTGGCCAGACGATGCCTTCGAAAGTATGTCAGCTTGTTTGTGGCCGTCAAAGGGCAAATGCTCACTGTTCCTGCTCCAGGTCTATGCCTGAAGCAATAAGCACACTAGGCGAGATTTGTGGGTGCAACGAGCAGTCTATACCTCGCTGAAGGTCCTCGGCCTCCAGCTCCGCGAGCTTTAGCCTTACTCCTGCTTGCGTTATAGCTAGACAAAATCATTAGTCCAAGGTCACTTTGGTGGTGGAAAATACTCACCCATGGCTTTGGCCTCGAGCGGATTAGAGATCGATGTGTCGTTCGGATTATCTTCCCAAGCTTGCATTTCTTCTAACCATGCAGAGCGATGCTCGGGAGTGATGACAGCGTCAAATTCCTCAAATGCGAGTGCATGCGCAGCCTTCTCAGCTAGAGCATCCTTCATCTTGTACAGGAGAGACGCGCCCAACCCGACGGTCTTTTTCCAATTCCAATCGCCAAAATGGTCGTCCAGCGTGTCACGACGACAACCAGGACCCATCGCTTTCGTACTTGATGCCACAGGGTTGATATTCGACCAGCCCCTCTCCGGGGCTTCACCATCCGTCCGGCCGACATAACGCGTGAAATTGAACGAGAAGACGGTCTGACATTTTGCAACATGTGCGGGGAGGTGGAACTTTGGCACGAAGAAGCGTATATACTTGGTGAGATGGTCCAAGGCATGGGATCAAGGAAAGGACTTCATGCGGGCCCAGAGGTTTTTGTGCCATTGGCACGCAATATCGTACAACACGTTGAGCATTTCGAGCTGCGTACCACGCAAAGTCGAGAAAAATAAATAATCCATATTGATGTACCTGTCAAGTGCGATAAGACATAGTAAATACAAACACAACAAGACCGTGACTTACTTCTCGCCCTTTTGCAGATCACCGACTCCATTTGGCCGTTTAAAATTATGACGGGCACAGTCTACTGTACCGACGCCAGTAGCAGCAAGCCCTTGTGCCTGCTTTGTATCTGCCATGTTGACAGCGCTGTGGCTCGAACATGTACTTTTCTGTAAGATAGTGTGAGTACACGTCAATTGATTAAACCAAACGGTCACATACCTCCTGCGCCTCAGTGAGATGTTCGGCCAGGAAGGCCTTGTACTCTTTCTCCTCGACAAAATATGACCAGCCACTCGAAAGACTTGGGTCTGCGTGATCGCTCGATACGTTCCGCCTTTTCAATCGAAAGTTCGCATCAATAGCTAAAAATACTGCATACAACCACCTAAAGACATCAGCCTAGTGAATCAATATCTGTGGTACAACGCACCGTTTTGCTTTCGAAGCATTTTGCCAACCCTCAGGTAAATTCTTCCCTGGCTGTGGGCATGCTGGACATAGCACCGCGCATTCGCCCTGCGATGTACCATCTACGCCACTGGGATCGTGGCCACGTCCAAAACGTTTCAACATTGTGAGATGCCGCCACTTACGCACCATCCGCATGAATCCTTCATAGCGGTCCTAAGGTAGACAGTAAGAGACTGAAGGAACAAATGTAGATATTAGCGTACCGGCATGCGTTTCATCATCCCTGTATTATCCGTGAGTCGAACAAGAGAATGGTAGAATTCATAGGCTGATGCCTTCGACTCGAAGGATAAGATTTGGTAGTAATGCAGAAGTCGAAATGTTGCCGCTGTCCTAGGTTTAGTTGGCGTGGAAGGGAACCATCTGTGACGAAGGAGTTGTTTAACATGTGTCTCGGATGTCTCGCAACCACAAAAGTCCAGTCCTAGTTCGTGTATTCCGTTTGTGTCTATAAGCACAAAGTCGTCGTTAAACGCCGGCTGCGGGAGGATGCATGATTGACCGATGGGATGCCCGAGTTGCACTCGAAGGCCTAGCGTCTTCAAGGAAGAGCTCTCGAAGAATATACCATTCCATTGCTGCAAAACAATCAATATATTTCATGTTTCTCATAAGAGATCACATACCTGTATGCGATGGGTTGGAGACCGGGCATAATTTGCCAGTGAGCATGTACCACAGTACAGTTGCATGTCATCGCAATCCTGACATCGGAATTCTGCAGGATTGGCGCAACAGCCTGCACACGAGTCCCTTGCATTTTCACCGCGTCCGTCCAACCGAATAATCTCCGAGAGATATGTATCACGTTCGTCTTTCCAAACAAGCAGAGGATTGTCCTGACGAAGACAGTGAGTAAGGAATGATGTGACAGAAATAAAATAACTCACACCAGCTGGGCGCTTGCTTTTCTGACTTTGAGTCATTGTCCCGTCTTCGCCAGCATCCATTGAAGGTTCATCAAACATCGCAAAATCAAACTCGGTGCTTCCATCCTCAGGCCCTGCAAATTGGGAAGACTGGTGTGTGGACGAAGGTGACGGGCGACAAATCAGATGGGCAGCAGACACCTGCATATTCCCATCTAGTGATGTGCAAAGCCCGGCTTCAGGCCGTGGGCCGAGCCAAGCCGAGCCCATTTAGGCCGGGCCAAGCCGAGCCTTGAGGACGGCCCATAAGGGCTCAAGGCCCGGCTTGAGGTATCTGTAAGCCTGAGCCGGGCCCTCGAGCCACGGCTTTCAATGGGCGTAACACTGGCAGATCATAGATGAGTATTTGAGTACTTCTGCTCGTTTGCGTGCATCTGCATTTGTTCGTATGTAATTCTGCGTGTTCTCACTCACACATACTCATTTATAAATCGTTGCACGTGACACTTTGTTTGTTCGGAACGGGTCATTCATGCTTGCCATATCCTGTTCGTTCACCACTCGTATCTTCACACTCGTGCTCATATTGCACTCATTCCAGCTTGTGTACACCTGTTCTGACTTGTCCCTCGTCGTTCTCATTCATCTGGGCTTGCCTGGCCTCATTTTGGTTCATTATGGCTTGTCCCTCGGCATTCTTATCCATCTAGGCTTACCTGCACTCGTCTGGACTCTTCTGCATTCGTCTGCATTCGTCTGGACTTGCCTGAACTCGTTTTGACTTGCCTGTATTCATCTGGGCTTGCCTGCACTTGTTTGGACTCGTCTGCATTCGCTTGTACTTGCCTGCACTCATTCTGCATTCGTTTGGACTCATCTGCATTCGCTTGGACTTGCCTGAACTCGTTTGGACTTGACTTGGCTTGTCTGTATTCGTCTGGGCTTGTCTGCATTCATCTGGACTCGCCTGCAATCGTTTGGACTTGCCTGCATTCATTTGCGCTTGCCTGCACTCGTTTGGACTCGTCTGCATTCATCTGCATTCGTCTGGACTTGTCTGCGTTCGTTTGGACTTGACTTGTCCTGTCTGTATTCGTCTGGGCTTGTCTGCAAACGTTTGGACTTGACTTGGCTTGTCTGCATTCATCTGGACTCGCCTGCAATCGTTTGGACTTGCCTGCATTCATTTGCGCTTGCCTGCACTCATTTGGACTCGTCTGCATTCATCTGCATTCGTCTGGACTTGTCTGCGTTCGTTTGGACTTGCCCTGGCTTGTCTGTATTCGTCTGGGCTTGTCTGCACTCGTTTGGACTTGCCTGCATTCATCTGGACTTGCATGCACTCGTTTGGACTCATTTTCATGTACGTTGGTGCCCGTGCATTTTCGACAGCTGTTAATAATATCACACAATTTTTTGCATAGCAAGCCGCGGCCTAAGCCTAGGCCGAGCCGAGCCTAGCCTGAGCCGTCAAGGAAGGCTCGGCCTGCAATTTCAGTGAGCCTGAGCCCCATCAAGCCGAGCCGTGGCCCCGGCTTTTGAGCCGGGCCGGGCCGTGCACATCACTATTCCCATCTCGACGTCCTAAAAACCTGAAGGTGGTATGGACCGTCTCTTGCAACTGTGAGGTAGGCGGTACATAGTGATTGAGCTTGGGTCGTTTTCGATTGTTGACTTGTCGAAAAGTGAAACGTGAAGGGGCACATTGGATAGTTTGATGACTGGTTGGAGCGACACGCTCGGTGACACCATCAATTCGGGTGGAGCCTGCATTTGAAGAATTTCTAGCAGGTAACATCGCTCAGGCAATGGGCTCAGGCAATGGGCTTGTGCATGAGAAGGTGTGACACAATGTGACAGGTTAGCGTGACAGAAGCTTGCAACTCATCGAAGTCGAACTCATCGAACTACTCACTTACTCACTGCCAGTGCAATGCAAGAACTACGACTGCAGCGGCCAAGGCTACTGCATCACCCAATATGGATGGCTTTCCCTGTACAAAAAGCCCGAGGTCAGTTCCCTTTTCAACATCAATTCTCCTCCCATACTTACTACACCCAATGATGATCTCCCCCAGCACGATAATAGCTGCCGTGCCTGCGGCGCTCGTCGTTGATGGTAATGATGGTAATGGCACTGGTAAGCAGCGATATCTCCGAGCGCGCTCTGGTACTTACTAGCAGGATAGATGACCTCTCTGCGGCACCCATCACTGACGGTACTGGTGATCTTACTAGCAGGATAGATGACCTGCCTGCGGCGCCCATCGCTGACGATACTGGTGACAATGGCACTGGTAAGCAACGATATTCCTAAGCACGCTCTGCTTCTTACTAATGTTCCACAGATAGTCTCATTGCGCTCTTGGCCCAGATGAATATCACTGGGCAGGAGGCGTCTGACGTGACGTCCAAGATCCATGATGCGGTCCAGAACGCGCTGGTCGCCGCCGTTTCTGCTATCAGTGCTGTTTCGACCACTTCAGCATCAACTCCACTCGTCCCAGCATTGACTCCTTCGACCACTTCGACATCAGCTCCACTCATCCCAGCGTTGCCAGCGTTGACTCCTGTTGTGAACTATGATGTGCCAGCGGCTGACGCTACGGGTTCCTTCTACTGGGTGACCCGTGGCCGCCGTATTGGCGTATTCTCTACTTGGTAAGTGATTCGCGTTATTTAGATTAACGGCAGCTGATTTGTGATCCGCCAACAGGCAGCAGACCTCGTCCCATGTCATTGGCGTGAGCAGGGCGTCTTTTTCGAAGGTCCGCTCAGTTGCCGAAGGAATTCAGCTGATGAAAGAGGCCATTGGCCGCGGCGAAACGGAGGTGTTGACGTAACATATACCTGAAGCTTTTACATAGTAGCGCAGCGTGAATCTCAATAAGAAA